TAACCCTAACCCTAACCCTAACCCTAACCCTAACCCTAACCCTAACCCTAACCCTAACCCTAACCCTAACCCTAACCCTAACCCTAACCCTAACCCTAAGCGGCTAGTCCTATAACTAAGCCTATTAGAAAAAGCTATTAATCTTAGTCTAGTTAAAGATATTAATCCTTTTATTAGCAATTAACTACTATACCCCCTTAACTAACCGCGCGAGGCTTTACCTAATAAGTTCTAGGGCTAGCTTACTAATAGAGTTAGGAGCTTTAGTGAGCTGCGCGATATCTACTATACTATAGCTGTGTAGATAGTAGGGCCACTAGGTCATCTTAAGCTAAGGGGATACCTTCGTCCTAGTAGAGCTCTTCTAGATTATACTATTCTTAACCTTAGCGTCGGTAAGGCCCCTTACTAGCTCCTGGTCCACCTAGGTCTTAATTAAATCCGCTAGGGGGATTACCTAAGTCTCCCACCGCCTACACTAGGTATCTATCTTCTTATTATTCTCCTACTACTACTACTAGGCGGGCGATACTATAGCGAAGTAGCCGCTACCGTAGCTAGTAGTAAAGAGGTGCTAATAGTAGACGGAGCGTAGCAGGAGCTTAGCGACTATATTCTTAACATGTGCTAAGGGCCGGCCTCTATAGCTAAAGCTAATTATATACTAAAGGCGGAGGTGCTTTTAAGTAGATTTCTTAGTACGCACTATATAGTAGCATTCCGGGTATAGTAAGCTATCCTTAAAGATTAGGATATTCGGGATAGCGAGGGAGAAGGGAGCTAGAAGCTAAAAGAAAGCCGACTTAGGATTAGTAAGAGGATATTATACTTAGAGGGTTACTAGTAGCGCGTTAATAGTAGCGGTAGGCTATAGCTATAGTGCTATATAGCGGCGATAATACTTAAGTAGGTGAGTCTTAATAGTTTTTAGAGTGACGGTATAGCGATATAGGTAATAGACAAGGATCTTAAGGTCTAGTATATAGTTAAATAGATCTATAGTGCTATTAATAGGAAGTTAGTTAAGGAAAGGTGTAGGCGACGGGCGGTAGATAGAATATATAGAGGTAGAAGGACGCGTAGGGTAGCCTAGCAATATATAGTTATTACTAAATACATCTAGGTTTATATTCGCGTTAGCGTGGCTATAATTAATTTAGTTAGTTAGTTAGAAGGGTCGGTGGACGAAGGCTTCTATAGATAGACCTAGCGGCATAGAAATCCGGAGGCGGGAGATTATATTATTACGTGGGAGGCGAGTAGTTAGTGTTAGTATAGGCGCAGGCAGTTAGTGCGGGTAGGGTGATAGTGTTAAGTAGCTAATAGGAGGGTCGGTTAATTGGATTAAGGGCTAGAACTTAATTGGTATAGAAGTGTCAGTTAGTTAGTTAGTTAGTTAGTTAGTCAGTTAGTTAGAGTTTCTATTAAATATATTTACTAGATTAAGGTTTTATCTTTTTACTTTTAAGAGTCTAAGCTTATTAAGAGTTTCTCTACTCTAGCTTTAGTACTAAACTATAAAACTATATTAAGTTCCTAAACTTTACACTAATACTATATAATAATAGTAAGAGGTATTTAAATTCTAACTATAGAGTATAATTTGTAGTATCTAGTTCTATAACTCTATAATATTTTATATCTCTAACTCTTATAGTTTACTCTTTATTTCTAACTTTAACTATAATAATAAATTAATTGAAATAAATATAGAGTATTTAAGAAAAGATTTAGTAGTAACTAAAGAATAGTATTTTATTATTATAGAAGAAACTAATAAGTTATAAAGAAATCTAGTATCGAAAACTATCTCTATATAATTAGAAAGTAGTATTCTTAGTTATCTCTTTAGATCTTAGCTTTATATAGATAATATTTATAATATAATAAAAATATAGTTATAGTCTAGATAGTACTATTAAAGAGAAAAGTATAATTTTCTACTATAAATATTAATAGAAATATTAGACTAAAGGTAACTAATAAAGCTAAACCTTTAATAATTAGATAGAATTAAAGTTAGTATAATAGATAGCTAGAGTATATCTAAGAAATTAAGTATTAAACCTATATATTACTTTATAGTACAAAATTAGATAGATCTATAATATAAGCTATTAGAGTCTCTTCTAGATATTAAATAGAATAGTAGGCTTCTATAAATATATTAGTATCATAGGTTATACACTATTCTATTTATAGAGAAATAAGTTGAAAAACTAGAATTTACAGGCTAGACTTACTAATAAAAAGATATATAAAGCTATACTAAGTGTAGATTTAAGTAATTATATAGTTAAGTAGGTGCTTCCGCCTCTATATTAGGAGTGGAGTCGATAGATAGCTGACTCGAAACATCTAAATATCTAAACCCTATCTGAGATCACTATAGATGAACTCTATTGCGTTACTAGTAACTTCCGAGCATTAAAAGAGTTATTGCAGTTAATAAGACGCTGCGTCCCGAGTAGGATTACGTCGTCTCTACTAACCTAAGTTACAAATATCTATCTCTATACGTCTGCAGCACTAACGATCTAGAGCCTGTACTTGACACTGCATGAATATATTAGCACTGTCGTGAAACTACAAGCTTCTACTATCTCTTCAGTATTCGAAAGGTAGCACCTACCATCTGATAGTATACACCTCTGTTTCTCAGCAAAGTCTGATGGTCGCCTTTTTCGAGAACTTTACCGCTACCGAGGACGAAGATGATATCCGCCTTCTGAATAGTTGCTAGACGCTGCTGCAGTGTAAGTCCTTATTCGTATCGTATATGCACCGCTATCTTGGACGCATAACGCGAACGCAACGAAAGTGAGGGATTGGGATCTTACATGCGCGACAGCAAGTACTGTCCTCCTCCCGTCTCTAGCAGCACGCTCGATTGCCTCTTGTACCTGCAATTCGGACTCAGAATCTAGGCTAGATGTCGCTTCGTCCAGTAACAAGAGTCTAGGACGGCGTAGAAGGGCGCGCGCGAGAGCAATGCGTTGCTTCTGGCCGCCACTGAGAGAAACGCCTTTTGAACCCAACCGAGTGGCATAGCCTAGGGTTGAAGATTTAGCAGGGGGTTAAGCAGGCTTGATGGAGAACTTCACTACGTTCCAGGGGACTTGCCTTCTGGGAGAGAGACGATGAAGCTGTGAATTTGCGCCTCGATACAGGCTTGCTGGATGGCCTGGTCTGTGGCGCTAGCTGCATCCACGGAGAGTGCCACATTCTCGCGAATAGTGCCTTCGACATGTTAGGTGGGGTTCTCTAGGGTTTGGAATAAATATTCGGGGATCGAGGAAACACTTACCGTCATAAAGAGTGGGCTCTTGGGCAACAAGGCTCATCGCATTACGATACTCCCTAAGGCTTATGGTGGAGATATCTTGACCACCGCAGACAATGCTTCCGGAGTCGGGGTCATAGAACCTGCGTTACCATATTGGATAAGCTTCGTTGAGTTGTGTAAATCACTTGTAGAAAACCGATACCTTTCAAGCAGACTTATCACAGTGGATTTCCCGCTACCTTGACAGGCAAACACATTAGTTTGACAGGCTCCAATGAGTCTTGTGAACAGAACTCTTACCTGAAGCGCCAACAAGAGCAGCGAACTGACCAGGCTCGACCTTGAACAAGCGGTGAGATAGATTCTACGCACAGCGGAATAGGCCCTACCTTTAGACTTAGACCTGTGATTACAGGCACATCGCGGCTCTTGTACTTAAAATAGACGTTCAGAAACTCTATCCCAACGCTGCCGTCGTAGATCTTGAGTGCCTTGGGTGGATACTCTTCTTTCGTTCCAGAAGGTCGAAGACTTAGGATTCTATTTGCTGCGCCAGTAGCCTCCGCCACATCTGCTTAATTTAGGGCTGATGATCCGAGGGGCCTTCAAGTAGGAAAGTGCTTACTGGGAGCAAAGGAGAACCACATTCCAGCGGCCTGGCTCCCCTACCAGGGGGTTAGTATGACACGGGTAATGGTTGCGAATGGAAACGAACCTGAACTACAGCCATGTAGACTATAAAGAATTGTACCAGATTATACTCACGAGCAGCAAGCAGACGGCCGCCATACCTGTTCGATATTAGCTATCAATCGACTTAATGCTAGACTTGCGCTCAGAGGGTACTTGCCAAAAGCATAACGCCACACAAGCTAAATCTACACTATCAGACGCAGCGAACACTATCGTCGACAACCTCGCTCTACGAAATGACTTCAAGACGTGACCCTTCAACAGCGTCGAGTACCGAGAGCAAACTGTATCCTCCATTATCAAAGACGTGACTGTACGGAAAGCTCCGACAGCCTCAGTAGCAAACTGTGAGCTGTCTGCAAATACAGCAGCATTCATCGCCTCGAACTGCATTTCGAGTTTGACTCTTAAGTAGCCAGCCGATAGGATGATAGGAAGTATGCTGAATAGGCCAACAAGTGAGAGTTTCCATCCAAAGGCAAAGGATATCGCGAGCGAGCCGAGCAAGTTGAACACTGATATCAGGGCCATCGACATTTCAGTGCCCATAAGTTGTTGCAACTGAGTGGGATCGGTGCTCAGCCTCGACGTAAGAGTGCCCGCGGAGTTGCCTTCAGCATCAAAGAACGCGATACGCTTGCGAAGAATATTGTCTATATATTCCTGCCGATAGTGGGTGGAGACGGCCTTCAAATATGTGAGTGTGTACTGTCTCTAAGGGTTCCATTCCACTTACGATAGAGATAGTATATGAAGACCATCCGAGCACAAAGTAAGAGACTCCGGCGCCTACAGCCAGGACGCCGAACATGCCCGCCCAGAAATTCCCTCTGTTGACGAGTTCAGATCCCGTGAGTGTGAAAACATCGATTATCTTGGCAAAGAGGTATGCCTGGAGTGGATAGACAACTACTGGGCCTAAGCATATGATCACAGTAGCAGACTGTTGAGATTACCTCCAGCGCCAATAGCGCCAAGAATAGTCAAGCTGTAGAGTATCCAACGTGATCTCTGCTCATACATAAGGCGTCCAAAACTCCTCAAGATATCCTTTTGCTTGTAATTGGTTTCCGATTGAGCTGCCAGAGAGGTTCCATGAGGGCTGGTATTAGCGGCTTCTTGATGGACTGTTGCAGACTCAACTCTAGTCGAATGCAGTAATATTTCATCGTCGAGCCCGTCAGTGCCTATTAGTAGTTCTTGGGCATGGACCAGACCATAGTAGACACCGTCTTGCTTGTTAAGGAGCTGCTGGTGACTGCCCTCCTCAACAACCCTGCCTTGCCTGAGAACAACAATCTTGTCTGCTCGTTTGATAGTCGATAAGCGATGCGCAATCACTATCGTGGTTCTGTTCTCTGAAACGCTGTCAAGCGCTTTCTGGACAATGCGCTCGGTACGTACATCAACTGCGCTGGTGGCTTCATCCAGAATAAGGATTGGTGGCTGTTTGATAATGCTGCGAGCAATGGCGATCCGCTGACGCTGCCCTCCCGATAATTTGATCCCGCTCTCCCCCACAACTGTGTCGTAGCCCTAGAAGTCTCAATTAGATCCATACTTGAGCAACAGTGCTGTAAAGCGAAAGCCAGATGCTAGAGAATCAACTTAGTAGCTAATAGTGGTCGAAGAGGTTTGTGAAGTGAGACCGCCACCATTAGGCTTGATAATCAACTGTGTGGCGGAAGCAAGAGGAAGACAATTTGCACTCACAAGAGGGAGCTTTGAGATAAACTCATCGGCATACGCTTCCTTGCAAGCATCCTTAACTAATGCTAGTGTTTCTTCCTTGGGTGCATCATGCCATTGTGTGCTGCAAAGTCCGTACGCGACATTGTTGTAGATCGTGTCGTTGAAAAGGAAAGGTTCCTGCTGAACAAGTCCTATCTGAGATCTCCACCATTTCAAGTCGGCGCTGCGGAGGTCGATATGGCCGATCCTGATTGATCCGCTGCCGCTTTCCCTAGTTTTAGGATCTTCGGCAGGTTGTGTATCTTCCTGCACGAGAGTCTCTTCTTTTCTTCCACCGGAGATCTTCGATGATTGGTCTGAGAGATCGTACCATCGCTCAAGCAGTCCGACGATAGTGCTCTTCCCTGATCCGGAAGGTCCCACGATTGCCGTCACTTTGCCCGCCTCAAACTTCACATTCAAGCGATCCAGAACTTGAACGTCAGGCCTACTGGGATAAATAAATGAGACATCTTTCAAAACGATGTCAGCGTGCACGGGGATCTCCGGCGCTTTGAGACCTGAAGTGTCAGGAGTCTCAGAGTCTATTGTCTTGAAAAGCTCGGTTGCCGCCGTTGCGGCTTTCGCAATGGCAATGATTGGACTAGCGACTCGGCCAACAGACATGACGGCCATGACCACGGAAAAGAGGACACTACCAAAGTCAGCTTGCCTTGCTTCGATCCGTACAGAAAGGCCTGAAACGCATAAACACGTAGAATACCCACATCACGATGGCGTTCAAATCGTCTGTGTTGCCTCTCATATACCGCCGGATCCCGAACCAGAACGTGAGGCCAAAGGTGCTATACATAGAGAAGAACGATGGGAGCATCATAAGCCCGATAAGTGGTCCGTTCTTCATCTCCGTCCGCTTTGCCCGCAGCAGCCAACCATTGTGTTGTGTAGATAGGCGTTCTTCGGCTCCGAAGGCTACAATAACACGAATCGATCCAAATATCTCAAAGGCGAGAGCCGAGGCTTGTTCTTGAGCGTGCTCGGTTTTCTTGTGAACCTTTATGTAGAATGGGAGCGTCGAACCGTACGCTAGGAGGATAAAGGGCAAAGACGCGCTGGCTACAAGGGTGAGTAGCCAGTCGTAGATGAATGCCACTACGTAGAACCCTCCGGTCAAAGCGATAACTTGTATAAGCATGGCGAACTGTTGTGATATAGCGAGCTGGATGGTATTTGATGATGTTGTGATCCGAGCCGAGACCTTGCCCGCAGAGATCGTGTCTATGATACTGACAGGTTGGGCGAAAAGAGCTTGGAGGTAGGCTAAGCGGAGCGCGGCAGATATCCTTAGTCCACTAATTCTGACCGTGAGCTGCATCCGTCAGAATGAACATGACCGAAGCGCTTCGGATGGTTCCTCGCATACCATCGAGGTGTATGACAAGACGAACTTTCCAACGAACAGATACGCGATATAAGTCCTAGCAACATACTTTGTCAGCATAGCGCCTCGGTAGATTCGTACAATTGGAAGATTGCGCGCAAAAACAGCATTGACTGAAGCAGTCAATGACCGGAAAACGCAGTGCAGAATGAGGTTGGCCCCGATAGTATAGGTGTGAGCTTGAGGCTTCCTTCACACTTGCGGAATACACCCTTGTGAAAGCATATCAGTTGACGGCTGTCACCAGTAGTCCCACAACGGAAGTATAAGAGCACCGTAGAATACTCTCTGCGCTTCTGAGGAGGCTAAGGCTGCAATGAATGCCATAGCAAATCGCATATTGTCGATAGTTGCTTAGAGGTTGACGTACGCATTCTGGTTGACCGAACTTTGGAACGCCGCTTTCGTGACGGTCGTGTTGAGCACGAAGTATCCGGCAAAGTCTCCAACAAGTTGTCCTACAATGGCTCAGAACGGATACCAAAAGAACAGTACTCAAGAGACTTACCGAAAACGATATTCATGATTGGCAAAGCCTGTGAACCGCAGAATTTCAGCCATAGCGGTTTTTTGAAAAGCATTCCGAAGCACATACAACTCCAGCACCGATTGAAGACAATACGCAGATACCCATTAATCCCCAATCCAGGACTGTTCCGTAAGAGAGTACCCTCTAATTGCAACCAGAAATCTCAGTGAAGGTTTGACGCAATTGCTACATTGGTTTCTCGTACGAAGAAGTTCCCTACGTTTGCTTTCGACCCCAGGTTCTCGTCGTTGCTCTTTTCCACTGAAGTCTCTTCCGCGGCATTAGCAGGCATGCTATCGTTGCTGGCATGAGGACGATTGGAAGATTGCGACGCTTCACGTCTATTGAGACGCGCCATTGAACAGAAATTTGTTCCCAGATAGATATCGAAGGCTGCTAAGCATGCAGCCTCTCCTTCTAGATTATTAGTACCGACACTATATCGATTAGTTGCTGCCTAGATAGAGAGTGCGACCGTGTGACCCTGCTTACCTAGAGAAGAGAGTGGCTTTACTCTTTCGGCCGAGAAGTTATCGGATCACGTGCACAAATGCTACCCGCAACCGGAAAGTTACTCTCTTCTAATAATTTGCTCCGCAAGACGAACCTCACACGTCTAATATTCGCCTCGAACACGAGCCACGAACAAAGAAGCCTCAAACACGCCTCTACACTAATGCCTCCTAACTACCAAAAACTGGCCACCTACTGCATATCCGCTCATCCAACTCGGCTCGGCCACGCTGACGAAAACCAGCTTGGTTAAGCTCCAGCTCCTCTCTGTCGCCCCTTCTTTCCCGAACCTACTACCATGCTTACTGCACCTTCTTCGACTCCAGTTCCTTGACATAAACCCTATCATCCTCGCCCTCGACCTCCTTCGCAATCCTCTCCATTTCCCTAGCCTGCTTCCCCCACTCCTCCTTCCCCATCTTCGTCTCCCTGCGAAACAGCTCCTCGTTCGGCTTCCGGTAGCTGCCGCCCAGCCGATCCCACAGCGTCGTGAACTGGCCGTAGTTGTAGTTGAAGTACAGATGGTGCATCGTGTGGCACGCCGCGCCGTTGATAATCGGGCTGTCAGCAACATACTCCCCATCGTGTATCATGACGGTCCAGACATTGATGAACGTGAAGAGAGCGATGTAGGCGAATTTCTGCAGCGGGAAGATGAAGGGGAAGACGTGGTAGGGCACGCTCTGCGCGTAGCCGTCGAGCGGGTGGAAGGCGTGGGATGCGTAGGGCGTCGGCATGATCCACTTGTGGTGCGGCTTGTGCAGCCTCTTGTATATCAACGGATGGTGCAACGCCCGGTGGATCCAGTAGATGAAAAAGTCGGTGAAGGTGATGAAGAGCGGGAATTGCAGGATATTGTACCACATCCCCGGTCCCTCGGCGGTGCTGTCGTACATGCGGCTGTAGCCTCGTACTTCGAGAAGGAACATGGGGACGGTGAAGATAGCCATTATGGGCATGGAGACCATGGATTGTGCGATCTCCATCCGCATCTGGTTCTTGAGGTATTTGGGGTGGTTGAAGGTGGCTTTGTCGAAGATGAAGAGGTAGGAGAAGGTCGCGCAGAAGAAGTAGATCACTAGGCCGAAGATCCTGGAGCGCGGGGGTTAGTGGAAGCATATGGATTGGTGAGGTGTGTGTAAAGGGTAGGGCATACCATGTAATAAGATATAGAGTCACTGCTTGTCTGAATATGTTGTCCCGTGGCCATCGGCTCATGTATGCATACTCTCCGGGTTGGAAGCTGAGGTACTCGCTCGCCGGCCGATACTGATAGGTACTGGCGTATGGTGTAGGCACCTCCCGCATGCTTGAGTAGGTACCATTGGGCGTCGTCTTGGGCGTCGCATACTGGGGGTATTGGGCGTATGACGCAGGGAGGAGGGTCGCATACAGCCGGTCGAAGAGGAAGGTGTCGAAGACCTCGACGACGACGTCCATTGTCGCGGCCGGTGCTTAACTACGGCTCAATGGCCCTTGGGGTAGTACGGTTTTTGTTGATGCCAAGCGGTGGCGGAGATATCGGGGACGCAAAGAGATCCAAGATCACAGGCTGTATACTCAATGCAAGTGGAGCAGACAAAAGAGCATTCTAATGGCGGAGCAAAGCAGCGCAAGTGTAGAGCAGGAGAGTGACTTCTGCGGTGAGGACGGTATTGAGGTGCAATCGTCGCCAACGGGGTTTTTCAGGGTCCCACTCCAATGAGCGCGTGCAGATCCAGGGCGGAGGTTCTGGATTCCGGTGCTCGGTTCCTGGCCTTCCGGGTCACCTCATCTTCGCGGTGGGAAACAGCGCCGGCAAACTGGGAGCGAAGCTTGTCTCAGTGACAGCTTTCCATGTCCATCTTTACTCAAGCCCGAGAGATTTTTACCCTGACTCGAGGGAGAGTGTTGCACAGAGGAGAGTTCGAGTCGGCCTATTGAGCCTCCCCTCGTCTCCACTCATCATCGTGCGTCAGATTGCATCTGATAACGATTGGGACCTTCTCCATTACCTAGGGCTGAGACTCGGCACAGCGGTGACGAGGCGTGGTGTCTTCGTGTCTGGGGACGGCAAGTGAGCAACTCGGTGCCCGAGAAGCCAGATGGGCGTGACGTGCATTGTGGTCTCTACCACCTTTGCGCTGATGCCGACGAAGGTGTCCTCACGGTTTTGAATGGCGAAAAAGTGGGGTGTCGAAGGGCAATGAGCACGGAGCGATAGAACGCGCATAGACTCGTGGCAGCTTTCATATCTGAGGTCGAGGGAACGGCCCCCAAACCCTTCGCCAATAATCATCCCTCTTGCTCTGACCTCGTGGCTTCTAGAGACAGCACACGATACGTTCAGGTAGGCATTGTTCACCCTCCTCGGTGGTAAGTTCCCATTGAACACCTCTGTCGCCTGACCCGTTGACACACACCCTGAGCGATTCGCTACAGGCCAATACTGCGAACAGCCCAGTGGGATGCGGGACATGGAGGCACGCTTAACGCTGGGAAAGTACCAGGCCGACAAGCAGGCCAAGCTTCTGCTCACCAGCGTCTTCCCGTTTTTCGTCGCTGTTCAGGGTTCAAGATGGCAGAGCGGGATATCTCTCGCAGCCGCGCATGCAAAAGTCCCAATGAGCCAAACCGACCGCGCAGAGAGCGCGGCACAGTTTGAAGTCGACGCCGCCGACAGAAGATTCAGAGGACTCGACTACAAAAGATTTAACTGAACTAGAGGGCCCCTAGCTCAGTACTAATCTGCCATTCTATGCGTCTGTGTGAAGCGTTTCTACTGCATCGCCACCTAAAAGATCGCCCAGTCAAGCCGGCAATAATGGAAGCCCTGAAACAGGCGTCCGGCTCGTGGCTGCCCTTATCTCACGTGAACTGTCGTGATCGTTCCCGCGAACGTGCGGACCCGCTCCGCCGCCGTCGTCACTGTGCATTCGGCTGAGAGTGCGTGCGCATACCGCGCGTCTGCCGCTCGGTGGGGCATCGAGAGATCTGGAGGTTAAGCGAAGCTTTGCCTGTGAGCAAAGACGGGAAAAGAGACCCTGTCATTGTGGATCTTCGGTGATGCGGGGCGTGTGTGAAAGATAAGATTTTAGATTTCTGTAGGCTCATCTGCATGTGTAAAAGTTTTTGACAAAGAGACGAGCTTCGTAGAGGCATAGAGTGCCATTAGAAGGATGTTCAATAGTTGTACAGCTACTCCACTACGTCGGACTACAACACCACAGGAACCACGATGCCACCTCAAACCAACAGGGTATCCGCTTTTCCCACACCAACACGCCAAATGCCTCCCAGTGATCGCACATCAAACGGTATCAACACCGCCATCACCATGCCACGCCTGTATCAGACCAGCTGTCCCGTGACCTTTTCCGCTTGCGCCTCGCTACTCGTGACATCCAGGTTCCAAACGTACTCCACAATGTGTAAGAGAAAAAAAGCGCACCCGTCACACCTGCGACTAGAGGGTCGGGATAGATATCATGAGGTCTTAAAACATCTTTCTTTCGGGAAAGACAAAGTCTTCAAACGCCGGGTTCCGCGGTGCGAAGCCCACCGTGGTACTACCGTCAAACCCAAACCCGGCATGATCGATGGACTGACCATTGGAATCCGATGAAATCGACGATGACCGGCTGCTCCTATCGCTATCGTTGTTGCTGGACGTGACGCTGCCATGATTTGAGGATGCCGCATTGCTGTCGATGGAAGGATATAACGACGAAGAGGTGGCAGATAAAGATACTGTAGAAATTCTGCGATCCTTGCCGCGACCTTTGATGCCTTTGTTTGAGTTCTTGTACAGTGACGCAAAGTACTCCCACAGCTCCTTGTCTTGCGTGGTCACCGGATCGCCCTCCTGAATGCATGCGAACTTTTGAGTCAGGTACCGCAAAGCTGATGCGTGAAACTTGTTCTGATGTGACTTTACAGGGCGTTAGTTTCCGATCTGGGTTTACATTTTGGAGGCTGACTAACCTTAAGATTGCCAAGCTGGGTGAACTGTTTCCCGCAATCATCAAGCTTGCAAGTGAACGGCTTGATCTGCTGGTGAACAATCATGTGTGCTCGGACATTTCCGCGCTGAGCGAAGGTCTTGCCGCAGACGTCGCAGTTATATGGCCGCTCCCCGGTATGGCGCCGCTCGTGTGTCTTGAATGCAATCAGTATATGCTCGTTACTGCATGTGTAATCGTGCTCGTACCTTTAGGTTGCCGAGTTGGGAAAACCGTTGACCGCACGAAGGCTCTTTGCACAACTTTACGTATGTATTAGCATACTTTTCGGCGCGATTGGCTCTCAGCACTTACGAAAGGCTTGACCCCGGTATGTGCACGCGTGTGAATTTCGAGATGTGTCTTTTGGTAGAAGCTCTTGTAGCAGTCAGGCATGCTACACTGATACCGCTTCTTCGTACGTCCGCTTGATCGTGGAGCTTCCTGAAGCTCCTTCACGATTTTACTGGGCCGTTGCTGGCGTGCTTGCGCTGGTGCTGTCTTCGCCTGGATAGCTTTCATCAAGATATCAACATCAGTTGAAAAAGTGATGCCGAGCTCCGAATCCGACGAGCTGGAGTGCTTATAATCGTCGACAAAATTCGGGTCATTGAACAGTAGGCTGGGCTGGACGGGCGAGTGCATCTCCGCTTTGACCGACGGACTTCGGTGTAGCATTGAAATGCTACTTCTTCTATATTGCGCCGCATCTGATATCATATCACTCCCTCCCGGATACGTCGCGGCATGTGTCAGGGTTGCCGGAAATGCCATACTGCTGAGAGTTTGCTGCATGGCATAGGTACTGGCCGCATTTGGATCGTAGGCATATGCGCCGGCTTGCATGGACATTGGGACTTCGAGGGCGGGAGCTTGAAACATTGGCATCGTTATATCGAGCTGAGACGCCCCAAACGATTCAGAGATTGGCGGGTTCATTGTCGGCCTCGAGTGTGCATCGAAGGTTGGCATCATGCCAGCCATGCTCAGATTGGGCATCTGTAGAGCTAGGCTTGATCGTCGCTGCCAGATTCCTCCTTGTCGAGGCGCATCGAGTGCTGTCATCGTTGGTCTGGAGAACTCCTACGTCGTTGAACGTGGAGTAGCCAAAGGTCAGAGCTCTGGATCAACCTGGTAGCTCGCTCTCCTGACTCGAGTCTTCAGCTATAGGAAGAGCTACTGACAGCTCGCGACAGACTGTGTACGGAAACAAGTAGTGGGGCGATTCGGTCCAGAAATACCGGAGGCATGTGCTAGGAAGGTTGTAGGACATAAGGAAGAGCTTATTTGGAGTCCAACCACGCGGCTGGGCGACATTGAGGATGTAAATACCTACCGCTCCCCACAATGACGCGGGGCCCTGTGGGAGGAGCAGAGAGCTCAATGGCGATCGGGCCCGCCCAGGGCCCGTCAACGCACCATGCTCTGTTCATGCACGCCGACTTCACATAGTGTAGAGGTCACTCGGCGTTGCGCCCGCGCTTGACTGCTTTCTGGGACGCGTGGGCGCTGGTTGCAGGCCGTCGTCGAGATCCCGCGCCCCCCATGGTGATGGAAACACAAGGGTCTAAGCTCCAGAGGTCGAGCGGCCCGACAAGTGGCTTGCGAACAGATGGAGGGCGGAAGAACGTGCGTCACAGGCGGACGAACGTCTCAGATCGTGCATCCAAAGGCCGTGGCTTGGTGGGCTAGGTGGGGGTGCTATTGGTGAGGGGAGAGTGAGTGGCTTTGCGGCAACATCGCGCGACCAATTGCGATGCCTCGCAGATCCCTTTATCAGCCCCGGCAACTTGAATCAGGTAAGATTAATTCGCCTCGCCGTCGCAGAAACTTCACGTTTTTGAGCGCGTGAAGATGTCTGCCTCGAAATAGCGTTAGGTAGATCCCGAGAAGACGACCGACTTCCACACGGTGGGGCACGAAGCGGATCAATCAAGTGGCCTTAAGTGCTCTTCAGAAAACAATCCACAAATATACCCGATGGTTGGGGACTGATGGAGGTTGGATTCGCAAGCACGTTTCGATATCTGGCGTCCTCAAGCAACAGCTACCTTGTTGGCGCCCACGACGCTAAAGTCTCCTCTGCCATATCTACAGTATATCGCGGCAGGGTCCAACCGAATTGTGGGCGTACCTTTAGCCGGAGGCTCCATAAGCCTTTTCGTTAGCTCAGACGACTAGCATAGAAGGATGAGGCATTTCTCTGCGCACTCGGTTCGAGAGGATGGTTGCGCATCGCAAGCAGTCTTGTTTGGAGTACAGCACTGTTCAAAATCTCAAGGCCGCGGGATCAATATAGATAAACACTCCGAACAGGTTCACCATGCGCACCAGAGGGCCGAGCGCGAGCAAGTATCACATACCTAGAAGCAGATTTAACCAGAAACTTTTGGCTTCTCCGAGCCCACGCCCACGGAGACCCGCACGGTTGGATGCCCGTAATTGTAGGTCTATCCGTAGGTAGCGCGAATCAAAAGGCGACAATCTGAAGACGCGGCTGTTGCTGGTTATCAGCGCTCTTCATGCTGGGAATCGCACCAGAGCCAGGGGCGGACAACGTTATCGGACTCATGTACCGCGGAGTGTTGCGCTTCAAATTGAGGCGAGCGCCCCGCATTAACGATCCTCATAGGCGTCTTTGGGGAGCTGTGCCCTCCGTTGCGTCTGCACGCCAGCTCGCATCCGCGTACGCAAAACATCTAAAACCGCGCCTCAGAACATGCCGCGCCAAGCACGGTACTTGAAACGCGTCTCTCGAAATGCGGAGGGCAACCGAACCGAGCGACCCGACAGCCTGGTCCAGCGATTCAGCGTGCGTGCTTTTCGCCACGGCCGACGCGGCTGCTTGAGGCTTGTCTCCGGCTGTCTGAATGACAGATTCGCGCAACAACCACCGACCTGTCGATAACTAACGATCGTACTCTCCTCGACTCTGCCGAAATCGCAAGCCTCGCGGCAAAGCACGAGAGAGAAAAAAGCCACCAACGCGGAGCAGGTCACCCGGCCCTGCCGCGCTTGTCCCGCGCATGAATCCTACCCGGCAGCGTGGTTCATGGCGATTTAGTGCGGGCAGTTTGGGCAGGAAGCTCAGGTAACCACGCATGCCCTCCTGCTCTCCAGCTTCCCACAACATCCTCCACACTCCTTGGGGATTTGCGCCGCGTGCTGTGACCACCGGGCGGTTTAGCATATCATACTATTGACACACCAAGCCGCCTGAGTTCGCATGTTCGCTTCGAAAGAGCAGCCTGCATCAAGCCCTCGTCGCGCTAAGTTCTGGATGCACGCTGAATAGTTCCATCCCAATCCCTTATTAGCGTTAGCCACGTTTTGACAGCTGCTGTCCTCAAGGCGCAGCGAGTTCACGCTGTTCGCCGGCTGTTCCTGCCATCGCTTCACTGCTGGAGCGCATCAATGTTCGGTGCTGTTAAGCTGCTGCCGCACCACGCTCGGCCAAGGAAGGAGATTCTGTGATGTGGAAAGGGGATCTCGCTCTCTTGGTCCGTAGTATTGGATGCTGGCTGTTTGGTTTCATATCAGGCGTACATTCAAATACATACCATCTACGCGAAATGGTTGCCGAAACAAATGGCGCGGTGTGCCACGCGGACCGTGTCGGGTACAGCAGCAAAGCGTGATCAAACAGTCCGGTATGGCTTAACCACCGCCCTAGAAACATCACCATTCAGCCCGCGACGGCGGCTCTCGCAGAATCTCAAGCAGAGTCTCCTTCAAGACAGCTTAGGGAGCCAATGACAAGGGGAACTCGATCAGGTCAGAAAGTTCATACATCTACCTACCTACGAACGAGAGCCTCATCATCTAAGAGAAACCCCTCCCATACAGCCTTGCTAGCCATCTACCACCTCTCCAAAGGAGAAAGAAGAGGTCCTCAGACAGTTTTCCATTGCCCTCCCCCACTCGCCAGAAACCCAGCCCATCAAGGACAGTGAAAAGATAAGGTATCGCCGGCCCGCTTGGCACCACCGCATACAGGCATCTCAGAGAAAGGCCAACAACAAGTGTACATCTCAAAGCGGTCCCGCTCGCCCAACACGTCCAAACCCAGTCGCACTGCCACGTTCCGATAAGCCAGGTTCAAAGTTACGGTCCATCATTACCAGTCCACATCCTTCCACATGCTGGAGCCTCTGGAAGGGTCAGGTCGATCGGTTCAACATCCTGTTTGCCGCGTCCCGATACCAGTATAAAGACATAGTTATATTGGCAGCAATGCGCTTACTGCGGCCCTTGGTATGGTTGGTAGCTGTAACAGAGGAGTGTTAGTGTTGTACGTGCCAGAAATTACTGAGGGGATGCACTAACCTCCAAATCCTGGCGCGCATGTCGCCGCTTCCTGTTGCGAAGAGATTACCTTGAGGGCTGGGCGCAACCGAGATGACTGCAGAGGCACGTTCGTGATCAGCCATGGCTCGTATATTCATATCATCACTCGCCGCGCTGCAGAGGTGTGGTAGGGCATGACGGAGGTCACGTAACGTACCTGAGTTCTTGTGGCCTTGAAGCATGAGTTGCGCAACGCCAGTGTTGGGATCCCAGAACTGTACTCCTCTGTCCTTGGAGCCGCTGAGAACCCAGCTACCGTCTGGTGTCAACGCGACGCTCAAAACGAAATCCTGTATAAACGTTAGCATGTCACAAACCCGGGATGTAAAATCTACCCACCTTGTGGCCCTCGAATGTCCTGATGCACTTGCCGCCCTTCGGCCCAGAACCAGGAACTCTGTGCGGCGGTGCGGTGAGCTCCCACATCTTGATCGTCTTGTCCAGACTGCCGCTGACGAGGTCTCTGCCATTTGGAGCGAAAGCAACAGAATACACGCTGTCCTTGTGGCCGACATCTCCTTCAAGGCGCTCCACGAGGTAGCCGCTCGTAGTGTCCCAGACACGGACGCTCTTATCGAGGGAGCCGGCAGCGACGAAACGGTTATCAGGCGAGATTGCTACAGTCGTCACACCGTCCTCGATAGAAAGTTGCAGCATCTGCGAGTTGGTCTCGATATCCCACAGTCGGACTGTCCGATCGCCGCTTCCTGAAGCGATCATTCGGCCGTTGCGGGCAAAGTCGAGGGAGTAGATGTCCTGGTCATGTCCAGTGAACTGGTGCTTGATCGTGCGGCTCGCAATGTCCCATACCTAGGCTGAGTAAGCTTCCATCACACAATCCACTTGTACAACGAAGAATACAACCTGTGAGACATACCCTAATAATCTTGTCCTCAGCACCAGTAGCCAAGTATTTACCATCTGGACTGAAGCAGACGCTTCGAATGTACAGATCGCCATCTTCAGGGAGCGAGCTGTCTTGCAGGTGAGCAGCAAGCCGGCCGTCCTCAACGTTGAAGATCTGAGCTGATCGGTTGCAGCCAGTGGCTACATATCTCCCATCTAGACTGAAGCGCACGCAGCAAACGACGCTCTGATGCGGAAGATTGTGCACCAGGTTGACATCTAGCACGCGTCGGATGCTTGGGTTGAAGATCGCGAACCAGTCGTTGCCCTCTCTTTTGTAGTTTTCGTGCACGTGATCGACTTCAAGGTCGGCGAGGGTGTTGCCAACGTTAGGATGCGGCCGCTGGAACGCTGTCAGCGCATTTTGCGGTTGACCAGGTGGAGGCGTAGGGCGAGGTACTTGAGGAGAACCGGGATAGGGCGCGGCTTGAGATTGCTGAGGCGTTGCGGGTCCAGGTGGTCCTCTTACCGCCCGGTTCTTCGGACCAGGTGAGGCGGCGGGTGGTGCTCCTTGAGGACCGTAGCCTGTCGTTGGACGATGTGTTAGACATTGTTTATTGCATGCTTTGGTAGCGATGGAGGAAACTACAACGACTTACCATTCACTCCAGGGCCTGGTTGATAACCACCGAAGGGCGTCTGGTGCTGCGGACCAGGGGGCGGGTTTAATCCGGGAGGGCCTGAAGGCATATGCGGCGGAAGACCTTGAGGTTGTGACTGCTCCTGGGATGGTGGTGCCAAGCCCGGTCCGCCCTGAGCTGCTGCACCAGCCATGATGCCGCCGAAGAGTGTGCCCGCGCCATGACCGATGGATGGTGGAGGTGGTTGCTGCAGGTGATGGGGTCCACCCAGATGCGATGAAGAGCCGGGGCCGCCACGAGCTTCCAGCTCCCGCCTCAGAGAAGCAATGTCCTCCTCATACCTCCTTCGGGTCAGCCAGCTCGCTCGAGAAGTGTACAGGCTTAGCGAGCACCCAGGACGAAACCACTCACTTTGTCTTCAATGCCACATGGGACTGCTCGAGCTGGAAGACTTTCGTCCGGACCAACTCCATCTCTTGAATCTGGTTCGCGACTGTGCAGCAGGACGACGTGTTAGCGGATGCTTGCGAGTGCATGGTATCCAGGCTTGAACAGAACGATGGGCGCAGGGGCGATTATCTGAAAGAGTTAAATAGTGGGAGAGCTGCTAGGTTTCGTGATGTGGTGTTCATGGCTGCTTTGACCGGCGTCGCGGGGGTGCTGCACGACGGAGAGCTGCCTCTGATCAAACGCGCAACAGGAGCGCAGAAGCAAACTTACGCTGTCTCTCATAATCGCCAGCGCGGCCAGCCTCCGCCTCGAATTCCTGGCGCACCTGTTCCAGCAGCTCCGCCAGGCGGTTGTTTGGCGCGCCGGGCACCATGCCACGATGAGCGTTGTACATGGCTGGAAGCTTCCTGGATCAAAAGCCGGTCTTTCGATGGATGCTGCACTGCAGGCTGTCAGAGCCCTGTCTCCGGTCTTGTAGTAGCCAGCGACCCCAGCGCGTGGGCCGAGTGAGGGCAGAGCTGTGCGCGAGAGTGCGACCGGCGAGAGAGGCCGGGGAGAGTGGTGATCAGGTAGGGCGCGCCGTCGCAGGGCTGAGCGCAGCGGGTTGCCGATTGGCTGCGATGTAGTGAGGATGAGGATGAGGATATGGGGACAATGCAGTTGTCAGATGAAATGCGGAGATTTGATTGATGATGGAGTGAGTGCTTCGCTGGGTGCAGAGATGAATTGAAGGTAGCTTGGTCGCGTACCCGTGACGGAAGTGAGGAAGTTGCGAAAGAGCGACCGGTGCAGGTGGGCCCTGAACGGTTTGGCTGGCTGCCTCGCTGCCTGTGCCCTGGGGCTTGTTTCGATGCACCGGCGGCAAGCGAGAAGCCTAAATTTGATCCGCTTTCCATCCCAGGTGAACCGTGGACGCCGCCCAAGCCCCCAAGCCCCCAAGCCCTGTCAAACAGCAACAGCAACCGTCCGGCTCGGCCAGAGACTCCTCCCGCATCGAACGTTCCAAGGTTGCTGCTTGGCGCTGGCCGTGCGGCTGCGGGGGGCTCCTGAGCCTTTCCCCCCCGACTCAACTTCACCAGAAACATCATACATCATCGGCCAGGGGATGGCTTCGCCCCTCTTATACACCCCGTGCATACGTGCTTCCAAGCAACATGGCATTCGAAGGACCAACCCAAGGTCCGACACAGCCTGGAGCTTCGAGCCTTTTCGAAGCATCACTCGTGAACCTTCACAACCAACCGTCACGATGCAAGGCTGTACCACCTGGGTTCAACATCCTCAAGTCCTGCCGCCCGCTGCCACCGGGTCAGCTCAAGGGGAGAGCGGTGTGCAGCGACTGCAGTTGACCGCACGAGCAGCAGGGCACCATGGCATGTTGCCGTAGCCACGGCGTGTTCTGGACGTGCGGTTCCATTTCCGCAGGCTGCTGCCGGCTGCGGGAAGAGCAGCGATATCCTCTTCTCAGCCGTTCGCTGTCCTCCTGATGCCATGTCTCAGCGGCTCGAACGGCTGGATCACCCACCTCACCAGTCACGTGATTGGCCGACGGGCTGAAGGAGATCTTCCCGGGAGGCTTGTTACATCACTGTCCCATATCCTGTTCCTGCGCTATCAGTAGTCGACAGTGAGGTAGCCAGGGGGCATCAATCCGAGTCACAGTCGATCAGGTCGGCTCGGGGAATACTCGTACTCCCTACCAGGCACTGTGCGTAACCGGCGCGCTAGGGAACGCAGTAGCTCCGCCTGCATGCATTTGACATATCATCGTGAGACAACTCATTCATAAGGTAGGCAGTCGTCCGTTCTCTTCATTGCGCGCACACCGCTCCTTTCTTGCTTTCGTACCGTCAGTGGAAGACGTCAGCGGAACGCAAGAGCCAATCTGCTTCGACTTGAACCCTTTCTTGGCATTTGGTCGAAGTTACTTCTTGCGCGGGAGTCCATCGTGCTTGTCGTAGGGCACAATACCACAGCCCACCTCTCTCTGGTAACATCTCTGCTTCCAAGCGGTGCGAGATCCCTAACTGCTTGACTGACACTCGAGTTGCGTAGAACCGGATTGCCAAGGCATCCCTCTCGAGGCACCCTGAAAGTGGGTTCGCGTTGCCGCACGCGTCGTCATCATGGATGGCAATACGGATAAGAGCATAGCAGGAGATCTTCTCGGGCCTGGCCGCTGGCGGAGGAAGAACTCGCTGGCCGCATTGGCACACCACAGACGCGTCAAGACTAGCTATGACTTTCAAGCTCAGGCTCCACAGAAACACTTGAAGAGATTGGAAGCAGCCAAAAAGGAGGAAGGATATTTCGGAGTATCACTTCAGGTCTGGTCCCTTGTTGCCGTGCCTGGCGTCTTTACGGGCCGTTCGCTTACTCTCAGCGATTGCGCCGCAGTGTCTCTACCTTGGCATAGCCGCATTTGAACGAGAGCAAGGCCAAGTCGAAGTCGGGCTCGCCTCCCACGATGGCACCTACAGCATCGATTTCGCCGTCGAAATCATCGGCGGTTCAAACGGACGCCAAGGGAGTCGCAACGGTAGTGGCAGCGATAGCGGTAGTGGATCTGGAACTCCACGTCCTGTCACGCCCCAGCCCTTCGCGGTGGAGGATGATAGAGCACAGATTATTGTTGACAATCTCATCTCCAGAATTCGGGAGTATCGGGAGCGGCACTTCTATAAGTTCGTGGGAGCCGGCGTGTCGAAGAAGGCTGTGTTGCTCAGCCCGCAGCTTCCGTCGAGGCTCTGGGCCGAGCTTGACATCGTGCCTATGGTTTTTGAACGCGGACTTGAGTCTAGAAGCATCAGTTCTCTACCCTTCACTGTCGGCGAAGAAGCTGACTCCATGGCAAGGAAATCATTGATGTTCGTGCCCTTCAAGAAATCTTGACGTCCATTACTAATGTGATTCAGGTTCTTCGGCCCCACCCAGCAGCCTCGCGTGCAAGTCGGCTTCCGCAACATAGTGGAGGTTGATTGCAGTCGCCATGCTCAGATCACATGTCTGGATCAGTACCCGGAGACCGTCGGTGAGAGCACCTGGAACGCCACCATGCATTATGTCAGAGCCCTCAAAGCGGATAACATACGGATTGCGTTCTTCAATAGTACGCCCCAAGGCGGCGGCGTCGCGCTCATGCGACATGCTCTGATTAGATTCCTTCGCCTAGTTGGCGTCAACGCCGAATGGTGAGGAATTCCGTCCGTGCCGTATCTCGTTTTGGTCAGCTGACACTTGAGAAGGTACGTGCCCAAGCCGAAGCCCGAAGTCTTCCGTATCACCAAGACGAACCACAACATTCTCCAGGGTGTTGCAGCCCCAGAAGCTCGCCTCACCAAGAATATGATAGAGATTCTAGAAGAGTGGTGTCAGACGAGTGCAGACAGATACTGGCTTGGAGAGGGCGGTGTTCTTGCACCTCGCGCTGAAGGCGGCGCAGACGTAGTTATTGTTGATGACCCTCAGATGCCGGCTCTCGTCAATATCGCTAAGAAGGCCGATCCAAGCCGGCCAGTCATCTTCCGCAGTCATATTCAGGTCAGGGCCGATCTAGCAAACAAGAAAGGCACCCCCACTTCTGAAGTCTGGGACTGGGTTTGGGAGCACGTCAAAGCTGCCGACGTCTTCATCAGCCACCCCGTCCGCGAGTTTATTCCGGAGTCGGTGGATTTCAGCACAGTTGGCTACATGCCCGCTACGACCGATTGGCTAGACGGCCTGAACAAGGAGCTCAGCGAATGGGACTCTGGGTACTACATCCACGAGTTCAACACCGAATGCCTCAAGGAAAGAATGGATCAGCTCAAGTTCCCCCACCGCAGCTACATCGTCCAGATCGCGCGGTTCGATCCGTCCAAGGGCATACCTGACGTGCTGGCCGCTTACGCCGAGCTCCGCCGCAAGTACATGAAAGACAAGAAACGCGAAGACACGCCCCAACTCGTCATCGCAGGTCACGGCGCCGTCGACGATCCCGATGGCGCGCTCATCCTCGACCAGACCCTCACGGCCTGTGAGGAGGAATACTCGGACATCCGCCACGACATCATCGTGAAACGTCTGGGTCCCACAGATCAGATCCTTAACGCGCTTATGTCCAATGCCCGCGTTGCGCTCCAGCTCTCTACCCGTGAGGGTTTCGAAGTCAAGGTCTCGGAAGCCGTGCACAAAGGCGTGCCGATCATCGCCACCAAAGCCGGTGGCATCCCCCTCCAAGTCGAGCACGGGAAGTCTGGGTTCCTCGTAGAGTCGGGCGATAGCAGCGCGGTGGCCAAGTACCTGCATCACTTGTTCACCGATGTTGAAGCTTACCGGAAGATGAGCAGGTACGCGGCTACACATGTGAGTGACGAGGTCGGCACGGTTGGCAATGCGCTCAGCTGGCTGTATCTCGCGGATGCGTTGGCGAAGGGCGAGAAGGTCCGGCCGGATAGCAGATGGATCAACGATATGGCGAGGGAGGCAGCGGGCTTTCCGTACCAGGAAGGCGAGCCAAGATTGCCGAGGCAGGAGAAATTGAATCTCTCCAGTCCTGTCGATGGATAGACTGGGCGGGGCTACTTGATGCCATGAAAAAATACCGGTCGGTAGTAGAATTGCTACAGTAGAAAATACGAAACGTTGAGCGGTTTAGCGGCTCGGTGAAGCACACAGGCGGTTTGAGTTCCGGATAGGTGTTTAGCTTTTTGGGTAAATTCTTTGCTTTGTTGATGGGTAATACACATACAACGTCACCACTCAACCGATGTAGTTCAGTAGCAACTGTGGGAACTGTCAAGTCACTTAATCTCGATTTGTTACGATGCAATTAAACCTCTGCCTTGAAGCTCAGACGTCCATGAACAGCATTGCTGTTACTGCGATGTGGCAGCGCGTGAGACACATTCTATATAGCCCGACATGTTGGAAGTTGTGCATCGGGGCAATACGCGGACAGCACTCGGGCGTAATAGAAGCAAGTCTGAGAGATTATGGGGAGGTATCCTTCTCCGTTAGCGGAAAGTTGACGACATCACATTAAAACACCTCAGTCAAATATAGGAAGTCACTCAGCCGTGTCTTCAGTGAAAAAAAAACTGACCAGAAGCCGCAAAGAAAACCATCTTAGGGATCTATGCCTGCCCTTATTTACAACATGCAGATAGTAAGGAAACAAGAGAACACAGCAACGCCTGGGTGCCAGATTGTAGCGTCAAGTGCTCACCTTCCCCTTCTCACTCGTTCGTTCGTTCCTCACCACCCCCTCTTCGCCAACCTCTCCTTCTCATCCATGGTCCCACAATTAATCCCCACCATGGCCTCTCCCAAGTCCATACTCACCTCCGCCAGAACCTTGGGATCCCTAAAGTGCGTAACCGCCTGCACAATCGCCTTGGCCCTCTTCGCCGCATCGCCCGACTTGAAAATACCACTCCCTACAAACACGCCATCGCACCCCAACTGCATCATGAGCGCCGCATCCGCGGGCGTCGCCACGCCCCCCGCCGCGAAGTTGACAACCGGCAGCCTCCTCAGCTCGGCCGTCTTCTTCAACAGCTCGTACGGCGCGCCGATCTCCTTGGCCAGCACGCGCAGCTCCTCGGGCGACATGCCGGCCGCGCGACTGATCTCGGCGTTCACGGTGCGCATGTGGCGCACGGCTTCGATGACGTCGCCGGTCCCGGCCTCGCCTTTGGTGCGGATCATGGCGGCGCCTTCGGAGATGCGGCGGAGGGCTTCGCCCAGGTTGCGGCACCCGCACACGAAGGGAACGCTGAAGGGGTGTTTCTCGACGTGGTGGGTTGCGTCGGCTGGGGTGAGAACTTCGGACTCGTCTATGTAGTCTACGCCGAGGGCTTCGAGGATCTGGGGGGCTCAGTTGCTTAGCAAATCGTTCTCGTTGCTGGGGGGGGGGGGGGGGGGGGGGGGGGGGGGGGGGGGGGGGGGGGGGGGGGAGGGGATGCAGGAGGATGGGGATGGGTATGGGGAGCCACCAACCTGACACTCCACAAAATGCCCAATCCGCGCCTTTGCCATGACGGGGATTGTCACCGTCTCCATGATCTCCTTGATCATCCTAGGATCGCTCATCCGTGCGACACCGCCCTGAGCCCTGATGTCCGCAGGCACTCTCTCCAGCGCCATGACGGCTACCGCGCCCGCATCTTCGGCAATGCGCGCTTGCTCCGCGTTCACCACATCCATGATGACGCCACCCTTGAGCATCCGCGCTAGCCCGGCTTTGACTTCGAACTTGTTCTCCGGTTGGGCGTCGGACCGGATCTGGGATTGGGTTTCGGAGGTGACGTCGGATTTGGTCTCGGGCTTGGAGTCATTGTGGGAGGCGTCGCCGTTGGAGAGACCGAGCTTTGCGAGGCCGTTGGCGAGGCCGTCGGTGGGGGGGAGGATGGTGGCCATGGTGTGTGGGTGTGGAGGATGGATGTAGGGGATGGGAATTTGTGCACTGAAAGCGGAATACGGGATGTATATGTGGGGTGTATGAGTGCGAGTGAAGAAGCGATTGAGAAGTGTATATAAGAGGTGGCCAAGCAGTGTGAGTCAAGAAGAGACGGTCTGCTGAGGTAAGTGTAAGTTTTTTTTTAAAGAAAGCCGAATGTATGCGAAAATACATGCCCGTGTCCCTGCAGATGACGGCGACAGTGGGCGAAAATCGGCCACAGGCCTGCTCACTCATCGCGGGGTTCTGGGCCCCTCCGCCGAGTAGCATTTCGCGCTAGGACGGGAAGGGCAGGTTTACGCTGTGTGGGTGGTGATGTCAGCTTCGAGCCGCGGCAGCTCAGAGGTTGAAACACTAAAACACCAGAGCTGCATCTACACCGGCATCTACATTCAATCGCTCGTAGCTGATCAACAGTTGACAAAGCCCCCCCTACCAACTCTGCCCGCTAAAACACCAAAGCCGCACCCTTCTACCTCACGCGTCAATCCCCACAATGGCCTCCCGCATCCTCCTCCGCCCGCTCACCAATACCTTCGCCAGCACCCTCCTCGTCTCCTCCGTCCTCGCAGCCCCCTTATTGCTTCAACCCTACCGCCGACCACTCCTACTCGACTCTGCGACCGCGTCTCCGCTTTCTTCCAGAGACTGGTCGTACTCGCAGTATCAGCGCGATGCCCAGGTGCCGGTGACAAAGAACGGGAGGGTGAATCCGGCCGTGTTCAAGCAGATTAGTGCTGGGAGCATATTGGGTACGTGAATTGCACAGTAGTGTGTTGTGAGAGGGTGAGGTGGGCGGAGCGGCGGGGAGTGAGGCTCTGAGTGCGGGTGTGCGGTACCTAACCTGTTCAGGGGACGGGGCGGCGGAACCGGATTGGGAAACACGCGGAAGCTGACTACGGCGCATGGGCAGGGCTCCTCGGCGGAGTGGCCATTAGTGTGTTCTCGAAACCGCTGGCGTTGATAATCGGGCTGCTGGTTTTCGGGCTACAGGTGCGTGTGCCACAAACCCCTTTCTTCGACTTGATTGCGTGCTGATGTTTGGCAATAGGCTGTCGAATCGAGCGGGCTGCACATCATACCGTACAACAGCATGCAGCGATACGTTAAGAGCGTCAACCTACGATCAGCAGTACTCGACAATGTGGCGTTCAAGCTCTCTTTTGGTGCAACGTTTGCGCTGGCGGCATTCGCCGAGTTTTAGATCTGGAATTTGAGGGGTGTACAGGGTGCCTAAATACCAATGGTTTCGGAGCTATTAGCTATACATCCAAAAAGAGCATGAACAGGCGCTGTCGGTATTACTCATTAAACCTTCCGGTCAGATAATCTGGTCAGAAATAACCCGCCATACGCCCAGGTGATCTTATACAATCAACTCCTCAAGCAACCCCTCCAACTCCTCCCTCCGAAACGGCACCCACAGCGTTTCCGTGCCCAACGCATCCTTCCTCGACTCCACCATCTGATGATCATGAAACTCTTTCAGCAGCGTCCTGAACACCATCTCACTACTGCACAAAAACTCCTCCACCGCCTTATGATACAGCACCCTATACTCCACGCCCTGCTCCGCCGCCGCCTCCCTCTGCTTCCCCGCCTTCCCAACCCTCCTCTCCGTCTGCGGACTCATTTCCCCTTCCTCATCACCCAGCCCCTCATCCGCAGCCGCAGCAGCGAGTTGCTCCCCCACCAGTATCCTAAACACTCCCCTCGCGTTCTCCGGCAGACTCCGCAGAACGTACCCGACCCCATCTCGTCCCCCGATCCGCCGTCCACTGCGTCCAAGCAACTCGTTCACGCTCTCGACCACGTCGATCTCGACGCCGGAGAAGGAAACGAAGGTCGTGCAATCGTGGAACAGAAATCTAAACTGCTGGCGCAGGGAGAGATCCCAGAGGAGGGGGAAGGTGGGCGTGTCGGTTGTTGCAAGGAGGGAGATGGAGGGGTGTGCGGCGAGTTGCGCGAGGAGGGATTGAGTGGACTGCCGTCGGAGGGAGGGCGCGTCGAGGGAGTTGATGATGAGGAGGAGGGGCTGGGAGGGGGGTTCGGAGGTGAGAGTTGAGAGGATGAGTTGAAGGAGCGCGGGGGGTTGGGCGGGGAGTTTGGCGTTCTTGGGAAGGAGGGCGGTTGCGATCGTGGTGAGGATGTCGCGAGGTGTGATGGTGGGGATGTAGCCGTTTACGATAATGGTGGTGGGTGGGTCGGATAGGGTGGAGTGTAGGTGCGAGGCAAAGTCTTGTACTAGCTGTCGCTTGGAGCCGTAGCCGTAGAGGCAGATGTTAAAGTTATTGCGCAGCTCGAACGACCACTGGTTGAAGGAGCGTGTGTGGACGGAGTGAAGGAAGTCGAGGCAGTCGGCGTGAGGGTCTTTGTAGGATTGCAGCTGCACGAAGTACTCTTCATGATTGAGGAGCGAGTGCGATGGAAGCGTATTGTTCGAGGTCTTCGTACCTCCCGGTCGGTTCTGGTAGAAGTACAACTCGTGCGGTGGGAGATTGGTAGGCGGTGTTGGCGAGCGCTTGCGTTGCCTGCCTTTGGGACGTCCACGGCCACGTTTTGAGGGCGTCTCGGGTATTGCCTCTTCATCCACCTCCCCAAGAATATCTTCCTCTGCTTCTTCCTCGTCCTCATCCCAAATCTGCCGTGCCAATGTGTCCTCCTCGTCCACATCTTCGTCGCTTTGGTCGCCAGATATTGTCCGCTCAATCAGCCGCCCCGCGCTTTTGCGTCTAGCGGACCTGTCTGCGTTGCGAATTATCGGATTCCTTGCGTTTGTCGGTGTGCCATCCACCGGTTCATCTTCCCGCTGCTTGGTCGGCGTTGAGAAGAGCACTTTCCGCTGTGTCCTCGGTGTAAGATCTCCATTGGTGAAGCCGTTCGTTGCGCCATTGGTCCTGGCTTGGTGTAAATCGCGAATGAGCGACGGCTTGCTAGGCGTCCGCTTCGACGGTGTTGTTGCTGCTACAGCGATTTCGTCCTCGAGGTCGTCGCCAGGTATATCTGCTCGGGTCTTCTTTGTCGGTGTTGATGCAGCCGCATCTTTCTCAGCTCTTTTGCGCTTCATTGTCAACTGGACATTGGCGTTGATTAGTAGTTGTAAAGAACCCTTGGATGCTCTAACCCGACGTTCAAAGAATTCGTCTAATTCTGTAGTGAATTCTGCTGTCCGACTCAAGGTGAACGACATGGTTGGATGGTTTTTGGGGAAATCACCGTCACATGATCTCGTGATGGCGCGTCGAGCTTACGCGACTCACTGGCCAACGTCCAGCTAAACCTTGTAGTGTTGACAGGTTGATGGGCAGAGCACAGAAGGGTTTGAGGCTTAATCCTATGGCGTAATGTATCCACACGAGGTGGAGAGCACGGCCAGCTCGTGACAATGCATAAAATCGGAAAACTTACAGCAGAGTGAGTTGGTGGACCAGCAACAGCATCACGGGTTTCATGCAGTTGCTCCAGCCGTTGCATTTAGCAACAATATTAAGACAGTAGGCAAGCGAATTGTGCCGAAACCGCTAGCAAGGCAATGGCACACTTTCAATGCCAGCAGCGCGGTGGCGTTCAGACGCCGTGAAGGCAAGACTTAACCCTATCGATTCTACCCTAGAGAAAAAACACCATGCATGCGATGACCGACGCGAGCTATGCAGACCAGGTGATTGCCAATCCATACCCCGTGAAGTGCCTGAAGACCACTAAACGCCGCAACCGCGCGTTCCCTACCCCTATAACCACATACTAAGTACCACGTCCTCTCAATGCGGCACCTGAACCATCTGCTTGTCCTTACATTTGCTCCAGAAGAGGTAAACGACCTGCTTTGTGTTGCTCATGCTGTCCCCACAGACACGATCCGTCAGTATTTTAACCACAAGCAGCAGCAGCAACAAGCCACTGGAGGCATCCAGGGCTCGGAATTACGTACATGTGCGCATGTTGGACGAACCCATCCTTTGCAACATCGTCCACAGCTGGAACTGGAAAGTCAGGAGCCCTCAACGCCTTGGAGAGCCACTCGTTGGTCTTCGGGTGCGTACCGACCAGCTTCTTGAGCGGCTCCGACAGCCAGTCTAGGTCGTCGCGAGCTGCGTTGCCGGCGTAGTTGTACACCAGCGCGGCGCACAGAGCCTCACCGACATTGTCAAGAAAGATCTTCCGTCGCTGGATCGACTCAGCGTGCAGCGGCGGCGGTGTGAAGCCGATGAGGGTCGTCTAGAGTTTCTCGATGTTAGCACAACGCACAACGGGCGGGAGTAGATGCCGGTACTACAATGGCGGCGATGCGGAAGATCACGAGTATCGGGGGAAGGTAATTACCCAGAGCTTGGCGGCGCTCCGCTTCGGCGGTACAGCCGGGCCTCGTATTGCTGCAATAGTGAAGTCGACTACGAACCAGATATCTTCGTGGTCTTCCTCGGTCAGAAAACGAGCATCGTATTCCGCGAGGTGGTCAAGCACATCAATGCTGTTTTGAGCGACTTCGGGATCTGAACCTGGCACCTCGAGGCGTCGGAAGATCTCTACAATTCGCAGGATGATCTTATGACCCTCCTCCGCGAAGGAGGGGAACGGGTTGTAGTCCTTCGCTCGTGCGCTGACGAATTCGCCGACGACAGCGAGGATTTGCGCAAGACTTGGGTGAGTGAGCGGAATCCGCAGGAATGTCTGGACAGTAAAGGCGGAAGGGAGGACAAATGGTCCCGGAACTCTCTCAGCAAACCCGCAGCGCAAGACAGAGAACACTTCTTCAGCGATGCCGCTTTGTTCTGGGAGAAGGCTCATGATGACATTGAGGCAATCTCCGATCCGGCGCTGTAGCGCGATCCCACCTCCGTTATGCCAGTAGTTCGAGTAGCTCTTGTCCTCCACCAAGCCGATGATGGCATCCTCAGGAGCTCGGCTGGCGCTGGCCATGCTATACAGACCTTGCAATACGGAGGTGCTCGCTATATGGCATTCTTTAAGGTTGCCTGCTGCGCTCATCTCGCGTGCTTTTGCGACGTCTATCTCAATCAACGTAACCAACCGCGAGATCGCTTCATCCTTCGACGCGTCAGTCGGCAGCGCCTGCGTGATAGCGGCAGCGGCGCCTAAGAGCAGTGCTTTCGACCTCTCCGTGGCTGTTGGCCCGCGTGAAAACCGCGCACATACCTCAACAAGATAATCGAAAGCGAGGACGAGAGGTTCCCGACAGGAGATACACAGGGTGTGCATAGCACTCGCAGCTTCATCGACGAGTGCAGTGTAGGACAGACCAGGGCTTAGGTAATTCACGGCAGCTTGCAAAAGGTGAGGATGCCTGGATAAGAAGCTCCCGGAAAACCTTGCGATCGTATCGATGGCAGCCAAGCGCGTCATCCGTGGTACTCCCGCAGTGTACACCGCCGTAAACAACTCAGACGAGAACAGTTGAGTAAGAGTGACATCTCCTATGTAATCTCCTGTAAGAGTAGCGCTTAGGGTACCAAGACAGAATAGGTTCGCTTCGATGTCCAGCCAGGCCCTGTCTTGTAGTGAAGCGAGCGTAAGACCGACGATCTCCTGTAGAAGCCTCGGTCCCACGGTGGCTGGAAGCTTCTGGAGGAAGACTCCGAAATCATTGCGAAGCCCATCAAACGACGTCCGTGTTTCCGCGTCCCATTCGTCGAATTCATCTTGCGGCGGATAGCGGATTTTTGGCATCCACTCTCCTGCTGCTTGCAACAGGTGATTCCGTGCCGCTGGCAGCCATGGATGATTACCAGATGTATCAAAAGTGCAATGCTCCGCATGATCGGCAAAGTTGTTCCAGTAGTCGAGCGCATAATCGTAAGTCTCTGTTGCGGTCTCGTAGTGATCCAGTCGTCGTATGACGAAATGAACCATTCCTGATTCGCTCAATCAGCTGCGTGTCTAGCTTAATAACGTGAGGGGATGGAAACCCACGCATTATTTCATCCGTAGTGTCGCTGCCCAAGGTTTGGACCAGATGCAATTGGTGTGCGGCGGCGTAGCCTTGAAGTACGTCGCAGAAGATTATGCCCTTTCTATCGAGGAACAGGCTTTCGCAGTCATTCAAGCGTTGTTGGCCCCATATGCCTCTTATGAGGGCCGAGATGGCGTGGAGTTCAGGTGGGCCAAAGACCGTGATGCAATGATGTAGCAGTTCGGCCAAGGTTTCACCGGCGGTGTCGTTGCAGGCGACGCACTCAAGCAGTGCTCGGGTTACTTGGGTTATGTCACCGATACATGTAGCATCATTGTACCGTATTTGAGCGTAATAAGCCCAAGCCTGTCTGATCAGCAAATAACGGAGCTGTAGCAGACTTTTCACGTACCTTGAAACAAACGAAACTTTCTGCTCGAACTTTCGCTTGTGAATCACCATCTTCAGGGGAGTCAGCAACAGAGCCACGGCCAGCGAGCGTTGGAAGCTGTGACAAGGGTGGTCGGTTTGGACAATCGGCGGCTGAAAGTACGCCGTCGATTCGTGCAGTCCCACATACCCACGTGTCTCATTGCATGGCACATTACTACCGCCGCAGCTGGGAAGTTCTCCTCCATGCGCCTGGACCAGTTCCAACTGCCAAGAATCGTCCGTTAGCAGAAGTGCAAAGTCGCCAGCACATTCGCTCGCTAAAGGTTTACCTCAAGACATGCGCTTGTCAGGGAGGTATAGCATCCCAGCTTCTGGTAGCACTTACTCATTCTGTGGATTGCGCGGAAGTTTCTGCCTCTCCTCCGCGAGACTCGTTGCGAAGTACAGAGCGGCCAGAAGTTGTTGGTGACTAAGCCGTGGCAGAGTATCGGAGGCGGATGGAGAGTGTGGGAGTGAGTCAGTGGAGACTATCTTTTCCCCATGTAAACATCCGATCAGATGGGAAAGGCAGTAGTCTGTCCAAGCGTCCGCACAACGCAGAAAGAGAAGTGCTAGAGTGGAGCACAGTTTTCGAACCACAGATCCGGGGTCGTCGCGAGAAACCGATGTGATGAACCAGGTAATTAAGCGATCCAACAGAAAGCTGGCGTCGTCTTCGGTCAGCGACTCCCAGGCTGAATTTACCTTAACGTAGAACGTGAGGGCTCCGAAAAATCGGACGTTGTTGTCATCGCTGCCGAGTAAGATATCTGCAAGCCGCCATCCCTCAGTGGATTGCTGCAGCTTCTGGAGCTCTTCTTGGAGCCTATGCGTGAGCGACGGGGGCCCGGGCTGGTACAAGCGCTTGACGAGGTCTTCAGCTTCCGCAATTGACTGTGGCACCTGGACTTCTAGGTCTTCCATGGAGGTGTTTGGGTGCGGCTCACTTTGAGGCGCTGTACGTTGATGGTGCAGGAGTAATTTGCCTCGAAGTGCTGCAAGCTGAAAGTACGCTGCTCTCAGACCGTCATATGAAGTACCCGAGTCTACCCAGGGCATTAGCTCCTCTATGGATATCGAAAAGGTCCCTCTTGAGTCAGCATCTAGATGTGAAGATAAGGACGAGTCCATTCTGAACGGGGTCCACGATTGATGGGAATCTCGCTTGGTGCCATAAAGAGAAGAATATCGCGCAACGAAGACTTGCAGTTTTCGTTGAGGAAGCTGGATTGATGAAGTGAATGAGAGAGGAAGGCATGGCTTAAAATGAGACCTATACTCAGCAGGAAGCTGCCGTCAGAGCGTTAATTGGACAACCGTAGAGGTCCGTCCAGATGGCAGGATCGGAAGTGGCCTTGACTTCCACTGCGAGTAAACGAAGTGGTTGACTACCTATCTAAGTACCAAGCTGATATTGAATGAAAATACCGATCAAAAATCTCAACGTGCAACTTACAATTTCGAAAGTTCGTTTAGCGACTGGTTCAGTACTCCAAAGGTACCTTGCATGCGTGGTAGCCATCGGAGCGTCTGAGAAGCACGATCAAACATACACAGGAGTTGTGGTCAATACTCTGGTATGAACAATACCTAGGTGGTGAGATGATGAAGCAAGATTGGCTCGGCATCTTCCGACATGTCCGCAATGCTTGATGTGTTTGGCGTGTTTGGCAGAGAACATCATTGCCAGCTCGAGAAGGTCCGCTTGACTGCTGTAGAGCCGCCAGTACATGTACTTCCTCCGTTCTTTTGCCCGCAGCAAGCCTCGCTCATTCCATTGCTTCTATGCAGGCGCAAACGCTCAGAGTATTTGCAGGCTCTTCCATAACACTACACCCGCTTTGAGTGCATCTGTAGACATGGAGACCGTTCACACCTCGGAGCGCCTTGCGCACCTGCGTGACCTTATGCAGAAGCACAAAGTCGACATCTACAGTATGTTATGGTGTGCTGTGCATCCTACAGCGGCTGACATACATGCAGTCGTTCCGTCTGAGGACAGCCATCAATCCGAATACATTGCGCCCTGCGACGCCCGCCGAGGTCCATCTCAAGCAAGACCGCTCCTTGAGAAGCACGCGCTCACGTTGAACAGAATTCATTTGCGGCTTTTCCGGCTCGGCAGGCACGGCGGTGGTCACTCACGACAAAGCTGCTCTGGCGACGGACGGACGGTACTTCAATCAAGCGGAAAAACAATTGGATAGCAATTGGGAGCTGCTGAAGCAAGGGCTGCAGGATGTTCCTACCTGGCAAGAATGGTACAGCTAGGGCACTACGCGAACCATCCGAGCAAGACTGAGTCGAGTAGGGCAGCCGATCAGTCAGAGGGGGGCAAGAGCGTTGGTGTAGATCCTACGGTTATCACTGCCCGTAGGTCCCCTCTTGGGTATGGGAACGGCAGTGTGCGGGCGCTGACTTTATCCAGCCGACGCGCGGAAGCTCTCGGAGAAAATCAAAAAGAAGGGCGGTGCAGAACTTGTGGCGGTTGAGGAGAACCTCGTCGATACCGTGTGGGGAAAAGCGAAACCACCAAGGCCGAACGAGACGGTGAAGGCTCTTGGGACCGAGTTCGCTGGCAAAAAGTTCGAGGACAAGCTCGAGGACCTGCGGAAGGAGCTTGACAAAAAGAAAAGCGCGGGCTTCGTCGTCTGTAAGTTGCCATCAATGACGCTGCAATCTTCCAATTTTAATAAACTGCTAGCTATGCTTGATGAGATTGCATGGTTATACAACCTGCGTGGTAACGAGTACACCACCGCAATCTAGTCGGGCTACGAGTGATGCTAACTTCCAAAAGCATCCCCTACAATCCGGTATTCTTCTCGTACGCAGTGGTGACCCCGACCAGCGCTACACTATACGTCAACGACAGCAAGCTTGACTCAGACGCCAAATCACACCTTGGCGATGCGGTGGAGATCCGACCTTACGAAGCCATATTTGGCGACGTCAAAGCGCTCAGCAAAAAGACGCCGGAGACAGAGCCCGACGGCAATACTGGATCAAGTAGCTCACCCAAGAAGTTTCTGATCTCCACGAAAGCGTCCTGGGCGTTGAACAAGAGCCTTGGAGGGGAGGAGAAGGTCGAAGAAGTTCGGAGTCCAATAGGCGATGCCAAAGCTGTCAAGAACGAGACTGAACTGGAGGGCATGAGGAACTGCCACATCCGAGATGGCGCAGCACTCATCGAGTACTTCGCGTGGCTTGAAGACCAACTGATCAACAAAGGGGCGAAATTGGACGAAGTTGAGGCGGCCGACAAGCTCGAGGCTTGCCGAGCGTAAGTCTTTGCACGTCCGCTTGTCCTACATACCGTACACTGACCAACTTAGTAAGCAAGAACATTTTGTAGGCCTGTCGTTCGACACTATCTCGTCGACAGGACCCAACGCCGCAGTGATACACTACAAGCCGGAACGCGGGAACTGCTCTGTTATCGACCCCAAAGCTGTTTACTTGTGTGACTCCGGCGCGCAGTATCTTGACGGGACGACAGATACTACGAGAACGTTACATTTCGGCGAGCCCACAGAAATGGAACGCAAGTCCTACACCTTAGTTCTGAAGGGCAACATCGCGCTTGAGAAAGCCAAGTTTCCCAAAGGCACCAGCGGCTTCGCTCTGGACACGTTGGCGAGGCAGTTTCTGTGGGCAGAAGGTCTGGACTATCGTCACGGCACTGGCCATGGCGTCGGCTCGTACTTGGCTCGTATCCCTCGCTCGGCTGGTGCCAGGTTCTCTTGCTAATATTCTCCAGAACGTGCATGAAGGCCCAATCGGTATTGGCACAAGGGTCCAGTACTCTGAAGTCTCCTTGTCGGTGGGCAACGTACTTTCTGATGGTGTGTGAAAGCCTTTCAGAGTCGTGGGATCTTACTGATGCTCGCAGAACCTGGATACTACGAGGATGGCAGTTTTGGAATCCGCATAGAAAGTTTGTTCCCCCGTTGTTTCAATGGCAGTACCTTGGCTAATCCGTGCAGACATCATCATGGTCAAGGAGGTTGAAACCAACCATAGATTTGGCGACAAACCGTACCTTGGCTTCGAACACGTCACGCTTGTGCCAATGTGCAGGAAGCTCATCGATGTGCGATTGTTGTCGGCAGCGGAGAAGGAATATTTGAATGATTACAATAAGGAGGTCATGGAGAAGACCAAGGGTTTCTTCAAGGGGGACAGCCTGACAATGGCCTGGTTGGAAAGGGAAACGCACCCATTTGAATAGACGTGTTTGGAGAAGGAGTAGCTTGATATCACTACCATCATCATCAAGGTCTTATCCAGCAGATGATGGCCTGTAGTGGATGCGCATCGTTCTGAACAGCGTGAGAATGTCTAGGCGTTTCCCTTGCAGTCGTTGTGAAAACGTACATTAGTTCTCCTTCCAGTCAGAACCGGTAGGTACGAAGGAGAGGGTCTTGAAAGAACAGGGCATCGTCGCTTGATTGCCGGCCACCGATCACCATGAGAGCAACGACCCTTTGTTCATTCAAAATCCCCTCCTTCGCAGGCAGAGAAGTTCAGAGTAACCACATCACGTGATTGCCCGCGCTCAACGACACTTGGCAACACCTACGCGTCCGTGATCTCCAGACATATGTCTGCGGAGTGACAAAAGCTTTGTTCTTCTATGTCCACTTGCTTAGCAGAGTAGTATCAATCAGAAGCGGCCGCCCCTTGTCAATCGGTTCAACATCCGCGCAGTTGCAACTTCCGTATTGCACAAACAAGTACACGAAGGGGACTTTGATAATATCTGATGGCATCGACAACAACGAACACTCAATGATGATTCCAAGCCAGCTGCTTCCTGTTTCCTCAGTTATCACGTAACCATCTATATTCAATTGGCCGGCGCTTCCATGGCCTGGTCGATGAAGCACACGCTGCTGGCCGCACCCAACATATTGATACCAATTGCGGTCTTGACTTTTGCTTCCGGCTTCTTTCCCTACAAGCCCTTCCTACCAGGCTTAGCTGAATATCAGAAGCTTAACTATGGAGTCCCGCCCAAGGCACCCTTCGACAAGCTTGTCTTTATGGTCGTCGATGCGTTACGAAGGCAGGGTTGATACGCGTTCGATGGGCCATATCTGCTTGCTAACCAGAAGGCAGTGACTTCGTATACTCCACGAGATCAGGTTTCCAGTTCACGCAGAGGTATTGTTCGTCACACCTAGATGTGGGACGTTGCTAAACGGTGTGCAGTCTGATTCGATCCGGTGCAGCCATCCCGTTTACCGCCCATGCTACGTCTCCAACAATTACCATGCCCCGCGTGAAGGCCATCACAACCGGTTCCATCCCGTCGTTCCTCGATGTGATCCTCAATTTTGCTGAGTCCGACACCACATCAACCCTGGCCTATCAGGACACGTGGCTAGCCCAGATGAAGGTCAAGGAGGGCGGTAGTCTAATCTTCTACGGTGATGACACTTGGTTGAAGCTCTTTCCCGAGACCTTTGTCAGGGCGGATGGCACTTCGAGCTTCTTCGTTTCGGTCAGTCCTCTTGCAGTAGCAATAGCAAGAAGACATGGCTGAGGTGTAGATAGGATTTCACAGAAGTCGATAACAATGTTACGAGACATATCCCTCGCGAGCTCCATGCAAGTGACTGGAATGCCATGATCATCCATTACCTTGGCCTGGATCACATTGGGCACAAGGCCGGACCGCTGAGGTAAGCATAGCAATGGAGAGCGTGTACCGAACAGCAGACTGACGGATTTGTAGCCCAAATATGCTGCCGAAGCAGACGGAAATGGACGGCATAGTGAAGCAGATATACGAAGCCATCGAGCAGGAGCCGCACTCGCAGTCGACATTGTTCGTCCTCTGCGGTGACCACGGCATGAATGAGGGCGGCAACCATGGCGGCTCAGCGCCAGGCGAAACTTCTCCGGCTTTGGTGTTCGTGTCTCCAAAGCTGAGAGAGATCTCTAATGGACATGACTGCCCTACTGAGCCAAAGCGAGACTTCGAGTACTATACTATGGTGGAGCAGTCGGACATAGCACCCACTCTCGCCGGGCTGCTTGGTTTCCCCGTTCCGCTCAATAACTTGGGCGTCTTCATCCCGAAGTTCCTGGACTTTTGGCCTGAGGGTGAGTCCGTTGCTGTTCGGTGTACCGATCTGTACAATGAGCCAAACAATAACGCGAGGCTCTGCAGGCAAGGACCGTATACAACTGCTGCATAGGAACGCTCTGCAGATGCTCACTATTGCCAAAGCCACGTTTCCCGATTCAAACTTCGATAACCACCTCCTGGAGATGGACTGTACAAAGCCGTCCTCGAGCGGAGATGAACTTGCTTGTTTGTGGCGGAGAGCAACTCATATGCTCCGCCGAGCGGATGACTTCAGATCTAGGCCGGAGGACATCTTGGCAGCGCTCTTAGAGGTATGTCATCTGAAGCTGCCACTGGCTGTGTCTGACAGGATGTTGTTGAAATTGCTCGGCCTGCTAGCATTTGGCAGTCACTGCAAATTCTCTCGCCTATGCATTCTTCTGTTATGATGAAAGCCTAGATACTGGGACGCCATCCTGAAGACCCAATTGAATACTTACGAGCATTTTGGCATATCCAATATGATTATGGCTGACATTCCACAGTTCTGCAGACGCACCCAAGCTGTCCTCAGCCAGACAGCAAGCAACTACAACCTCACACGCCTGGTGCTCGGTATCGCTGCTGCTACCATCTCGCTAGTGCTTGCTGTGGCTGCTTCCCACCGTGATCTGTCGCAACTCAGATCATCCGCCACCCTCTTCGGGCTACTACTAGCCCTTTATTTCATAATGATGTTCGCAAGTAGCTATGTTGAGGAAGAGCAGCACTTCTGGTACTGGATCACTCCGCCGTGGATCTGCTACGTGATATTGTTTGCGTCTCGCGATAGGGCTTCGACGCTTACTGGCAAAGGTGCGTGTAGTATCTCTCCTTCGCAAGGGCATTAGCAGAAACACGTTCCGGCTTCCTTTTCTGGCTGCATCTCATTTAGCCTTACACAGTTCAGGCCTTCATCTAGCCACTCAGGTTCGAGAGCTACATCTGGATGTTACAAATACCATCGCTGCGCCGACATCATCTCAATGTTAACGCAAAAGGGCTAACTTGCTAACAGTGATCGCGCTCTGCGGACTCGTGATTCTTATCTGCCTCCGCATAGCCCGCCGCTGGAACCAAACCGGCCAGAAGCACGCCGGTGCGCCAGACATTGTAAACAGCTTCCTCACCCACCATCAAATCCTCTTGTGGTTGACAATCAGCTGCACCTACGTCCTGCTTGCTATCCGCCTTGGACTGCGCTTGTCAGTCCCTGATAGAAGAGGGATCACGCTTGTGGGCCGCATCGTGACCGCATGGCTCTGTGCTGCAGCATTCGTGTTCAAGCTCAGCTTCACCGCTAGAGATGCGCCGGAGCTGGTTGATGGCCTACCTGAGGATGTTATAACAGGTGTACTTCAGCTGTCACTCGTTGGACTAGTAAGGACGGTCTTCTGGACGCTGCTGGTAGGAGTCTTACTGCTTGTTGGACAGCATATGTCCTCGGACAAGAATGAAAAGCGTGAGTCCAGATCGCCAGCCATCCTCTCTCTAAGTAGCCCCTTCAGAGAGTATATGTTGCACAGAAGTGTCATCCAAGTCCAGCTCACGACTGACCTGTCCTCACTTACAGGCACAAACCTAGCACACCCCCTCCACGACCTCGTCGAAGCCTTCCTCATGACCCAAACGCGAGCACAAAACATTCCGCTCTACCTCCTTTTCCGCACCATATTCTGGAGCCTAGTATCACTCCGCCTGCCACCAACCATCATCACCATCACCACTCTCCTCCTCTCTCATTTCTCCTTCTTCGGGCTCGGCAACAGCAATGCTATCTCGTCCATCGACCTCTCGAATGCCTACAATGGCGTCTCGGGCTACAATGTCATCGCTGTAGGCTCTCTCCTCTTTGCAAGTAACTGGGCCGGGCCGATTTGGTGGGCTTGTGCTGGGGTCTGCTTTTTGCTTGAGAGTGAGGGTGCTGCGGCGGAGGCGGAGGAAAGAAGGGGTGACGCTGATGGGTCAAGAAAGTGGATTCGGGAAGAGCGCGAGAGGTTGCGGCTTGCAGCGGTCGTATCTGATAGGGCAGAGTCCGCGGAGAAGGACGCGGGGCAGAGTGTTGTTAGACAGGCAAGTCGACTGTTCCATTACTTTTCCCTCCTCAATGCCCCACGGCAGCAGACGCGCATCCAAACGGCAGTTCCCCATCACCGCTCACCACGCTAATCCCTCACCACCAGACGTCAAGTTCCGATTCAGCAACTCCTCCAGTCACAACGCCTCAGGACGAAAAGGCCTCCGGCCTCTTTATCCACATCGCGACCTCGACAATCTTCACAGCGCTTAGCCTCGTGGCCGTAATGGCGGCCTGTACGGCGCTCCGAACGCACCTCTTCATCTGGACAGTCTTCAGTCCAAAGTACCTTTATAGCATGGCCTGGAGCATGGCGTATCATCTTGGGATTAGTGTTGGGCTGTTTAGCGCGCTGTGGTGGGCGGGGAGGCTTTGAGGGTTGCTTTTGTGGTATGGCGAGAGCCTTCGTGAGGGTCTGAGGGTGCTCGGTGTAGAGTAGCAGAATTGCTGCGCAGAGCGTTGGTCTTGACTTGTGCCTTCTATGCTGCGGTGTCATCCTTAGAGAAGCTGGATGATGGAAGACTTGGTGCAATTTATGCTGGATGGAATGCGTACAGTATACCGCCAGGGGAAGAGACGGAAATCTAGAGGATAGCTGAAGTGAGAATCAAAGCCAAAGCTTGTGACCAGACCACCTATTGACAGGCTTGCGGTTCAGTGGGCAATCGCAGCGCCGGAACTCTTGAGCATACATTCGACGGGTGATTCAAAGCTTCATCCCGGCTCAAATAGAACCTCACAGCATTGACATATGGCGTCGCAAAACAGCATGTCAGAATGAAAAAAACTTTATGAAATCTATCAGCATGTCCCAGCATCATCATCAACCCCTCAACCCCCTCTCCCCTCCCGCTCCCTCGCCCCAGCCGCCCCCCCACCACTCCTACTCCTCCCTCCCAACCACCAACCCCACATCCTCCTCCTCCGCCCCCAACACCCCATGATTCCCCGCCACCCCTTCCAACACCCCCTCCCCACCCTCCCGCGCAGCAGCAACCAAGCCACGCCGCAGCACCGCCATCTCGCCTTCCACCTCCATCACAGCATACGCAGCCGTGATGCCGGTGCACCTCGCCACACTCGCCAGCATGGCCAACAGCGCGACCCCTATGGCCGCAAACTGCGTGCTCGCCGTGAGCTGCGAGAACGCACTGCCACCCCACCAGCCGTCAGCACACTCTCACGCACACCACGCACCAACGCACACAGGAAAGGACACGACTCACAAGTACCACCTTGGCACCAACGCGTCGCGCCACCTCCCCACTCTCGCCTCCACCGCCTCGCGCGTCTTCGCGTCACCGGGGTTAGTAGAGAGGGATGAGAGGTCTGACACTAGCAGGCGCAGTTCGCTGCGGAAGTGGGATAGGTGGCGCCACCAGACGCTGCGGCGGTGCTGGTTCTTGTTGCGGTGGGCGAGGAGGTGGAGGAGGTCGCGGGTCTTGCGTAAGCTGTTGAGGCCGTCTGTGGAGACGTCGGCCTGGGATTTGACGTCGGGTGGGTTGGGCATGGTTGGGGGCCGCGGGTAGGGGGTTGAGGGGCCGAGGGTGGGTGGAGAGGCGGTGGCGAGGGCGGCGGAAAGGCGGGAGAGGGTTGCGGTTGCGGAGGCGGGATCCGTAGAGCTTGCTAGGTTTGAAGACTGGGTGGCGCCTTTGACGGATTCTTTTGGATGGACGACAACGGAATCGGGTTTTGGAGCGCGGGCTACGAAGCTGATGGACTGGAGAGAGCGATTCGCTGAGTTGGAGGAACCAGGGTGCTCGGCCATCTTGACGTCTGAAGTGAGGACAACCCGTGGAGCGAGCCGGCAAGTGGTGCTAGATTGATCTACGAAGTCGGCGGGCTCAGGATCCTGGTTCAATCCCCCGCGGAAAGCTGACACAAGTCGTGAGGATGGCACAGTAGCGTGTGCGTTGGACCAGCGTCGAATCAGGCTCAAGAGCGGAGTCGTTGACAAGAGTGTTATGCTCGAACGGAAGATGGCGGAGCGGATAGAACTCTATGTGTGGTCTCGGAAAACAATGAGTGCGGAGACGGCGGTTCACTTCGCAGATTACGTTGCCCAGAATGGCTCCTCAGTGAAAGGACTGATATATGGAAGTGAATTGGGACCCCTAAACTTGCTCGCCCAGGGTTGGCTTGGAAACAATCGAACTCCCTCATTGTCTGAAACATCCATGAGTAAGTTCAAAAGTAAAACAAGATGCCGGCTGAGACAGGTGACGAAGTTGAAAAAGCCGTAATAGGAATAGCACAACAGCTCGACTATCTCCGAATATTCTTCGTGGCTTTATGGAAGCTGATGATCCGTATGGCCGGGGCACCGGCTACTGAGAACTTTGGCGGAAGACTCCAGTCGAATACGTAGAGACGAACTTGACGCCTCCGCAGAGATAATGACTGACAACCGAGAGCAGCTTTGAGTGATGTGAGAATCAAAGGGGAGCGGTTGTTATCTGTATGTAATACAGGTGGTGTTGCAGATGTGTCGGCGGCCTCGGGGATTTTTCGTAGGGCGAAATTTTTCGAAAGCTTTCGAGCAAACACCCAATGATGTCTCTGTGCACTGAATGAAGATGCGGACGCCCTACTGAGACCTTAGGCACCTCTACGGTGTTGAACGCAGCTGGTAATGGAGAGCAGATGCGGTAGCTGAGATCATGCTCGTGTCAAGGGGGATATACGGTCTGCTACGGAGAGGTCCGATTACAACGTCTCGTGAATATGGTCAATCAGTGCCATCAAGGGCAACGTCCCACAATTCATGGAGGTTGTTTGAAGTCTCATCTACCGGTGGTCGAAGTTCTCGAAACGGACCATTCTCGGTGTACAGGGGTGAGCACAGCACCCTTTGCGCCAACCACGCGCTCCCCTGCCACTGCACCACCATCACTGCGAAGACAGCATTGAGGTTGTCGTCTTCTTGTACTCCTTACGCGTTAGCAGAATCCTGCCTCGGACTACACGCTCAGCTGAGCGAGAGTCTCCTCAAATCAAATATCAAGCATGACTTACCTCCGTGCCTCCCTCTCGCGCCGCGGTCCGCTCCTCCACCATCGTCCCACCCCTACCAGATTCGCGCCTTGAACGCGCCAGCAGCATCAGCACACGGCAATGGAGCGTCTTCAGGCCATGCTGGCAGCTCTGGGGCAGCAGACTCCAGCCGATCTAAGACCCTTTGTGCTTACGCCGCCGATCGTATCCTGGGCACACACCTATCCCACCCTCTGACCGCTCCGAAGCTACCCACAGAGCTGGGCCTCACACCTCCGATCGCGCGAATGACACAACCCCATTCCACACATGAACGACGACTGTCCTCGCCGAATATCGAGACGGGCTTGGTAGTCTTCGAGAGGATGAATTGCTCGCCATCGAAGCCGCGCGGATTGCCGCTGTCTGGGCAGCGGCAGCGATACCCTACAGTCTGCAGCATGCCGATGGAGAGACGCTTCGCGCAGCAAGCTAGAGTCGGCACTGAGCGTCTCAGCTCATCGGAGAGACGGTTCTGAACGTGGGCCCCGGCCTTCTTGGTGACGCGAAGTTCGACCATCCCCAGGACCCGGATCAGAAGTAGCACAACTGAAGAGAAGGGGAGGAAACGGCATTATATACAACACTCTCTCAAAGGTCGTTGTGGGGTATCGAGGCGAGCAATTCCACCTTGTCGCCGTACCATGAACCGGAGCTCGAAGATTGCATCGATCAACATCCCCGAGCCGCGAACAGCATCAACTGTGCGGACCCGCGAGATGTACCACCGTACCACTCAGGAGGGCAAAAAGGTATATATTCTGGCGCAGTCTCGCGCCGTCTTGCAGTTAGCATGTACAGAATTCACGAACCGCTATCCCATCGACAAGTGGAACATTTCCGTCCATGAGATACGTTCAAAACTGCGAGAGCGAGAGAACGCGAATCTTCCATCCCTAAAAGTCGGTCGATAGAGTCAAGTACAGCGGGCTAGCATCTTATAGAGATCCAGAGTAAAGAGAAGGGCATCTCGAAGTTGAGCGGTTCATGCTCAAGTCGTGCGAAGGGTTAAATACTAGTGCACGCTTGAGATTTCTGGTGGTTAAGCTCATGCCTTACACACCGCCTCACGCTCGTGGCGAAGCTCCGCATCCAAAACTCACAGCCAACTCAGGCTCAGATGAGATTTGATTTGCCAGGTTCAGGTCTTTACCCAAGCCCACTAAGACCGGAAGCGTTGCTGGGCGAGGAGACTTGCGATACAACCCGAACGACTCCACCAAGCACCAGCTGCAGCATCGAGCTCAGCGCTGAGTTTTCCAATCTCCGCTCATGGCGGTTTCTGCATATGTAGTGACTTGCGAGGCGGACGGGGAATTACCCTTGCAGAATTGGACTAAGCATCATCCGCGTAGCATCTGTCCAAGCGCTCGCCGCGTGTTCGTGGTGTGCTTCGAAGGGAAACGCCCTTGAAGAAGCTTCGTGCTCCGAGATAAAGGTTACATTACCGCAACATTCCAGTTGCCTGGGTCGCTGGCGCAGCATCAGACGACGACTAGAACAGCTGCATCAGCCCTGTATGAGTACAGCCGAGCCGAGAGAATGTGGACCGGGCTTCTGATTCAGCTTCAAGAGGTTTCTCCCATTCGCCACTCCTTCTGTTCGGAGCCTTATGACACAGATGGACCCCGTATCCCACTATATTCCGATGGTCGAAGAGGCCGGCGGCAACATATTGGAAAACGGCGACGGCAAATCTGGCGGCAGAACTGGTGGCAGTACCAGCATGGACCTGCTTCTTCCAACGTGTGCGGGTGCCGAACCTGAGCCCTTCATGGACCAAATGAGCCCCGGTTCTCCGACAGGACTCGCAGTAACACCACTCATGGTTACGAGCCTGACGTTGCTCCGCAGCCCGCCATTTTGCTCGCAGGAGCTGTCCAGTAAAGCCGGTACGACTCACCCGACGGTCTGCGTACCCTCAGGCGACAACTACGATCCTCACAGGTGGCCTCTTCAATCCAGCTCTTGCCATCAGCCCGCCCATTTGTGTAGGATATGGAAGAACAGATCGATGTCCCTTGTTCCAGATCCGAAGCCCTCAACACCTCAAGCTGCCCAGCATCTCCGCAGTCCTCCGTGTTTCATGACCTCAGGTCTCAGTCAAAGATTCCGCATGGCTTGTCCATTGCTTCATGTGTTGCTGCTGTTGCGCCATGCCGCTTGTACGCTCGCCGCGATGCTGTAAGGCGAACGGACTGGCGCAGCACCTCCGATCCTTTCTGTCCCGTATAGCCAGAACGCCTCGTGTTGCTGAAGCTTGTTTGGGCGCAAGTGTCCCTGATTGGGCACTTCGCCATAAAGACCGACCCGTCGTTTGCTTCAGACACGCAGACGAAACCGCCACAGCAGAAGCTCCTAGAGTGTTCGGTGGTCGTTGAGCATTCGGAACGCTGGATCGCAAGTGGCGAGTTCGGTGTTACGGTTGGTTGTTGCTGTACGGCGAGAAAATGTCAGTCGCGTCCACAAGGAGCCAACGACACAGCTTCTCTGTGATCCGAACTTACTGGAAACCTTTCCTGGCCTATCCTCTCTACGCCGCATGCCCGCTTCTGTTGAACCTGTTGCGCTAGGCTGCCCGCTGATGATGCCAATTCTGCCGCCTGGAAGTATCCTGCCCAAGCCGTGTGCTCTTGCAAGGACCTCCGCCTTTCAAAGTCGCTGCTGCCGCGCAAAGGCAAATGTGAGAGCTGTTCCACGCATCATCATGACCATGCTGTTGTAGCCATCTCGTCCTCTGAGGGAGGCCGCGGGCACCACGCCATGTCAAACCTCAACGGTAATCTTCCATCCGCCCGGCGTCGAGATCGATGGCGCTCCGGCTGCGGGACTGGTCGTGATGGTAGCTTCGCAAGCAGTCGGTGGAGGCAGCGTTTCTCGTCTTCCGTGCGGCGGGACGTAGTACCCTCGCGGAGACGCCCTAGTTCTATGTTAGCGGCACGGAGCAGACTCAAACAAAAGGACGTACCTGTGAGCGTTTGAGAGCCACCGTCGACTTGAGCAGTTGGGCGTTCCGGACAACGGGCTCGCTCGTGCTGTGCTGGCTGCTGAAGCTGTGAGAGACAGGCCTGGTCCAAGAAACAGGCGTGTCAAGCTGCCAGCGCTTGCTGCTAATCTTGCCTGCGACTTCGGCTTGCTGCTCGCCGGAGATGTGCTTGTCGAGCCCGTTCCCCTGCTCCCAGTCTCCAGACCGGTTGTCTGCGAGCTGAGCTGTTGGTGACTGTTAGTGGAGGTGACCCAGCTCAGCGAGGATACTTACCCAGCGTAACATATCCTGCCCTATCAGGCGTGGATGCTGCGGCAGTTGCTTGCTGTTGGTGTCCGTGTATATACCTAAAATATATAAGTGCTCTGTTTCATTGAACCTATCCGTGCCTCTGTTTCCTATGTGATTGGTGTGTATGCGTGTTGATACTAACGTAGAGGTGAGGCAGCACATGCAGGCGTTCAACGCTCCGTGTTGAGTGCTCCCTGGAATCGTGCCTCAAGGCATCGTAGATCGTAGAACGTAGGCCATGTGTGTGATGCGTGCTGTGGCATGCTGCTACTGAGATGCGGCATGCCGGTCATCTCTTAAGAGCCCGTAGGCAGTGTTGAGGTGCGAAATCCGAATGCGCTGTGTAGAAGTTGTGGAAGCTCACGGAGCTTTTGGTGTTGAGGATGCAGTAATGAGAACCTGGCCGCGGCCTTTGTAAAATCAAGACCCCTGTACGGCAGTCCTTCGTGTCCATAGAGGAGGGCTGCCGTACTGGCCCCGGGGTAACTGGAATAGTGTGGAACCTCCCCGTGGAGCCGGTGTTGTGGTTGTTGTCTGTTATGCACATTCGACTGGCACGCAAGAATGCAAAAGTTGGGCAGAGCTGTTGGATGCTCAAATGGGAGCGCAGTATGGGGCAGAGAAATCCGCAGTAGGGTTGCTCACAAGAGAGTGGCGGGATCACGGATGTTTGCGGAGCCTCACCACGGCAGCATCAGCAATGCATACCTCATGTCTCAAAGGTGTGCACGCACATCAAGAGCAAAGGGATCAAGCCTTATTGGACCAAGACAAATGCATTTGGTCGCTACAAACTTTTTGAGTTAAGCTACATGACAAAGAGAGGAGCAAAGACATCGGAAGCGAGGTGTCATAAATCGGGGTTCGTCCGCAGAGCGACCGTATCGTAAAGCGTAGATATGTTGAAGGGGGGGTTATGTTGGGGGCGTGTGTTGTGAAAAAGCAAAAGATCCATCCGTTCCATGACCATTATCGGAAACTTCACCTCCTCCACATGAGCAAAGACAGAGCGGAAAGAAAAAACAAACCACAGAACAGAGACGACTACCCAGTCATTGGAAAAACATCCTGGTTTCCATCATACACAAAGAGGTGAACAGACATCCAGATAAGTTTCCGGAAGAGGACGTCAACCATACACTCAACCGGAAGGTCTCCTGAGCGTATCCAACCGTTGCCAGACACAAGCTCGGTATGGACATTTTCGAAGTTTCGGAGTTTCGTATTGCGAGCTCCGGCACGAACATAGGTGATGTCGAATAAGAAGCGAGACGTCAACGTTGTTGAGGTGCGATGCAAAAGTCGAGACTGCAGCAGCTGCGGATCTTGAAGCAATCAGACTGCGCGCATAAAATGCCATCGTGAAAGTTGCAAGGCGTGGTGACAGCCCCCATTAGGCAAGTCGGAACGCTTGTGCTCAGTGCCAGCCGTAATGGTGGTTGCCGGGATAATGGTTGCCATGGTGGTAGTTGTCGAAGCGGTTGTAGTGGCCATCCATGACGCGTTGCTGGTGGTATTGCATGGCACCGTTCGTGTGTTCGAACTGGCGAGGCCCGAAGTGATGGACAACCTGGTGCTGCTGATACCCGTGGTTAGCCGGAGCCGTGTAGGCCTGCGTGCCGTATTGCTGTACAGCATGGCCATTGAACCGTCTTGGAGAGCGGCGTCTTGGAGAGTGACCACAACCACCGTGGTCGCGTCCTTGGTGAGCGCTTTGACCCTGGTATGTCAAGGCACGGGGGGTGCCAGCATCAAACGGGCCTTGGTGCCGTTGACGTGTACCGCGACGATTGCCCTCATTGGGCGGGAACAGACCTGCAGATCAAGAGTCAACAACCATGCCGTAGCGGAGCCGACAGGCCTTGACATACCGACTTGCTGGATTGAATCCATTGACCTCATCACCTTGACGATATTGTCGGGCGGGGGGAAGGGCTCCTCCTTAGAAATCATCTCATCTCCGAGCGCATCGTACTTCGTGTAGACCAACTGCCAACGTCAGCAATCAGTCACATACGATATTACAAAGCACATGAAGCCCACCATCGGGCGGTACATCGGCCACTGCAACATAACACCGCTGTTCTGGAACTTGGCAATGAGTCCCTCGCGCCCCTGGCAAGTGGCATACGAGACTTCGGCAATCTTGTTGGAGGCCTGACCCTGCCACGGCTTGCCGGAAAAGGCCTTGAAGAACGTGACGATGTCCTCGGATCTGACGAAGTTGATGAATGCATAGCCGACATTGCAGCTATTATCGAAGTCCATTCGAAGGTACATGAAGTCGTAAAGACCGCGTACCTTTTCATCCAGTAGGCCCTTGAGCTCGTCCTGTGAGAGTAAGTAAGCGTATAAATGATAGATGGACTTCGAAGACTTACACGACGCATCTTGTTGGGAATGTTGCGCAGCATCACCTGAGATACAATCAGTACGTGCAAGCAACATGGTTTATTTTAGAAACAAGCCATGCTTACCGTGGTGCGCACATCTTGCCCAGCTTGGATCCGCCTAAGATCGATGCGGTTGTCGCGATTGTTTGCGTGTTCCTCAGTGTCATGGTGATGGCGCGGCGCGGCATGACGAACCAATGGGCGTGGGCCGCCTGGGAGCTCGGCGGCAATCCAGAGACACTATGACCAGTCAGACATGACGCTCCTGCTTCTAATGAAGTCAGAAATAGTAAAGTAGGGTTGCTTACACCATCGTAAATCGCATCCTTGTGCGCATTGAAGAAGCGCTTCCCATCTGAGAGGGAGTCGAACTCGACAAGGAGTCCCTTCCCCAAGACCTCTTGCTCCCAATGGTTGGGGATGTCGCTTGCAAGAGGAATACGGCCCAGAACCTTGCCGTATGACGCAGCGCGGTCATACAGCATCTGCTGGATGCGGAGGAACTCGTTTTGCACCACCTCGAACGGGCCGTGAGCCCAGAGAATGACCTGGCCCTCTAGTTCGTCGATACAATCAGGGCGGTTAAGAGAGACCAAGGAGAAGTCCCTCAGGGTGATAAACTCGATGAGCCATTCTCCGCCGCGAATGAGCGCTACGTCGTCCGCAGCCTCTTGTGCCGAGCTGATGGTGTCAAAGGCGAAATACAGTTCGCCTTGGATCAGGACGCGCTTCACAATGTTGATGCAAGACTTGAAGGATGGCCGCTAGAGGTGGGGACCACTGGTCAGTTTCTGACAAGAAAGTGCGGAGCAAAAGTGAACCCGCGTTGAACTCATGCCAGCGGAGATGAAGAGCTTGGCGAGGCATCATGGAGAACGATGAGAGTGAGGAACAGAAGAGTAAGACAGATCTATCCACTGGATGTCTGTACAGACGCGTGAATTTGAGTCTGGATTGATGCGGAGAACAGGCACGCGTGCAAGACGCGTTTTCGCGCGTCCAACGCGTGAGCACAGCTCCGGACAGTGAGTGAGTGTGTTGGGACTCGGGAAAATGAGGACAAAGGATAATTGAACGTCGTTGGACACGATGTGAGCGGACGAGTAGTGAGAGAGACGACCGTCAATGAAGAAGATATGAGACGAAAGTAAACGCGTCAAACACTCTCAAAAAAAATGGAGAGCGTTTAGAGAAGCACTGCAACGGCTCAATCAAACTTACCTGTTTCAACAGCATTTCCGCTTGGCCCGACGATAGCTCCTGCTTTGACACGGTGATCTTAACGTAGCGGCTGATCTTCACGTTACCGCCGAAGTGAGTGCTCGTGGTCAGCCCCTGGACAAGGCCATTTGTCGATGACGAAGTTGGACGCGAGCCGACGTTGGCCGACGTGCCGGAGGTTGCAGGACGCGATCCAATGGCACCGGAGCTGCCAGAGGTGACGGGCCGTGAAGAATGTCCATGGTTCCTGTTGAACTGGACGAAGCCATAGTCGTCTGGGACGGAGTCTTTGGTCAGGTATGATACAGGAGCTGCCGGCTGAGAGGACGTTGGACGAAACGCGTTCGCCGATGCGGAGAGGCCTTTGTTCGGGACGATGGAGTCATACGAAGGTGGGCGGCTGGAGTGGAACGGATCGTAGCTGTTGTTGCAATTGCCATGCTGGACAACGGCACCGTGATGGTTGTTCGTGCCGGCGAACTGCGGCGGACCTTTGAAACCTTGACCAGCCGTACCTCGCACAATCTCTGGAGAGAAGGCAGTGGCATTGGTAGTGGGGGAGAAGTCGGTGTAAGACCCGTTGGTCTGAGCCGAGTAAGGGCTACTGTGAGTAGCCATTGTGACGAAAGGAAGACGCGTTGTGGTCAGAGAGTGACGGTAAAAGACGTGCGGGAAGGAGCGAAAGGAGTAAGGGCAACAACGATGTCTCTTGTGTGTCAGAGCTGAGAGGAGTAGAAGCTTGGGTCGGCCCTGCTCAGGAGAGAAGGAACGACTTGTGAGTGAGGTGAGGTGTAGAAGAGAAGGAGCAAGGGTAAAAGAAGGCCGCTTAAGTAGGCCCTGCGGCCGCTGCCAGCGACTATTTCGGATCACGCATCAGTCAGCCACTGCGCCGATACTTCAGGACGGGATCCCTGTCCCTCGTGGCTTGGGCTCCGAAAAATCCCAATCGGGCAGCGGTCAGGGCAGCAGACCCCACGGGTTGTGCGCAGTTTTCGTCATCCTGAACGCTTTAACTTCAGTTAAGATTGCCCGCGAACGGATGAGGACGGAGCCGGGGTCATTCGCCAACTAGGCCCCGCTTGCCGCGCGGGAGTGCAAGGGTATACGGCCAACTTATCCGGCGGAGGACTCGGTGTGGTGTTGAGACTGACGGAAGCATTCAACTCGCGACAGGCGCAGCATCACCAACTGAGCTTCTATCTACGCGCAAAAACTTGGAGCTGCTGCAGAAGCTCAAGCACAGGCGACTGAGACGCGTTCATGTCTACTGTAATGTCGTGGTGGTGGTGCATCAAGCTGCTGGCTTCGCAGTTCTTGTCATTGCAGCAATCTTTACTGCGTCCGTAGAGCCTCACTCGGGCGCGGCGCCCCTTGCCCCTTTTAGCGTGGATTTCTCCGTTCTGACGGCTGCCATGTCCCGAACTTGCCTAGCGTATGGCCCGTGCGCCGGAGAACGGCAACGTCACAGCGTTCCCCGATGCTTATTCTGACCACAACACGCCGTACTCACTCTGGCCACCTGCGACTGCGTCTAACTCGGTCAGGAAAACTGGACTTTCTGCGTAGAAAGTCTCAAATAGAAGCCCATAGCATTGTCTGTCAGCTTTGATCGCTGTGTGCCTGTTGTTTATGGGCCAGTTGGGTGGTAAACTTGCGGGAAGCAGAACACCGTAAAGCCGCTCTTTCTCACTCTTCTGAAGCCAGAGCTGGGAAACTCACTCTTCACTGTATCACTGTGATCGGCGATTGGGCAGCCTGTGGCGGGGCTGCGGAGACGATGCCGGCCTTGATCGAAAATCCGGACGCCCTCACGGCGGCCGTTCAGCAGGTACGCGCGCTCTCACTTTGTGCTCACAGATTTCCCCCCAGGACCTTGAACGCGGTTGACACGCGTAGATAACTCTGTCGACGTCAGACGCCGACTACATTGACCAGCTGGCCCCCGTGCTCCGAGATGTCGGCCGCACAGACCGCGCTGGACAGCTTATACAGTCACTCACACAGCTCTCTGCCGAGCGTGAGGCCGACATTGAGCGTATGTGCAGCACTAACCATCAGGAGTTCGTTACTTCCGTCAACCAGCTGCTGCGTGTGCGTGAGGGGACGGTGGAATTGACCCAGGAGATTTTAAGTCTGTACCAAGAAATCCAAGCCAGCACTGAGGATCTGGTCGAGCAGAAGAAGAACCTGGTTGATTTTCGCGGGGTACGTCAGAACATTGATGAAGCCACTGAAGCGCTCAACGCGTGTCTTGATGTTCTTCGTCTTGCCAACCAAGTCTACGATTTACTTGCCAAAAAGAAACACTATGCTGCCTTGCGTGCCCTTGATGAGTTGCAGAACGTGCATCTTAGGGAAGTCTCGCGGTACAAGATCGCGGACATGATTGAGAAGTCGGTGCCCGCAACGCAGCGGCTGATTGCTGAAGCTGTGATGACGGATCTCAACATGTGGCTATACCGCATTCGGGAGGCATCGCAATATCTCGGTGAAGTGGCTTTCTACCACACAGAAATGCGCCGCACCCGGCAAAAAGAGCGCACCGAAAAGGACGAGTACTTTGGCAAGTTCAAACTCAATTCAGCAGTCGAACTGGTCGCCGATGAAGATGACGAATTCGACATCCTCAATAACGAAGAGACCGAGACGCAGGTCAACTTTGCGCCGCTTCTTGAGTGCATGCACATCTACGAGACTCTCGGACGGAGCGACTACTTTCGCGCAGAATATGCGGCCACGCGCCGACGGCAGAAGGAGCTTCTGATCCCAACAAGCTTGACTCTTGTCGACGAGGATGGAGCCGATCTCAGTAGTGTTCTGGAGAGTGTCGCAGGATTTGCCATAGTCGAGAAAGCAACCATCAGGAAGACGGATAGTTTCAGGACAAGTGTAGATGTAAGTCGGTTGAACGCTTGATTCTCCTCCCAAGCATTGTGTCCAGTCTAACGGAGTGATCAGGTCGATGAACTGTGGGATTCCATGTGCCAAAGTACCGTCACACTCATTTCCAATGCGCTACATCACGTCGACAACGACGAAAAACTTCTCCGGATCAAGGGACGCATAGCTTTGTTTATGCAAACTATGGCTGTAAGAACCTTCCGATCACGAACAAACAAGATATTTCTAATCAAGTGATCGGTAGAGCTGGGGTTACTCCGTCACCAGTTTGAATTCGCTTCTCCTCGCAATCTTCGACAAGTACGCGCAGTTCCTCAAGAAACGTTTCAGCGAAGATTTCCAAGAGGTAATCTGTTCGATCCATACAAAGACTGTGCCTAGTCTCACAACCATAACAGATTGTCTCAACCGACGATTACATGCCGATGCCGATCAATTCACTCGACGAATACAATAAGGTCGTCAACGTCAGCTGGTACACACCAGACAAGGATCCGGAGGAGCTGACGTATGTACACAATCAAGAGGTCTGTTGGATGGCATACTAACCACAAGCAGTTTTCCGTGTGTTCTACCGTTCTCGCAGATGTATCCACTGTGCTGTATCGACATCCGCAATTTCCTCAACCAGGTCTATCTTTTCTCGGACGATTACTTTGAGCGGTCTGCCGTCATTGACGAGACGCTCAAGAATGTAAGTTAACTTCATAAGAGACCGCAGGCGTCTTCTAATCTGCATTCAGTCCATCGACGAACTTCTCTGCGAGAAAGTCTGCCAATCCCTTGTCGAACGTCTCAGCTCTCAATACCCTGGCCAGATTGTTCAAATACTCACAAACCTGGAACACTTCGAGATAGCATGTCAGGAGCTGCAAGAACTTCTTCTCCAAGTACGGCGCAGCTCCATAAGCGGACCGATTGTTCTTGCTGCAACCGAACAATTCAGAGCAGGGAAGAAAACAGCCGAGAAGCGTATATTCGAGCTGGTCAACTCGAAGATCGATGATCTGATTGAGACCGCGGAGTATGATTGGTGCGTGAGATTTACACAGAACAGAGAGAAACAAGGGCTAACGCTTGCACAGGATGGCTACCACTTCGTCCACCGATCCAAGCAACTACATGCAAGAGCTTACTCGCTACCTGTCCAACATCATGAATTCTGTTCTTCTGGGTTTACCCACCGAAATCAAGGAGCTCATCTACTTCGACGCCCTCAGCCACGCTGCAAACATGATCCTGGTTCGTTTCGCATCCCCAGGACTTCCATTATGCAGCCCGCTTGAAGCATTCTCAATAGTAAGCGGAGTTGACTGACCTTCGTATTTATTGCAGAACCTGCCCCTAGATCCCGTTGTCAAGCGAATCAGCCCAGCGGCCGTCCGCACCCTCGCAAAAGACGTCTCCTTCCTCTCCTCCTTCGTTGACAGCCTCAAGAACCCGATTCTCAAGGAGAACCTCGACGAGCTCATCCAGACGGTTGCGCTGATGCAGGCGGACGACCAGCTCGAGTTTTTCGACGTTGCGCAGAGGAACAAGAAGTATGGCATGGTCGATAGGGAGAACGGCGCCATCTTGCTGGAGAAGTACTATGCCCCCTTCTACTGGCGCTTTCACAGCAGTCGCTAACACTCTCGTGTCTACAGGGTCACTCAAGGCGCAGCTGTCGCGCAGGCTCCGGCTCCACCTACCAGATCTGACAAGTTCGACAAGTTCGCTACCATCAGCTCGCGGTTCGGCATCAACAAGTGACGAGCTTCAAGCGCAGCCATCCCGAAGGGCCCTCCAAGGCAAAAAGATGGGAGGGCAGGAATGCGTGCGCTTGGAGCCGAGTGGACACTGCGAAACGGTTTAGTCGCTGTCTCTCCTCTGTGACGGAATTGCATTCGATTTCTCTTGTGCTGCATAAGCGTATACACAATATGGTGCTTAGGAAAGTGAACACTGGCAGAAGCAATACCTTCAAAAGCAATCCTTGCGTCCATGTTCCTTCTGGCTGTCACAATGGCTGTCTGCTTGCGTTAAGGGCTAAAAGACTTCCTCAACTCATGTAAACAAATCATCAAGATAGACGAAGCAGTGTTTTTTCTCCTTCACGAACACAGCTGCTCCGTCAGAACTGGAACAGAATTGCTACGATAGTAAAGCACTTGCCTCAGCGCCTTCTCCCTGACCCGCCTGAGCGCCAAAGCACCTAAACACGCGTCCCGTAAGGCTGAACCCTCACCCCAACCGCGCTCCGACCACGCGTCCCCTTCTCTACCTCGACGCGCTCTTCCCTCCCCCAAGCACAGCCACACCTACCCAATCCAGCTGCACAAAAGCCCTCACTCCGACCCCCCGACACCCAGACCTGCCAAGCAGCTAGCCCCCTGTCCACAAACGCCCCCCCGGTCATCGGAGGTCACACAGCCAACCTGCAGGCTGAACTAGCGCGGGTGGGTCCAGGGTTTCATGTTTTAGTGAATGACTGCGTTGGGCAGCAATCTGCTCTGGCAGAAAGGGAGATGATGATTGGCTCCTGCGGGCACGGGGGACGGAGCCGGAGAAGGGAGCCGGGCAACGTGAGAGACTGGGAGGTTGGGGGAGGGCGCCTTGATGCCTGAGGGGATGGACGCGCTGGAGCGCGTGGAGGGACGCGTTACTGGGGGTTGTGAGCTTCTGGACGCGGGATTGAGCGGCGCGGCGTCCTGCAGTGAGGATGAAAACGATGCAGGGTCCAGAACCAAGACATGTTCCTTGACTGAGAAGAGGGATACCGGCTTCGTGTTGACGACTGTGAGTGCTGGACTCAGATGATGAGAGGGTGCAATATAACACAACTGGTACCGTCTCGGACGACTATCTGTTCTGTTCGGCCTGTTTTCTGCGCACTCGCACTCCACAGCTCGTATCCACAACGCTGGCACATTGAATCCCCTCGGTATTGATCTCTCTGGTGGCGGGCAACGGACCACAGAGATCTCGGTGCTGCCGTAATCTTTGGATAGCCCAGACACAGGACTGCGGGAAATGCTGTCCACAGTACTTCAATTAGCCAAGTCAAGATTTGGATCACTGCAGCCACGCAGTAAGCTGGTTCCGCTCTTGAGGTCTTTTACCGTGGGCAGGGATACAATCGTAGCACTGATGCATCTCTGCTTTGCAGGAGGCCAGGGTGTCAACATGTAATGGCCGTGATCGAATGACCTGATCATGCTACCTCCGGGAGCTTCGGATTCCCAGCGCAGTCGACAACCAGCAACACGACCTGTCAAAAGAAGACCCACGGCAACTCCAGTAGAGATTGGAGTGGAAACTCCTACATCAAGATGCTGTATCGCTCGCAACCGAAGTTCCGTAAGCTTACCGGTCCTCGAGGCCACATCACGGGTATCTGGCAGCGCACCGCCGGGCTGCAGGTCTGTCGGAAGAGTACCCGACAAAACAAACACTGTGTACGATTCACAAGTAAGACTCGGAGATGGGATCACTGGTGGGAAGAATGACCAGTCACTTCGAATCTGTGCAAGACGTTTAGGCAAGACAATGCAGAGGGTACAGGGTTGAAATTGTTCTCTCAGGCAGTTTGAAGCGTACAAGAGACGTGCGAAGACTTTAGTGGAAAGGAAGCATGAAGATTAAGGGTTTGTAAATCCGAAGAAACCCAACGCAAGGATCAAGCTCCCACAGAACGCCCTGCTGAGTCAATCGATACCAAAAGGAACCGCAACTCCAGTCTCCAGAGATCAAGCACACAAGGGAGTTCGGCGAGTAAAGTCCCGCCCAACTACTTCTTCCCCTTGCCCCGTCAACCCCCTTCACGAAAAGCTTACAAACTTCGGATCCCTCGGCCTCCCGTCCGGCCCGATCCCGTTCCTGCTGAACCTCTCCTCGGTCAGAATCCTCCTCGCCTCGTCGAAGGTCACCCTCCTCGTCTTCATGATGCGCCTGACTTCCTCCTTGCCCCGCTCATCCAAGCCCGCGCGGCTGTCGCCGGACTCGATGTTGCCAGTAAGGTCAAAGGCGGAGGAGGAGAAGCCGGATTCGATGTCGGAGCGGAAAGAGGAGGGGAGGCGCGAGTACACATAGTTGGAGCCGGGGAAGGAGGGGACGTGAGAGATCCAGCGTTGGCGGGTTATGTAGAGGGCTGGATGAGGTCAGTATTGTGTGTGACAAGGACGAGTGGGAGACTCCATCCGGGGGGGATCTAGGTAGGAGGCTAGGCACGTACCCGTTGCGAAGACTAAGACAACGAGTGAGAAGGAATAGAGAAGGTAGCTCATGTTGACGAGGCTTGCTGGGCCGGAATGCGCGTAGGCTTTGATTGCTTGCAGTGAGGATTTACGGACGAAGCGGATATGTGAGTGGAAGACTTCTTGAAATGGTGCGCTATCGAGCCTGCAGTAGTAACTGAGGCTGTTGCATGAAGATGATATCAAAATAGACCGTGGAGGTGCAATTGAGGCTTTCCCTTACGAATCCGGCTCGGGTCCCGCGCGTCAGCTCTAAGCCCCAGCATTCGTCACGCGGCTTGGCAGCCCATCGGCGCCCGGCGCCACTTTACACCGACAGCTTCCGCCCACGATGGAGCATTTCGCGACATCAGAGGGATATTGACAGACAGCTTCAGAACGCCGCAACAAGACACAATGGCCTCCAACATGTCGTCCGACCTCATCTGGGAGTGCACCCGTACGTCCGCTCTCGATTTCCGCGGCAGAAAATGCAGCATCATGCCAGAAGGCTGACCAAAAACACACACAGGCGGCCAGAGCGCCTTCCTCTGCAAGCGCAAATCCGCCGGCGGCGTGCAGTTCTCGCGCGACCCGCTCAACCTCGTGAACAAGCACTCGCGGAAATACGATGGATTCCTGAGCGACAAGGTACTTCCCCTTCCCCCCTTCCCTCTCCCCATATCCCAAGCCCCTCCCCCACAGCACCAACTGACACCCCACCCACCCCAGGCAATCGGCATCAACTCGTCCGACAAATCCATCGTCCTGACCACCAAGAAAGCCGACAAGGCCAACAAGCCGGCCTCGCTGCTGCAGACCAGCAGCTTCAAGGCGACGACCCCGGCGCGCAACCTGTACCGCAGCATCGTGAACAGCACGGTCAAGAATGGATACAGGGCCGATCTGAGGGCCGAGGCGGTCTCGAGGGCCAGCGCGATCAAGAGGAGTCAGAGGCCGGTTAGGGCGGATCGGGTGACGAAGGCGAGGGGCGCCAAGGCGAGGAAGGAGAAGGAGGTGTCGTCGGAGTAAGGGGGTGATGTAGGGAGGAGGGAAACGCATGATGTGCTGTGGGAAGACATGGTATCAGAAGCATTATGATTGCTCCGTACTGAAGGAGAAAATCCACACCAGTGAAAGATCAATTGAATCAGGTCAACTCGTTCAAATCAACTTGAACGATGGGTTGAATCAATCCCGCCATTCCTCTTGCGGTGGCTGGCTTAGCATTCCGTGCTTCCTGCATTGACTCTACTACCTGACAGTACGCTGGGAGACATGCGTCGTAGAGCAGCCGCGAGCAGCCGTAATTCCCAGGCTTGACCGGCACTCCCATGACCGCTGGAAGCTGCATTGGATATTACTACGCTGTCCGAAGCAGCAGTTGTTCCTACTCACATGCTGACGGCTTCATGCATTCATCTATCCAACGTCTCGCGTCCACGGCCCTCCCATGCTCTTGACTTGGAGCGTGCATTCCACAACGCGTATAAGGATTACGCCACGACCCTTGCACCTCGCTCATCTCCTCCCATAAGCCTGCTGCTGAAACCCCGGCGGCATTCCCGGCGGCATCCCAGGCGGCGCCCCAAATCCGGGCGGCGGCGCCGGCATCCCCGGCATCCCCTGACCTGGCATTGGGAACCCCGGCGGCGGCGCGCCAGGAGGCGGGAATCCCGGTCCCTGCGGAGGATTAAATCCAGGCGGCATAAAGCCCGCCGGCCCTCCGTACCCAGCCTGCGACGGCGGTGGCCGCGCCGGAAGGCCCGACGGTGGAGGCGGCAGCGGATTCGACGCGACGGGCCGCGGCGGCGGCACGCTTTGGTATCCCTGCCCGCCATGGTGTCCGAAGCCTGCAGGCGCATTTGGCGCGCCGTTGATGCCGCGGCCGTCGCCGTTGAGCATGGCCTGCGGCGCGGCGGGCGCGGGGCTTTGGAAGAGTTGGGGGGGCAGCGGCTGCGGTGCGAGCTGGACGTTGTGTTTGCGGGCTTGGGCGGCGAGCATGCGCTCCGCTTCGTCGCCGTGCCGCTCGCCTTTGCCGTCCTTTTTGTAGGCGTATTGGACTGTGATTTCTTTGTTCATGAGGTACTGGCCGTGCATGTTGGCGATGGCTTCGTCGGAGGCTTCGAAGTTGGAGAAGGAGACGAAGCCGTAGCCTTTGGAGAGGTTGGCGTCGTCGCGGGCGATCTGGGGGGTGGTGGGTGTTAGTGGATGGGGGACAGAGGAGAGGGACACGGGGCAGTGGTGGAAGCATACCTTTGGCGCCGATATGATGCCGCCGAATCGGCTGAAGGTGTCGAAGAGCGTCTTCTCGTCTACCATGGGGTCGAGATTGCCGATGAAGAGCTCCGCGCCTACTTCCACGGTCTTTTGCTTGTCTGCTGACGCCTTGTTCACCCGGATCGGTTTGCCGTACAGGCGCACCTGGTTCATGATCTTCGCCGCATAGTCCGCATCCTCCTCGGTCTTGAACTCGACGAAGCCGTAGCCTTGGTGGGTTTGCGTGACGCGGTCTTTGGGTAGGTGGACATTTGCGATGCGGCCGGCTTGGAGCATCAGCTCCCACACCATGTGGTCCGTTACTCGCTCATCGAGGTTGCCGATGTAGACGGTGGCTTCCTTGTCTTGTTCCCTACAGACTGTTAGGGACGTGTATACTGATGTGCAAGATGAGGAAGACGTGCCAGTGTCTTGCGCCGGACATGTTGCACAGCGAAGAGAATTGCTGTGTTGGTGCTTCCTAGGTTGTCGTGATTACTCTGGTTGCGAGGCAACTATTCGTCAGTCCAGTTGGTGCAGAGTAAAGGTTTTGGAGTATAGAAGAGTATGCATAAGGTAGTCGAGCATCCGCAAAGGGCTCGGGAGCTCTGACATTTTCGAGACCGCGTCTTGGAGATCACGTGCCATATCTGGCATCTCAAGTCGCGAGAAGTTACAGCATCAACCGCAATCACCACTACAATTAACTTCCGACTCACTCGCCCTCCAGAGTCCCTTCCAGCGAACTCGATCGCCATCACAATGCAGTTCTCAGAGGAGACCAAGGTTCGTCGCCCCGCAATCCTACCAGAGTGATTATGGCAGCTAACAGAGCTTTGCAGGAGCGCATCGCTCGAATAATCGATGTCTCTCGCGTTGCCATCCACTAGTACGGCTTGATCAGCGGCTGCTGGAGAACCTGCGTCTAACATCACCACAGTGGCTATCTCCCTCTGATCCTCTACCTGGGCTGGTCTCAAAGCACCCCCCGTCCATCCCTCATCAGGTTCGAGCTCCTCGCAACTCCCACCGACTGAACTGGCCCCTACTTATGGATTATAGGCTCTTTTCTCCCCTAGCATAGATCGCAAAAGCTACCCAGAGCTCAGAAACACCAAATCTTACGTCGACCGGTATTCGCAGTCGAACTTCCGGAACACATGTACACTACACTCAGGCGGGCATAGAGGGCAGACGCATGGTGGATCACTAGGGATTGAACATGGGAAGATGCAAACAGTCGATTGCCACCTCCTCTCAGGAGCCCGACAAATTTTGAAGCCGGTACGCAGAGTCGGTGCTGAGGAGGGCCGTGTATAGTGTCCTTCGAATTCTCTGTACATCTATCGGGTTCTGTTATGCATCACTCTTCCGCTCTGTTCTTTTTCGCCGTCTACACTACAGCTGATTAGATCAGCCCTGTCATCCTCCCAACGAAGTTTCTGATAAAAACCCAGAGCCGGTAGTCATCGAAGAAGTTCGAATTCCATTGTCTGAAGACTTAGAAGGTGCTCGCCACGCATCGTCGCATGTCGGAAACGACCCCATTATTATGCAAACATTGGCAACAGCAGCAGATAGAGTCTCCCTCCGCGTGTCGAAGTTGTGTGAACAAAATTTCTATTGGTCACTTCCCATTCAATGACAACCCTAAAGCTTTATTGTAAGCGAAGATTCAAGTGTTCAATCAAAGTCTTCTCAGCAGCTTGGCCAAGAGACGCGCCTGATTGTACCTACCCCGCTTGCTTACCTTACTCAACGCCTTCGAGTTGCACGTTTTCCTGGATAGCAAAACCCATCGGTGCACAAGACGCCGAGATGTCGACCTTCGTGTATCAACCTTTAGCGTCAGACGATACCATCCGAGTGATCTGCCTCCTACCTGGGAGGGCTAAATCCAGTGTTAGATCGCACACACCAGCGTTGTTGACCCCCTGCCATATTGGACACTGTCCTACACCTGGGGAAGAACTACGGGAAAGCACGCAATACTTCTGCATGGCCACGAGTTTCCAGTAACCGAGAACCTGGAATCTTTCCTCCTGCAAGTCCGCGAGTTGGATGAGCCGCTCAGCCTGTGGATAGATGCGATATGCATCAACCAACTGGACGTTGAAGAGCGGAACAGGCAGGTGGTCCGCATGAAGCTTGTCTACGAGACATCAGCCAGGGTGGTATGTTGACTTGGGCCTCATGGTGATGGCAGTGAGGTAGCAGTGAACAAGATGAAAGCCATGCGAGACTGGTTCGAAGAGAAACAGATTATCCGTGGTACGGCAATAGCAGCTTTGCGGAGCATTTCCAAGGCCGATAAGGCGATCATTGGCGGTCCAAACGGTGCCTGAAACCCTATGACCCGATTGCGGCAACTTTTCAAGGAGAACAGAAACGATTACTCCATCGGTATCGGACCTTGCAAAGCATTGGAAAGGCTGTTCAAATGACCGTGGTGGTACCATACTTGGACGAATCCACAGCTCCTGTCAGCACGGGTTCCTCTGCGGACACCAATTCATAGCGTCTTTCACATTCGACGTGACAGCGATGGTCTTCTCGATGCTGATGGAGATGCGGCTTGCACCGGGGGTTGAGAAGCTCTCCATCGTCAACGCATTGAGCCTGACGTACTTCCGAAATGGCCGCAAGTAGGTGGGCGTTCCATGAGGTTGTCGGAGGTAATCAGCTTCCTCCGCACACATGACGCTACGGATAGCAGGGACAAAGTCTACGAGCGCTTGCCCTGGCAACAGATCTCCTTCCCGGAGATATCAAAGTTGATTACAAACTCTCGCTCAATCAAGTCTATATCGATGTTGCCGTCACTTTCTTAGCACAGATAGCAGTCTGGATTGGCTTAGATATGAATATCCAGGACAAGCACCTGACCTCCACCTTGGGTGTCCGACTGGATGTACCCGTGTGCTTTCATATTTCGCTTCTATAAGGAATGAACCAAGAAGGGCGATTCATCTGATCAGGTCTATCATGCCTGCGGGACCCCTCCGCTTCTGGGTCCTGGCACCGGTTCCGACCAAATCAAGGCTATTATCTACGAGAGAAGCTTACGCGTCACGGGACTCCGTTTCGACAGGATCGCATCTCTCAAGGAGGCCGACATCGCCGGTCTGCACAACCACTCAGTCGAAACCTCTTGGACACCAGATGACCTGGACAGTCACTACCGTCCGACTGATGAAACGCTATGCAGGGCATACCTTCGCACACTGGTAGCGGACGTTGCTGTAGGAAGAGCGCTTGGTGAGAGCCTGAAAGTGGTGGCTCGTGGACCGGAACTGCCGTGGCTGTCGAGTTACTGGGATGGAGATGCGACGCTTACTGGAGTGGAGTAGGTACAGCGATTCTGGCGCGCTCAGCATTACAAGGACGGAATGGATGTCAAAGGTACGACAATAAGCAGGAGGTTCGCTATGACCGAGCGCGGATATATCGGCTTGGTACCAAAGGACGCGGAACGCGGGGGTCTGCTTTTCATTCTGTTTGGCGGCCAGACGCCATATGTGCTGACAAGCCTTGAGACTCAAGCCACTATGGCTTCGTTGGGGAGTGTTATATCCACGGCGTTATGGACGGAGAGGCATTGCAGCTCTTGGGAACTCGCGATGCTCGAATTGAGAATATCGTCTTGGAGCAGGGTGAGTTGTATCCTACATATTGGTTCACCGCGAAGTCCCGCCAAAATATCATGACAATGAAAGTACCGCATGGCTCGGGTGATAGAAACTGCAAACTCGCCAGGTGAGAAGTACTGAAGGTACGCACTCAGAGTCTCGGACAACCTCAGGTGCCTCTAGAAGGAGCATTTACTGACCTTTCTTCAGGAGCGATAGTGAAGCTACCAGTAGTTGCTTGACAAAGACGCCTATTCATAGATGACACCCGTCATGCGCACTCTTGCGGAGATTGCGACTGAGCTTCTCAAACTTCCGAACCTAGGTCAATCTTGCATTCGCTTCCATGATGTGAAGCCCACAGCCACCAACGGCTTCCGCGTGCTTGTTCACAAAAGCCAGCGTCTAGCAGCCTGATTTTTTTTGAAATCAATGCGGAACAACAAAGAACTGACGGCCAACAAATCAAGTCCCAAGCTATAGAAACTGCCACGGCTCCACTCGGCTGCCAGACTGATCCAGCAGTTCATTTGACACAGAAGAACGTGAGACATGTCCATGGAACGAGTCACCAAAAAATTGGAGGGAATCCTAGAAGAGGAAGGCGAAAAAGTCTCTTCGCCGCCTTCTCAGCAACCACCCAGCCAACCGCCCTACCAGTCTCCGTACCCGCCCATACCTCAGCCAACCGCCAGCACACCGACCCCCGGAGCAGAAGATGGAGGAGTCCCTCCGCGGCCTTCTTGGCAGGTACCGAACCGATCACCCTACCAGTCTCCATACCCGCCAGTGCCGCCGTCGGCCGCAAGCACGCCAACACTCGTCCCGCTTCCCGAATACAACCGCCGCATCTCCGTCTACCTGTGCTCAAACCGCCACCTCACGCGGCGCCTCCACGCCGCAGCGCGGACCTACGGCATCAATGCCGACCACATCTTGCCACCCCCTCCCACGGACCAGCCCGACGCGAGCTGCATGCTGATCTACATGCCGTTTGCGCTGAGCAACGACGACGCGGTGGTCGGACTGATCACAGGCCGGGTGGGTGATGCTGTGTTCTCGACGCCGTGTTCGGTTTCGGATAGGGAGCTCTTGGAGGGTGAGGATATCGGCTGGCATCCTATGCCAGAGGAGTCTCCCTCTCATGCACACGAGTGGTGGTATCGGAGAGTGGCGAGGGGGCTGCCAGATAGGTTTGATGATGGAAATGGGGAGGCTACGCCGAGGGCTGGATCACCGGTGCGTCAATGATTGTGTGGGGTGTGTCTTTCTCTGCGGGAATGGTGCCGTTGTGGGCGCGGCAGCGTGTGGCAAGTATGAGAACGCAACGTGGGTTGTGGTTTGACGAATTGGAAGCGGCAGAAATCACGTGTGATTGGACCGTTTGGATGTTGAACAAGAGAACTACTATGCTTCTCTGCCGATGGAGAACCAACGGGGATGTATGAAACTAGATGACTGCAGACATTTGTGGATGGTTTGACAGCGATTGTGCACAATATCTGATATGTTATGACCTCGCATGTGAAATCTCTAGGCAATCCCTGAGGACTGCGAAAGCTGATGCACGGAGCAAAAGGGGAGGATTGACGGTAAATCTACTGACGCACGCTCCATGAAGCACCTGCACACTGGACCATGCCGGGTATTGCAACGAGGAACGAATTGCCTACAAACGCGCCTGAAGAGGCGGGATGAAAGATGAAAGTACAGTCATCTTCCTCCGGCAGACGCAGGTTGTTGATCTGTAAGAGAAATAGGGATGAAAGCTCCAGGAGGCACGGTTGCCACCAGAGATTGCGGTCGAATTGCCTGTGAAAAGAATAAAGAGAAAGAAAAGTACTTCATCTACTGACACTCAGCACTCGCAAGCCGTGCCATCAATCGTGGGCCTCATTGCTGGGCGTTAGCTTTATTGCGAGCTTCACAGCCATCTCAGCTACAATGTCTGTTACAGATATCTTGACAATTGTCAGTCTTGAGCTCTCTCATGACTATGCGCAAGCATCGCCGCTGCATTAAGAGGCACCCGCGTACTGTGGAACCACCCAATAAACAAGTTCTCCAGTGACTGGGTCGAAAACAAAGGGCGTAGTCAAAGTGAAGCTTATCAGTCCGTTATTATTGCCAGTGTACTCATACACTGCCGTGACTGCCGGAACCGTAGCAGCCGACACTGATGGATCTCGTGGATCAGTACTGCCGGAGACGGTCACATCCATCCTCTTTTCTGAGCCAGTGGGGATCGGCAGCAGAACTGATATGCTAGAGAATGTGGGTATGGCGGGGTTGTCAGGGCGTACCCGGACGGACCTGGCCGCGGAAGGATTCCATCTTGGGACAACGTTCCAGTTCAGCTCGGTGATGTCTATAATAACCGTCCAGTTGGTGTTTGTCGTGAAAGTAGTCGGACACCATTGAGCGCGAAGGTTGAGGTTCCAGTTGCGAATTGGATCATCCAGGGATATGGTAAACTCGGCATCTATGTATGCCGGTCCGGCGCTGACAACACCACGAGGGTTTGTATCGCCGAGCCGTGGCGAGTAGTGAAGGGGTTGTCCTGCCGAGCCAATAATGACTCCGTTGATGGAAACTGTCGTAGGCAAAACTTGGCCCGTTTCTGCGTCACGCGCCGTCACTGTGAATGTTACAGTCGTATCGCGAACTGCTCGAGATGGTATTCCAGCCAACTTGAGATCTCCCCGTAGCGCCTGTGTAAACTCGCTCTCCCTTAGTGTTGACGCATGTTCGCAGAGCATCTGCACTGCTGTGACTCTATCTTTATCATTGAGGGCATTCCAAAGCCATATGATACCGACGGCGGGATCGGCCATCTCTACAGGTGCGGATTGGACTTCTCCGTTAACCAGGATGTAGACGCTTGCGCCTGTGATCACTCCTTCGAGACGGACGTACTGGAACTCTGGGCGGAGCGGGGCAGTGATCTTGGGTGTAGGCAGCGGACTTGGAAGGGGCAGCACGTCTATGACGATCTTGTGATCAGTCCTGCAGCCCGTTTCAACAACGTAGAGCTGGCCTGGTCTGAGTCGTCTCCACGTCTTGAGCGACATGACCGATTTCTGCGCCAAGAAAGGGTCGGAGATCGGACCACGTGAATCAAAGGCTTGAATATTGGAGCCCGGATTGAGGTTAGCCAACGGTATCCAGCGCCCACATTCATAGAGGTTTGTTGTGAACTTCGGCGGGCCGACAACGCTGGAGCCTGAGGCGACCTGTACGATGGTCTCGGGACTCTGGATACCGCAACGCGATTGTCGGACAGAGATCGAAACAACGCCTTGTGGATCATCGAGCTGCAGATCCGGAGGCAGATCAACTGTCTCAGTTGTCGAGGAGGAAGGATGGTACCCAATCTGCTCTCCTATTACTGAACCTCCATGTGTATTTATCATACGCCACAGGCTCAACGTCCCGGTGGGCAACAGCTGCGAGACTGTAAGACGCCGGAGCTCACGACAGAGGCTATGAACCACAATCGGCGCCGGTAGAGCATCGAGAGGTTTGACGACACCATCCCAAGGGGCACCGTCTCTCTTGCACCGAGGGAGCTTCTGCACCATTTGGATAGAACCCTTCTTTAGTGGCAGTCCTCTAAAGCCGGTGAACGTATTGGTTGGGTTGAGCCAGATTTCCCATTGGCCTTCGTTTTGGATCTCGGTTATCGCTCCGGGTACCATACCCGTAAAGCTTCGATTGGTGTCGCATTCAATTGGAGACATCAACAATCCTGTCAGAAGCTTGTCGTAAGGGTAAGCGAACGCTGAGCATTTGGGGCAATTGGGGCTTGGACCGATTGCGGCGGCTCCATTGATTGTAGCTTCTTGGTGAATGGTGACAGCGGCATCTGCCGGAATGTCCTTCTCACGGTCGATACCGCACCAGCTCAGTGGGCTCAGGATCGTCGATTCCCCAAATCGGTCTCCGTTGATCGTCGTGATCAGCGTTGCGCCTGGCGTAAGCCCGTCGACAAGGATGTCGGTCATGCAGGTATGGAGTGTGGAAGCAAGGAATGGAGCTTCAAGGTCGACTCCAGTAACTTCTACACTGTAGTCCGTTTGAGAGCTTGTTCCACCAGCAGTCGTCTGTACCCCTTTCAAGAGATGCCGCTCCACTAGCAATGATGTCTCAAGTGGAACGAGGAACTCCCCGTCAACCTCTGAGACTCCCGATCCAACCTCGGCAGCCCCGTCATAGATTGTTACTTTAGCTCCCTTATTGACTCCAGTCGCTCGGACACTCGGAGAGAGGATCGTGACAGCGCCATGCAGCGTGATAGGCAATGGACGAGACATTGCTCGTGCTCTTTCCAGAAAGTGGTAAGTGGTGCGGGAGTATCTTCAAAATCGGGGTTATAGATGCATTCTACTCTCATGTGTACATAGCCTGGATTAGCCTGCTGAGAGGTCCAGCTCGAATTACAGGCTGATATTCTTTCATGCCCTGATATGTCTTCAGATGTAGCTTTCAGAGAGGTGGTACCGACAACGATGTTATGTTTAAGCGTTCCAAGGGCCCCCGCATCTTGGCAAATTGGGCTGAAAGATACGAGCTGAGGCTAAGACGGGAAAGACTAGATGAACAGCGGAAACGGAAATGTATTTCTTGTTCTGATGTACGCTCTCATATGGTATACGCATCTAAGCGAATGTATACTTCACTCTATGTAGCAACAACGGGCCGTTGTGGCCTTCGCAGGGATGTGCTGCATACTCACGTCTCCTTGCGGTTGATAGTAAGTAACGTGACTTGCACCTCATCCGTCTGCATTAAGCCTTTCCTTGGAGAAAACGAGTCGGATACACACTCGCTATTGGGATAACACAAAATCTCAAGGGCGATGCGTAGATTGAAGGGAAAGCAGAGGCTCGCTGTGGATGATCAAGAACGGAGGTGAAATGAGGTTGATCATGGATTTTACCAGTCCATCAAGGTGCGAGTCAGATTAATCCTCTATGGAAACAAAAGAGCATGCGTTTGTACTGTGTTTCGTCTTTTTCCTTTCTTTTTCCCTTGTGTTTTTAACTGCTTAAGAGAAACTTACATTGCGCGTCCTGCTCCGGCCCCGCAACACCGTGAGGGGGTCAACGATAGGGACTTAAGGCCCACACGTCGATTGCGCATTCAGTGAGTTGGGCCGCCTTGGCGCTGATGAGAGCGAGTGAGGCGAAATCGTTGCTAGGAGCGAAAGCCTGCAGTCACAGCTGCTGTTCAACATGACGGGATGATATCGGAACTGGATGCTGTGGTTCTAATTAAGGCGAATTCGCCACTGAGCGACGGCGAAGGGCACGCTTCGTTTGCCGGAGCAAGTGGAAGCCGCTCTGTGAACGGGCGGGCATGCGATAGGTAGGCTCGCCGCCGCGCAGCGTGGTGTTTAGCCGCGCCTATCCAGGTACCGATCTGCTGCGGGCAAATAGGGAGTGCAGTTCATTGTAAACATGAAACCGGTGGCAACCAGCGTTTCCACTGGCCCTTGGGCGATCAGCAGCTGCATGATTGTTTCGGGAGGGACAATGGACGAAAGCGCACAAAGGCGCGCTGGAGGGAGGCAAGTATCGAGCGGAGGCCCTATATTGACAGACTGCCCTCTGTGCTCTACCTTACTCAGCTGCTTTCGCACGGTCCCGTTTTATCCACTTGTCGTTGCGGCTGGCGATCTGGGGCTGTCGTGCAGGCGTCCCCCAGTCCGGCGGCCTTCAGAACAAGGTTGGTGGTGAGCCCGTCACTGTTCAGTGATCTGCCCAGGAAACAACAAAAACACCGATGCGGCCCACTTTCTTTGACCCACGAACCCGCCCTTCTGCGCTGCGATCAACCACAACCTATCCCAATCACCGCACCTCTATTCACATCAACAGCCTTAATTGACCGTCCGTCGCGGCGCGGTACAACAAGCTACGCGATAGATTGGCCGGGCTAAGCAAGCGCGCCCGCCGGCTTGATCCACACGTTTTCCCCTTTACGCTCACATAAACTTGCACCCGCACCCGCCCTTTCCACAACAGGGTCCGAAACAAGCTTCCTTCCGCCTACTACGGGCCTTCTATCAAGCCTTCTGGCGCCCTTTTGAACAACAATCACATCGCGAAGAGGCACAGCGAGCGAGCATCCTCCGCCGGGGCAGACGAGACACCCGCCAACCTGACTGCCGCAATTGCTTCCGTGCCAGCCATGGCACCATCGTGAGTGATTCTTTCATTCCCCCATCACTATGGACTGTATCCGCTCGGTCGCTGACAATCAGGCAGACTCGCTTCGGCATGGAAGTCCTTCTGGCACACCATGACCTCTGAAGACCGGCACGCATCCCACGACTCCCCCTACCGCACCGGCCAGCACATGCCGCTCCCACAAAGCCGCCATGCCCCCCTCACCTCCATCGCAACGAGTGCCATGGAGTCTCGCGCAGACGTCAACTCGCCCTACCCGCAAGACCCCTCGGACCTGTCCAATGGCTTTCTGAACTCCTCCAAGAGTCCAATGTCGCCTCACTCGCCCTACCTCCCGGGCGCGCGCTCGTCCCAGAATCGCCTGAACAGCGAAGACGCCCTTGACAAGTTCCCCTCCGCCGAGATACAGATGCAGAACTTCGCTGATGGCCTCCCGCCTCCACCGCCAGTCAGTCACAGCTGGAAGCGGATCGATCGCTGGGCCGAGGACAACTACGAAGAGCTCTTCGACCAGCTCTGCGAGGGCTGCACCCAGAACGACGTCAACGAGCTCGAGCACGAGCTTGATATGACTCTCCCAATGGACGTGCGCGACTCATTACAAGTCCACGATGGCCAAGAGCGCGGCGGCTTGCCCACGGGCATACTCTTCGGCTGCATGCTGCTGGATTGCGAAGAGATCGTCCAAGAATGGCGCAACTGGCGCAAAGTTAATGAAGAGTACCTCTCCCGCCGACCCAACAGCTACCGCGCGCCGCAGGCACCCGTGAAAGCTTTTGCTGGCGCCTCATCCTCATCTACCCCTCCTCCACCCGAGCCGAAAGCAGGGGCAATCTGGCAACAAGAGCTGCTTTCCCGCCAGGACTCGCAGCCTCCGAACGCTGTGCAGAAGGCCTATGCTCACCCGTCCTGGATCCCCTTAGCCCGCGACTGGGGCGGCAACTGCATCGCCATAGATCTCGCCCCTGGCCCTACAGGAAAATGGGGCCAGGTCATCATCTTCGGCCGCGACTACGACTGCAAATACGTCATCGCGCGCTCCTGGGCCTCTTTCCTGGCCACCGTGGCCGACGACTTGAGCCAGAGCGATAAGGTGGTAGTGGACGAGGAGACAGGCGAGCTCAAGCTCAAGGAGTTCAAGAGACAGAACGTCGACCCGCCGTATCTTGAGATCCTGCGCTGGCGGTGTGACCAGAAGTACGGACGGAAAGGGCCGAGCAGACGACCGGGCCAGCCGCTGCATCTGAACACTGGTCTCAGCGGCCCGTCTTCCCAGCAGGGCAGCGCGAGCGGGAGCCCGTACGGCAGCCCTGTCTCCACAACGACGGAGGAGCGTGGACGGAGCCCGAACAGGTTCGGAAAGAGCCCAGCTGCCAACAGCCCGAGACCACACATCTCGAGCCCTCTGGCGAGGGTCGCGGAGGCGCCAGAACCGATCAAGAGGCTCTCGGGGAACCTGCAGGGCGCGCCGAACGGGAAGGTGGAGAGACTGATTGCGTTGGATTCGCCTAGGCCGAGCAGCGAGGAGGGGAAGCGCAGTCTGGAGAAGAACAAGGAGAACGCGCAGTCTGGGGACGAGAAGGGCAAGGAGAAGGAGACGAGGACTAGCGTGCAGGAGATGAAGACTGTGGATCTATGATGTCGGCTTCTGCGTTAGGAACCAGGTGATTTGACAAGGCAGGATTGGCGCTTGAGCGTGGAGAACACACATTAGCTCGAGGGCGAATGGTATGGCGTACATCAGAAGAGGATCAGGCGAATGGAGAGAAGCAGATCAACACACACAAATGCTTTGTTTTTTCACTATACGGGTAGTCTACAGCGGGGTGGACATGCCATGGGTTGTATCAACCATCTTGGCGTTCTTCATCTCGGCGTTTTATCATCTCCGTATCTGTTCTCAGTCCCTTGCTATGCATCTCCAGCATCTGTTCTGTTCCTCCGTGGGCATCAATGCATGCGAATTGCCCTCTTGTTCTCTTCATACACCTGGGCTGCTCTGCTGCAGTGGTCCGGTTTCTTCTTTACCGAATTACCGCCGTGACGGTGCGTTGGCCCTCTGTATATCATGCAAGGGATGACGAGAGCATTGGGGCGGGCAGTAACATGGCTTTGATAGCTTTGGTCGTTGTTGCCTTCGGGTCCAGTTTCAGGCATTTGTAGCAGATTAGCGAGCTGGGATGATAGGGGAATGGAAACGATTTGCAAACTACGGTACTGCGATTAATTTGCCGCCCACGTGATGCCCTGAGGAGACGCGACGAGCATTACGCGAGATTTCGGCAAGAGATTAATAACGATAGATATCAGTAGGATATGTCAACCACCGTATGGAGGAGAAACGCTAACTTTCTCTTTGGGACTGAGTCAGCTGACGTACACGTGACTTCATCCATCTTCCTGTTGGTCTCAACTCCATAAAGATCAGATCTGGAATCGTTAGGTATTTGGAGGGGGATCTCTGCATCAAGGAGTGGTGACTACCATATACTGTTGATGGCAAATGTATCGACACCTTCCATGCATCCGCGATTGGCCCTTAGGCCATACGGCTGATGTTGTATCGTACGTGAATTCATGCAAAGCCCGAGCAGTTGGCTATGGAAACCCAGCCAGAGAGCGGCAGCCTGGCGATGCTTCATGAATCTATTCAGCGCAAGATGCAGCAGCGGTGCAGAGCACGTTAGAAGGTGACGAGTTTGACCAGCAAAGCCAAACGGTCACTTTATAAGGAAGACGCAATTCGATCGTTTGACCGAGGAGCTCACTGATCCTGTTGACGCTCTGCTGTCCCTTTTCCCAGCGCCTGAAGCGTCTCAGCGACAGCTGTGTAAAGCGGAACTCTCCGATATGGGCGACGAAAGTTTCATAATTCTAAGGAATATATCGCGCGGCAACGACGAGTTGTTGGAAGAAGTTTCAACGGAAACGCTCGACGATCGCGGTGTGCAGTCCTGGAGGAATATCAAGGGCGCTGGCCGGGCAGAGCGACTCATGAGGAACGATTACTCGGGACTGGACATACCATCATACACCAGAAGCACCAGGAATAGGCGATATACTAGGGATTGATGAAGCACGACAAATCATGGGTAATGTGTACGGGGGTGGAAGCTACTTCAGAAGGCCACGTTAGATTCTCAATCCAACAGAGCGCGGAGTAAATTCACTGTAGCTGTGATGGACTACATTGGTGAACAACAGCAATTAGATCTATCACGGATGTCCAAAGAACAAGGGACAATCTACGGAATAGGGGCTATACAATCGTAGAGTCGTGAATTCAATCAGATGACGCTAGCAGGGGTAAAAGCACGTGAGGAACCACACCACAAGCTCCTCCATCGTTTAGTATATACAATTGAGGCTGCACAGCTCTATATGATTATCCTACTTGGATTGAGCTCACCGAGTGCCTTGCGCGCGCCGCCGTGACCCATTTTCTGGCGTTTTAGAGCGTTATCTGGGCATTGTTGGTGTGGGAGGCACGGGAGCTTAGTGAGGCATCTTGGTGTTTTTGCTTAATAAGCCGTCGGCGAGCTAGCTAAGCGAGCTCCGATCTGATTGAATTCACGACTCTACGATTATCTTGAGCTAGCTCGGCCCGCACCCGATTGAGTACTTAGCTTGCATCCGCCTACCTTCTGTCCTTAGTTGTTACATTCGTCTTCTTGGCTGTCTATAGCACAGTATTACACACCTTCCCTCCTATCAAATCCTCCCCTCCCGCAGGACCACTCGGACGCTCACGACGCGTCAACTGGCTCTGCAGATTCACCAGCCCCACGCCGTTTCAAGTACCTCTACAGCAAGTACAACAGCCATGCCTCGCGCTGTAGTAAAGAAAACTCACCATAATACTGCTTTCGATGTGGGCCATCCTGTGCCGCCCATCGTTGTTCGACCCGAAGATCGGACTTGCGCTATCTGTACGAAGGACGTTCCTGTCAATGGCACATGCCCAACCCAGGTCATCGTTCAGCTAGATTGCGGCCACTAATTTTGTTTCCTCTGCATCCACAGATGGGGTCAGACTCGCCTGAGGCAACAGCTCAATTGTCCCCGTTGTTCGGTGCCACTCAGGAAACCTGTTTTCCCTGAATTCTACGGAGCGCGGTGCTTATCCGAAGACACTCGATTTGGCTTCCGCTATGCGTGTGCACGCGCAAAACACTTCCATGACCTTGGACTTCCCGACGCTGTGAGCTGGGATGGTAGTCGGATCGTTTCACTGGGACATGCCGAACTGTACGTCGCCACGTTCGTGTATGTGGTGTTGGTCAAAACAGGCGATGAGGCGGATATCCTAGATATGGGATCGAAGCGGCAGATGCTGAATGCGATGTTCCTCCGAATCGCTTTGCTCACAAAGTCTTATCCGATGGACACACTGCTCGACCGCCTCTGGTACAACGCGCACGTGATGTTCACTTTCCAAGCATGCGTCTGTCTAAAAGAGGGACGGCCGTCAGAGCCGAGGTGCTATCTCAGTGGCGAAGAAGTTGGTCTGAAAGCGTTGGCATACATGAAGGAGGTTGTCCGACGGAGTATCCTGCTTGCCTCGGATCCTGTCGCCTTTTCGCCGGTCGGAGCTGATTATGTCCAGCCGCCTTCGGATCCACAGAGGTCTCAAAGTCGCCAAGACTCTGACTTCAACCAAGCTCCTAGTGGTGTTCAAGCCTCTAGCGGTCGTCAAGCGCTGGCACTAAAATTGCGTACCTTCTTAAGTTGGTTCAGAAATTCCACCCGAGAGAAGCAATCAGAGCAAAGTGTTGGAGAGAAGTAACAAACCATGCCCTGAATACTGCACCTGCCGTCACATGCTTCCGTCCCGAATGTCGATGTAGCTGCATGAGCACCGGACCGCGCTTGCGCAGGCGGAGAAAAGGAAAGGGACTTTGGCGTTTGGTCTTTGCTCGGATTCTGAAACGCTACTACGCACCTCTGTCTTCTAGTGCCTGAACGCTGGAATGTCTCAGTTCATGTCACCCTATGGAATGCATTCTATATAGTAGTTCAGTTTTCAAAGTTGCTTGCGGCCGGTGCTACACAGGGCAGCCGAAGGAGGAGGCGAGGCAGTAGTGCGGCTGCTGTCGAAAAGGGGGCGGATCCAAGAGCTGAAGATCAGTCAGGGCGATCAGTACTTCACGCGGCAGTACTAGCGCTTCATAGGAACACGCGCACACTGCCACATAGGAACGACGCGGGAGTGGTCATAGTGCGGTTGCTGCTCGACAACGGGGCCGATATACGAAGGAAAGGGTATGTATCGAAGAAGCGGCGGCCGCTTGACCACCCTCTAATACCATGAACAAACACCAACAAACGGTTTGTACAATTAACGCCTGGAACTTCTATAGACTGAAGATGTATTGAACGAGCCCAGTCCACCTCAATAAGCATTGGACCACGATGTTGAGGGGCCTTGTGGTTATGCGCCGTCAAGCGGCCGCTTCCTCAGTAGATACCCCATCCTTCGTAAGGGCCAAAGATCGATCGGGGCGATCAGTGCTGCATGCTGCAGCGCTCGGAGGCGGTAGTGCGGCTGCTGCTCGATAGTGGAGCGGACCGAAACGCTAAAGATCAACATGGGCAACCAGTCCTACATAAATCAGCACGCGGGTACCTCACCATGGTAAAGCTGTTACTTGAGAATGGGCAGACCCTAACGTTCGGAATTCCGATGGGAAGACGGTGCTGCAAATCAGGAACGGAGTGACAAGGCAGTGGTCCGATTGCTGCTGGAGGCGAGAAGAGCACACCGTGTGAGATGAGCTTGAGCGAGCTTAGGGAAATGACCGAGCTGGTAGCGGCAAAACACCGCCGCAGCTATCATGGATTGCCATGCTTATAGAGAATCGGTTAGTCAAAATGCCATTGCACAGTCAAAATTCTTATATGCCAGTACATGTCCAACATCCTGCCCACCTACAACTTCGCCTTCCCCCCACTAACCCTCTCCAAGCTCAACGGATCCGTATCCTTGATCCCATACTCCGCAAACAACTCCGCGCTCCTCTTCTTCTGCGCCTCAATCCTATTCAACAGGCTCTTCCCCCTCTTGTTTTCATTCCGTCCCAGCTGCAAGATATGCACCTCATCCGGCCCATCCACAATCCTCATCGTGCGGCCCTGGGCCCACATATTCGCGAGCGGGGTGTCCTGGCACACGCCTGCGCCGCCGTAGGCCTGCACGGCCCGGTCGATGACCTCGAGCGCCATGGAGGGAACCTGCACCTTGACTTCGGCGATCTCTTTGAGCGCGCCTTTGGCGCTCGACTCGTCGATCTTGATCGCGGCGTTGAGCACCATGAGGCGGGCGGCATCGATCTCGATGCGCGAGCGCGCGACTCGGTCAAGCATTATGCCGTGCTCGGAGAGGTTTTTGCCGAAGGGCTTCTTGCGGGGGTCATTCATGCGGGCGAGGAAGTACTCGAGTGCTTTCTCGGCCTAGTGATGTTGTCAGCATTAGAGCTTTCCACCGGAAGGCAAGATGGGGAAAGGGGTATGGCTTACAGCGCCAATCGACCGCATGGCGTGGTGGATACGGCCGGGTCCAAGACGGCCCTGAATGATCTCGAAGCCGCGGCCCTCGCCGAGGACCATGCTCGAGGCCGGCACGCGGACGTTGTTGAAGGTGATGTGGCCGTGGCCGTGTGGCGCATCGTCGAAGCCGTAGACGGACAACATGCGGTGGATCGTGATGCCCGGAGTATCGAATGGGACTAGGATGACCGACTGCTGCTTATATACGTCCTTGTTGTCCGGGTCGGACTTGCCCATCACGATGGCGACTTTGCACCGCTTGTCGCCGGCGCCGGAGCTCCACCATTTCTGCAGAATCCAGACTATCAGCAAGAGTCCCTGCACCGTCTAACACAGGGGGGCGAGGGCACCACTTACCGAGCCATTCAAAACCCACTCATTCCCCTCCTTATGCATCCTCAACTGAATATTCGTGGCATCACTACTCGCCACATCCGGTTCCGTCATCAAAAACGCGCTCCTAATCTCCCCCTTCAACAACGGCTCCAACCACTTCTTCTTCTGCTCCTCATTCCCATACTTGGCCAACACCTCCATATTCCCCGTATCCGGGGCGGCACAATTCGTCGCCTCAGACGCCGTGCGGCTCTTGCCCAGATACTCGGCCATGAGGCCGTACTCGAGGTTGCTGAACCCGGCGCCCTCCTTGAAGTGCGCGACGGGCAGGAACATGTTCCAGAGCCCGAGCTTCTGGGCTTTCTTCTTCAGGTCTTCGATTATGGCGGGATGGGAGGAGAAACGCTCGGCGGGGCCGGAGCCGATTTGTTGCGTGTAGACGGCGTCGGCGGGGATGCATTCTTCTTCGACGAACTTCTCGACCTGGTGGGGTGGTGTTAGGGGGTGTAGAAGATGTATGCTGATGGGTACTCACGATGTCTAATGTCTTCTTTGCCCGGTCACTGACGAATGGCCTGGCGATGACGGGAATACGAGCGGAGGCGGACTGGTGGCCCTGGTGGGAGTTGACCAACAGGTCTTGGGAGAAGTCGCTTTTGGACATGACTACGGATGTACAAGGAGACCAAACGGAGGAATTAGGGGTTTTAGAGTGTTCAATGATTCTTTTGAAAGGTTAACAGAGGAATTATATGTATGAGGCGAATATCAGGTAATGTATGGAGCTATCCCCGCGTTAGCTATTCCGGGGCCGATACGTGCCGAGGCATCTCGTTTTCAGCCCTATGGATATCGCCGCACTGTCACGACACCATCACGCCAGCGTGGAGATGAACATCAAGTTGACGCTTCCAGTAAATGGATTGAGCAGCTATCATGCCCCTTCCTTGGGATGCATTGGAATCCCCGTCCCTGCATCCAAGCAAACTTTTCGAGAACGCCCAGCACGCCAAAAGCCTCATGACTTAGCCCTAACAGTGCACCCAGCACCCTAATCATACTCCGATCTCAGAGCTTTGGTCCTCTTCTTATTCCCCTTGAAATGCTTCTTGCTGTTCAGCCTCAAATCCTCGGGGTCAACATCCTTCTCCAACGCAGTCACTGTCTTCAGCTTCCTACCACTCAGCTCCTTGCCTTGCTCGCTATACTGATAGTGAAACGGCTGGTTGAGATGGCCAGCACCCTGACCTGGTGCAAAGAACTTCTTGTCCAGCCGCGAGGTTTTCGCACCCTGTACCGGAAGTAACGATACAATGTCTGAGTCCGCGACGACCGACAGATCGTCAGAGCCGATTGCTGAGACGTCAGAGTGTGAGGCCAATGCTGCTCTCCGCTTCTGCGGGAGATGCGCCTCGTCGTAGAGCTCGCGATTGAAGTACTGTTCGTCTATAGGCGGATCGGCTGGCGGTGGATGGCAGAAAAGTAGCTTGCCCTTGACGTAGTCCTTCAGGATGTAGCGTGCAGCTCTTGACTCGTCCGGCTGTCCAAGGCCTTGAGTCTGGAAGCCTCTTGCGGTAGCGTACGCCCGGAGGAGCTCGGAGGCAGTGGGCATACCGGTACCACCTTCTTCAAGTGGTCGGGTCTCGATTCTCATGCCGTAGATAGCTTCGAGGAAGGCTTTCGGGATGCGCTGTGCAACGAGTCCTGCCGGTCCGGTGAACTCGCGGAGTTGGTCGATTGGGAGCACGCCGCTGCAGACCAGCTCGGCCTTGGTGGTTGCGAAGTTGGGGAATACTAGACCAGGACAATCGCAAAGGATGACTTGGTCGCTGAGGTGTATCGTCTGGAAGTGCTTCGTCTTGCCCGGTGTCGCCGATACGGACACCTTCTTCGCGCCTATCAAGGCGTTGATCGTAGACGATTTGCCGACGTTGGGGTACCCGACCAGGCCGATCTGAGTCTTGCGCGGTGGCTCGTCTGGGCCGGTGTCAATGCTTGGCGCATGCTCTAGGAACAGCTCCTCGAGCTCGTCTGTGGTCAATATCCTTGTTCGCTCTTCGTTTGACAGTGGAATGCCGGGAGCTTCTTCCCCGTCGATCGATTCTTCGTCAACCCACTGATCGCCCTCCTCTTGCTGATCCTGGACGTCCAACTTCTTCGCCACTTCTGCAAGCGCGTCAGGCTCGCCGTCAGTGTCCGCGTCGACCTCTTCCGCAACATCGCCTTCATCAAGCAGATCATCTCGGTTCCCATCCTCTTCATGTACCCTCGCCTCATTCATCTCCCTCGCCAGCTCCGCCGAGAAGAACCTAAAGTTGATCCCAGCAGCGACGAAGTAATCCGCCCAAGCCTGCCTCTGCTCCAACGTCATCATATCCGCCTTATTAACCAGCAGCAGATTATTCTTCCGCTTATCCACCTCCTTGACATATCTCTCCAGATCCTCCGAGCGAAACAGCAGCGGGTTCCGCGCATCCACAATCTGCACCACGAGATCACTCCTCTCAATAACCCTCCACAGCTGCCTCCAGACCTCCAAATTCCGCTCAAACGGCGTCATCAGCAGGTCCTCACCCTCCATCAGCTCCGCCAGCCCCCGTCTCCACTCCAACAGGCTCTCCCGCTCCCGCATATCGAGTTCCTGCGGCGTGGTATGCTTGTCCCAGTGCGGCCGCCGCGGCACCGTCAACCGCTTCCTGTTGGCCCTGTGCTTCGTGACCGCCATTCGCTCCTCCGCGGCAGACAGCAGGAATGGGTTCTTCTGGTCCTTGTGGATGATCTTGACGTTGTTAAGCTTCTCGGCCGTGAAGTCTGTGCCGGCAAGCTCGGCGGTGGAGAGGAACTCGTCGAGAGCGGCTTGCTCGGTTACGGAGCGCATCTTTACCCATGAGGCTTCTTTTTTGGCGTTTGTGATGTACTGTATGATGTGTTAGCTGGAGGGGTCCTCTGAAAATATGGCGAGAGGCTGTCTGGCTTACAGTCTCTCCGTTCTGCCCCGTCCGTTGAATACCTTGCTGGTTGCCGCGACGCATGTCGGTGCCTTTGCCTTTGCCGAAGCGGTCATTCATGAGACTGTTGCCGAGCCCTACGGCATTCTTGGACTTTGCTAGCACCATCTTGCTTGATTGTAGTGAGAGAGAGAGTACGGGTGGTTTTTGTGGTGTAGGAGAGTGTAAAGAGTGGAAGTAGTGGGGGTGAGAGGCCTGGGGCGGCGATTCTCGCGTTTTTGCGGACCTGGACGTCACTCGCTTCGCCCCTCCAGAACTTTTTTGGGAGTTTTGTGCACCGCAATTCCACACCTTTTGTCAGCAAAATCACACACCGAGGCATCAGTTCCACCACCTTCTGAGATTTTTGGGAGCATCGCAGATACAGTGCAATAGCAAAGCGCCAAAATGCCTCGCCGAAAATTCATGTATGCCTTTCAGCGACTCCCACAACCCCCCACCGCCCCACTGACACCCGTGTAGCAATAAAAAGACAGCAACAACCTTCCAGCTCGTCCACCGCGCCCAAAATGACCCACGAATCAACGATGACTCCGCCCCTGACATGGTCTTCAAAGAGGTGGATGCGCCCAATGCGAACAAGACCTCCGCAGGCAGCTCCGATTTCAGCACAAGCAGCAAAGTCAAGCACCGCGGCGACCTAGAAGCAGAGTTCGGCCTCGCCGTCCGCGCCAACGAAGGCGAAGCCGCAAACCATGGCGTCTTCTTCGACGACACAGAGTACGACTACATGCAGCACATGCGCGACATCGGCACCTCGACGGATGCATATTGGATCGAAGCTCCCGCTGCGCAGAAATCCCGGAAGGGGAAGCAGGTGAAGCTGGAAGATGCGCTGGAGTCGCTGGCGCTTGGGGAGTCTGCGGCGCAGAGCGAGGCGGGACTTAGTACGGCGTCTACGACCTCGCGGGCGGCGGAATTGTTTGGTCCGGACCTGGCGGAGTCGGAGTTTGTGAGAAAGAGGACGTATCAGGATCAGCAGGATGTGCCGGATGCGCTGGCGGGGTTCCAGCCGGATATGGATCCGAGGCTGCGAGAGGTGCTGGAGGCGCTGGAGGATGAGGCGTATGTGAACGATGAGGACGACGTCTTCGCTGAGTTGGCCAAAGATGGAGAGGAGGTTGAGCGGAACGAATGGGAAGCGGAGGGTTGGGAGGGAGAGGAGGAAGAGGGCTGGGAGAGTGATAATACGGTAAAGCCGGAGAAAGAGTTTACGGGGAAGCAGGACAAGGAAGTGGATGCAGAGGACGTAGCACTGCCGCAAGCGCAAGAAACGGGGGAGACGTCAGGCGATCATGGTGACGGCGATTGGATGGCTGAGTTCAGCAAGTTCAAGAGAGACGTAAAGGCGCCAAAGGCACCGAAGGAGGGTCTTGCGCCATCAGAACTGCAGTCAAGTATCCTGACAGGCATGTCTTCCCTCGCGGGAGGCCGTCGAAAGAAGCGGAAAGGCGCAATGACATCCACGTCCGGTTATAGCATGTCGTCGTCCGCGTTATTCCGGACGGAGAATCAGACACTATTAGATGATCGATTCGACAAAATCGAAGAAGAGTACGCGGACGACGGGTATGAGGCTGATGATACAGCGTCGATGGTCTCCGGCATGTCGGGCCTCTCGAAGGTTTCAGGAGTGTCGGGCTTGAGCACAGCATCGAGTCAGGCGCCACAGCTACGCTCCGATTTCGACAACATCATGGATGACTTTCTGGGCGGCTACTCAATGAGCGGTAAGAGAAGGGTGAAGAGAGGTGGACACCAGACGGGCATGGAGCAGCTAGACGAGATAAGGAAGGGTCTCGGGCCGGCGCGGTTGAAGTCGCAAAAGGTGTAGACGAGCTGTCTTTGCGCAGTCATTCGGCATTTCTTTGGCGGATTGCAACGGCTCGGCGTTACATGGTGGAGTAACAGGCAAAGGGTGATATCCGAGTAAGAAGCTCATTCTGTTCCTATATCTGGCGCTTTGGAAATGCTTTGGACGGTTGTTCTCGAGGAAGCGAGATCTGAAAAGTCCGTGCTATGGCCAGCTACACAAGCGTGATGTTTTCTAGATTGGAGTGAGCGTGCATGTGCGGTACGTCTATTGATCCCATGCCGACACGCCTATAGCAACCAGAAGTTTCCTCGCTTGGTACGACCAGGAGAATGGCATAGCCTGCCGTATTACATCTCGATTCAATAAACAAGCATTTGTACTGCCCGCCTTGGGCTGCCTCACCAGTATCGTGGTCAAAAATGGCGAATCCGCCGGTACAACTGTTGGGACCAAACATCTCTGATGTGGGATTAATCTCCCGGACAAAGTTTACTGCGTCCATTTGCTTTCTGGAGAAGAGACCTCCGCCATACCGTTGTAAAAGTGATGTTGCATCATGCCCATCAACGCACTTTCCATCAACTGGCAAAGTGACAATGGGGCAACACAGGCTGAGCCGCGCTCTACCGTTGACAAATGCCATTTTGCCAATCGGAAGGCCTGAATCGTGGCAGCAAAGATCCAGAACCTCGATATGGGAAGTCATCTTGGAACCCGAGCGCGAGTGAAACACCGTAGGGAACTGTACGGGTCCGTCGAGTGATGCCCAAGACCACGAGGATGCTCGAGGCACAGAAGGGGATTTAAGATTTCCACCTTCTGCAAACCAGAGCAGGCCGCCTGTCATGCGGTCTGCCCATAGTCCCGCATAATATCCTACCCCGGTGTTACCCTGAATCACTTTTGCGAGGCCCGAGATGGCGACGAGCTTATCCTTCTCTTCTGTGAGATCGCAACGACTGTAAAACTCCACAACAGAACACCATGTCCCGGGCGTCCTGGCTTCCTCGTTCCATGCTGGATCATGGGATCCTGAAATTGGTAGCCCAACTTTTAGGAGCGCGGATCTCATCGACATGGCGCTCAACATGTCTCGTCTGCCATCATCTGATTCGATCATACCGGATTCTGCATCCTCCCAAAGAATCCTGTCCTGGATAAATTGCATGATGCGTGTCGAAAGCAAACGCTCTTGAAGCACCCATCCTCTCTTGCTCAAGGGGCTCGAGTCGATGTCGGTTTCCGTATGCCAACCCAAGCTTACAAAGCAGGCGGTGTTAGAGGAGGTTCCATCTTCCTGCGCATCAACCTTGAGCAGGATTGTTTCGGGCACGCTCAGCGCCAATTGCAGGAAACCCTGACTGTCATTCGTCGTACAATGGACTGCAATAGTACAAAAAGCGTTTCGAGAGCTATCTCCCATGAGAGCGGACTCCTGAAGCCATTCCAGTTCGTCGTCTTGCACTATGCACAGCGCATCAATCTATAAGTAGGGCACATCAAGTCACCGAGTTACTTCGATTGCGTCCTGGTATGTGCCGGGAAGTTCGCCATAAGAAGCCTGGTGCCAGGCTGGTGGTAATAACTATTTAGAGTCGTTTTGGCTGTGACATGGCGACGTGATTTGCCCCAACGGTGGCTCAGCGCTAGATATCGGATTTCCTCTAGACCAGGCTCACTGGGCCGCGAGGTCGATATAGCAGAGGTGCTGACAAGTCGCAGCGTTGCAGATTGTGAGCTGACACCAACATACGACAGACGTCTTGGAAGGATATTACGTCCCCTCGACCTAACCTGGACAGCATCGCCTTCGTCGGCGCTTGGCCGCTGTAGCCGAGCTTGATTGTTGTAGAGCCACCTTGAGTCGAGTGTACTTTCTATCGCCAATCAGTCTTGAATCTAAGGGCGTCCCATACTCCACGATAGGGGATCCTGACTTAGCGTTAGCGGGAGCAACGAGCTCGTACCGCATGGAAGAGTGATACAATTCCTTAACCGGCAAGGCAAACAGAGCGATTCTACATGTTAATATGCTTTGTGTAGTATTCGGCGAAGACTTTGTACACCACCTGATCATATATGCGAGTGACGACATACTACACACCTGTGGATGAGTTTGGTCGGAAGCGCTTTCGGCACAGCAGAATCTTAATACGGTCCGAAGTGCGAGCAAGGTCTCTATCCAGACATTCGAGGTCTTCAGGAACAGACTTCCTTTTGGCGTATGCTCTTCGACATTTGAGCAACAGTAGCTTACACATCGCACAACCTGAGGAAGACGATACGAATGAGGTATATTCTTCCGAATGAACACGCTCACAAAATTCCTTTTCGAGGGCAATGCAGCTTAACACCAACGGTACTATGGTGGACCTGCAAGCTGAGCAAAGCGTCAAGCCAGATGCCTCCGGCCATGTCTCTCCGCTTCGAAGCGCTCCCTCAAGGGACATCTTGTGGCGTCCTTCTCTACATCGGCGGATCAGAATTGTTCGAGAAAGATCCGTTCCAACGTTGGTTGGGGGAGTTTCTAAACTGTTACTTGATGGCAGGAAGCTTGACGCTCTGGAAGGAATTACGGTAGGATGTCCTTGCTCGACCCTCCGTACATACGGCCCTTTATGTAAAGAGTAGACGCGCCCCTCTATCGGTAAAAGCTGTTGCACAACCTCTGAGGAGCTGAGCGTGGTACTCGGGTAAATCGCATTGATTGACTGATAAGGTAGGTACTCTTGATGAAGCAGTATAAGTGACCAGACACCTCGCTCATGTGAAACATCAATGGACGATACATGGAATTCGTGCAAAAGGCGAAGGAAGCTACGGATGGCGAGATGGCGAGATGGCGAGATGGCTGCAAGATAGTCTCGGAGTAGAGATACAAAAGGGCGGCTTGTGAGCGTCCTATGCTTTGACAGTTTGTCCCTAAACTCCCAATGCACTGAGAGTGCTTCAATAGTACTATGTTACATCTCAATCATTGCCCCAGTGTATGCACCGCCTCCACCATGTTCGACATTCTCGAAGTAATGGCGTCACGTGAAACTGAATTTCCCAATCCGGTAAACGGATGAAACGCGACTCCTGGGAAGTGGGACGTGAGAGATTCGCGAACTTAGGGCAAGTTATCTAAACCAAACTATATCAAAACTGCTCCCAAAGGTTCCTAGATTACACCTACTGCAACCTATCGTCCACCATGGCTTCGCCCTCAGCCATCCGCTGCCTCCGTCGCGCGCCCGCATTCGCGCCCCTAACATCACGCTCCTTCTCCACGACTCCCCGCGCATCGCTCGCGCGTATGTCCATCATAGGCCGCCTAGCCGCGGAGCCCGAGCTCACGAACACAAGTACGGGGCGGGAGATCGTGAGATATGCGTTAGGGACGAGCTATGGGCCAAAAGAAGACCGAAAGACCAGCTGGTTCTCGGTGACTTGCTTTGATGAAGGTCCGAGGAGAGATCTCCTCCTGTCACAGCCGAAGGGGTGAGTAGAAGAGTAGGCAAGCGATCTGGGATATCAGGGCTGATATGGAACGTAGGACGTTGGTGTACCTGGATGCGGAAGCACAAATGAGGACATTCGAAGACGAGTCGGGCAGGAAGCAGTCGCGGTTGAACCTCATACAACGTGAGTCGCTCCTTGAGCTTTGTTCTCACTCGTCCAAGCGTCACTGTCTTCGGTGGCCGACCGACCATGGGCATCCGCAACGGGAGGCCACTTTGCTGACACCGCTACAGGAAACTTCGAAGTCCTTAGCAAACCCGCACGTCTTGAGACCTCTGCTGCCGAAGAGCCAGAGAGTGGCATTGGAGCCTCCTGAGCAGGGGGCTAACGACACAACGGTTGACTAAAAGCGGCGCATAAAGCGGGCTCTTCATGCAGACGATCAACGCTGCTTGTGCGGCACGCACGCTGAACGCGGTTCAAGTGTGCTTGTTCCGTTCGTGCACACTGGATTCTCCCCTTCATACGGTTGTACCATATTTGGTAAGGTATTCCAGGGGATAAGTGATGTACCAATAATCCTGTAAGATAGTTGGAGTACTTTACCACTCTTGGGCCCAGGCATCTTATGTAAACCGTCAATCGATGCCATATACTAAGTACCTCGCTAGCCGCTACGGCAGCTTTCTCATGATCACTGAGTAACAGCTATGAGACATGTCACGTGATACCGAATTGCCGCTCTTCAGAAACGCTAAGACATCTGCATCTTAACTTTTAGATGCGCAGGTACCTGCGCCAATTCGCAACCACAACACACGCCGCCATGAACGTCGTTCTTCCACCGAGAGCGCGTACGCTCTGGGGCCATGCGCCCCGCGCACGATCAATCACTCGACGCCGACGCGCCTTCGCCACTGTAGCCAGCGACACTAGGTTCGCTCATCATCCAGTACACAACACCCAAGTCAATTCCTGACATAGCAGCTCTACAGGCCCTACGATGTCGTCGTTATCGGCGGCGGCCACGCCGGAACCGAAGCCAGCGCCGCAGCCGCCCGCTCAGGCGCCCGAACCGCGCTCGTCACCCCCAAGCTCGATAATCTAGGCATATGTTCCTGCAATCCCAGTTTCGGTGGTATTGGGAAGGGCACCATGCTGCGCGAGATCGACGCCTTAGATGGAGTGGTCGGGCGCATCGTGGACAAGGCGGGTGTGCAGTTCAGGGTTCTGAATAAAAAGAAGGGCTCTGCGGTCTGGGGTCCACGAGCGCAGATTGATCGTGCGCTGTACAAGAAGAATATGCGGGAGGAGATGACGAGTTATAAGAAACTATCAGTTGTGGAGGGTAGTGTGGCGGATATTGTGGTGCAGAGGGAGGGGGCGCAGGAGGAGGGAAGACATGGCAGGATTACGGGAGTGAGGTTGGAGAATGGGGAGATCATACCCACTAGCAAGGTCATCATCACGACTGGGACATTTCTGGGCGGAGAGATACATATCGGGCTGGAGGCGTACCCATCTGGCCGCATGGGAGAGGCCGCCACTTTCGGATTGAGCAAGTCGCTGCGGACAGCAGGCTTCAAGCTGGGACGTTTGAAGACGGGTACTCCGCCGCGGCTAGATCGAAAAACAATCGATTTCGAAGGATTAGAAGTTCAGCCGGGCGACGAGCCGCCAATGCCGTTCAGCTACTTAAACGACTCGGTAGACGTAAGGGATCAGCTCTTGTGTCACAGCACCTATACCAACCCAGCTACACACGAGATCATCAGAGCGAACCTTGACAAGAGCATACATATCCGGGAAACCGTCAAAGGACCGAGGTACTGTCCATCTCTGGAATCCAAGATCATCCGATTCAGTGACAAGACTGCGCATATCATCTGGCTGGAGCCGGAAGGCTTCGACAACGACGTCATCTACCCGAATGGCATATCCATGACCGTACCCGCAGATGCGCAGGAGGCCATGCTGAAGACTATCAAAGGCCTTGAGAATGTGAAGATGCTGCAGCCCGGCTATGGTGTGGAATATGACTACATAGACCCGCGTGGTCTCCGCTCAACGTTGGAAACAAAAGCTATCAGCGGCCTCTTCCTTGCAGGTCAGATCAATGGGACGACAGGCTACGAAGAAGCCGCGGCCCAGGGCGTGATCGCTGGCATTAATGCTGGTCTAGCCGCCCAGGGCAAGGAGCCCATGGCGTTATCCCGCGCGGACGGCTATATCGGTATCATGATCGATGATCTCATCACTAAAGGTGTGAGTGAGCCGTATCGGATGTTCACCTCGCGCAGCGAGTACCGCATGAGCGCACGAGCCGATAATGCTGACCTAAGACTTACGGCCAAGGGTAGAGAGGCTGGCGTCGTAGGCGACAAGCGCTGGTCTCGGTTCACCGACGAGAAGGGACAGATGGACGAGCTCATCAGGATCTTGGCTGAGAAGAAGATGAACTCTGCCAGCTGGCAGGGTGCAGGCTTCCAAGTGCGCGAAGATAGCGTTCGCCGCAGCGCCTTTGAGGTGCTTCGCCTTTCCGGGGTCAACACAGCCAGCCTTCTTGATATAGTACCTGAGATCAGTCGCTATCCGCCTCGCATCCGCGATCGTGTCGATATCGAAGCAGTCTACGCACCCTATGTTGAGCAGCAGAAAACCGCCATGAGGGTTTTCTTAAAGGATGAGAGCTTGCACCTGCCAGCTGATCTAGACTACGCGAAGATCCACGGGCTCAGCATGGAAGAGAAGGCGTTGCTTGCTGCGACTAGACCGGAGAGCGTCGGTCAAGCAAGAAGGATTGAAGGTATGACGCCTCACGGCGCCCTTAGGTTACTAGCTTTCGTAAAAGGTGAGAGCCGAGCGAAGAGGAGGGAGCAAGTCTTCACAGAGGCTATGGCGAGGAAGGAAGGTGCCATGAGCGCTGCCACCGAACTTCTGTAACGCACCGAGAAGGGAAAGGGGCAGTGTTGCAGGGCCTGCAGTTAAGCACTGAGGGAGTGTAGCGTGCATGCGTCGGCGTTGGAATTGGTGTTGCACAAACACGGGATCAAGACTCGCACGAAGAGCTACTCCTGGTTTTTGTTTCAGCCTCGTCGGCTGGAACTTGTGTATTAACATGTGCGAATAATACGTATACAAAGCTCAGCCACTCCTCTGTAGGCTTAGTAAGCTGGAACATCAAGTCTTCATGCTTAAATCTGACGAATACCTGGCCCCCTCCGCTAGCCTTCACTATTCACCGGCTAAGAGCGCAGTCTGAGGTGTGAAGTTCGTGTCCGAGGTTGCGGTTCTGCTCCGCCTCACAAGGCGCCCTTTAGGTCGCTCGTGATCACCACGACAACGATTGTTGCACTGCCCCCCAAGCCACCACGTGTATCTATCAGGCCAGGCTCTGCAACATCAGTACGAGAGACTCATAGTATATAAGTCATAGCACGCTGTAATCGCAGTCCGACATTCCATCAACAGCTTAATCCTTACTCTCAAAGTCTCGCAAAGACTCAGTTAAACGAATTGCGTAGTCTAGAGACGCCGGAACAAACTACACTATACAAACCAATTTTTCATCCAAGTTTTGGGCACAAAACCAACACTGTTGACCGGCTTCTCTCCAAGCGTCGTCCTCGTCTCCAACTTACCAACCATCGTAAGCCCGCCTCCTCACCTACCCCACCCAAAACACCATCAGAGCCATTGCTAACGTTTTCTGAAGTAGCGAACTGAGACGATGGGCAACTGTTTCTCGTCTGGGGGCGGCTATAGCAGCTCCGGCCTCCACGAGAAACGTCGTACTCATGGAGGACACTACTACGGCGGCGGAGGAGGCCATTCTGGAGGATTCTTCGGTGGCGGTGATGGAGGAGGAGGAGGAGGGTGTGGTGGAGGCGATAGCGGCGGTGGGGGCGGCGGCGGTGGTGGTGGAGGTTGATGTGAGCATGCCTGCGCATCAAGAGACTGGCGTTCAGGTTGGGTTGGGGAAAGCTTTGTATGTTCCCAGATTTGTGCCTCTCCTTCGTGAGAGAAGTGTACTGCTTGTCTTTCCATGGTCGCAGCTTTGTATTTGTCGTGGCAGTTGAATGTCAACTGGAGCCGGTCATTTGGACTGTATATGCTCCTGGGCTTTTTAGAATTACGCTACGATTCTACGATGCTGGCTGAGCGTTGATTTGTGGTGCGTGCGAACACCCAATGCTTCCTTCAAATGATATCTCACACCATTACCGAACACCACCCGCAGACGATCTCTGACTCAAAAGGTCACCTAGGGCTTGTCATACAGGAATGCTCCTCAGGGTGGGAGATTTACACCAGTCCGTACTCGACTACATGCCAAAGCAGTCCCGCAGAGTCGACCAGCTCATCGCCGACGCTGCAGCCCAGTTTTGGTGTGCAAAGTCCAGCTGGACGCCTTGCCCCTTGCGTGTCTGGGCACATGGCCATCGGCTTCTCCGTGAGATACAATATCCGAACTCCGGACTGTACGAGGTAGCACAGGCCTAACCAAGGACGAAGAACAGAAGAGGCTCTCTCAAGGGCAAAGGTGCGAAACGCTCCAGTTGCACGACCGTGCCTATTGCGCACGCAGCCAAGTGATTTCGAGAATGCGGTTAAATGCTACAAGTTTATGGAACAGTAGATCTCACTATCCGTCTCGCTACAGTTACACTTGACCATTCTCCAAATTACTTCCACAGCGCTCTCCATCACATATGACCGACGTGCTTCTTGCCATCATCCCGTATCTCATCACCGCTTTTTACAACCTCCTCCTCGCCTACACAACCCTGAATCGGCTGCCTTACTAGTAGCCATGCGATGGGCAACTGGTTATCGCTCCCACGACGGCTGGAACGTCTCCCCGAAAGATCTCGGGGCCACGAAGAACGGTCTCGGAGCCACAAGAAACGGTTCAGCGAACCTCATCAACCGCAAAAGGACGTCTACAGCACAGTGCGCCAAAGCGCAGCTTCGCGAGTGCCGTCGGAGCTCAGGTCCAGCGCGGCGCGGAACCATACGCCGACGTTCACGCCTTCCTACCCACCCCCGGCGAAGTCCACCGTTGCGGCAACTCTGCGTGATAAGTCAAGCTCGGGCACTGGGACAGGCTAGGCGAGGCGGCAACGCAAGGATGGAGGCGCTTCCAGCTTTTCTAGTGGGGCTTCTAGCTCTTCTGGTGGAGTGGTTGGAGGCGGTGGGTGCTCTAGGGACTCTTCGTACGGGGGCGACTGCGGCGTAGGGGTAGGCTCGGTGAGCGGCGGCTGCGATGGAGGCGGTGGAGGCGGTGGGTGCTGTTAGGGGATCATGTAAGCGTTGGATTAAGCGTATGCTGGAGCTTAGACACGCATATTATTTTCCAAAGGATGAACTGGAAGGCGGATGTACGGAGCTTTGGTCGAGTATCTTATGGAAAGAGTGGCTGAAAGAAGTACTTACGTAGGTTAGAGGTTTCTTGGATAGTACCGCTAAAACTGGGCATCTGAGCTGTACTTGACACGCTGTAGTGTGCTGCCGGAGATGTTTGAAGCGTGAAGATCAAGGCAGGACTGACCGCGAGGGGAAAGATTAAACGCTGGATCTCTGAGTGAGTAATATTAGTGCATCGCTGCAGTATCGTGGAATGCCACAGACCTGTGCATGCCTTCCGAATCAGCCATCATTGTAGCTCTATGGTATATCATCAGCTGATCCGGTCAAGTTTCCTGCAAGCCGATCACCATCCACAAACTGTTCCACTGTAGCTCTGAAGACTGAGACATTTGGTGCAAAATGATCATGCAAACTGATGCTTTGTTCACGGTGGCGAACCCTTTGTCTTTCTTTTCGAGGGTCTTTGCGGCAGTAACCAAGAGCTCATTGTCTTCGACAAATGAACTCGCTAGGCAAAACCAAGGCCTTTGTTGTCGCACGTAACCTATCAAGGCCGGCATCGATGGCATACCTCTAGTGAGTTGAGTATACCATCTGCAATACTCAGGAACCGTGACACACTTTACATCTGATCAAGTCAGCTACCACTACATACCAGCACTTTCACAAACTTACAATGGACGCCTACGATCCCAACGCCCCCTCTTTGGGCCTCCCCACAGCCTCCTCCAGCCCCATCCCCACAGGCCTCGACCCAGACTACGGCTTCCTCTACCCACCAATCCTTCCCCTGAGGCTTTCTCTACGCGGCCTCCGTCCCCAAAGCACCACCGACAACATCCGCTACGATGACTACCGCTGGACCAGCATCCGCGTCTGCGCACACGTGCAGCTCTACTGCGGGCGTAAGCTGAGCCCTGCACCCACCGCCACATGTGGCCAATGCGGCGGACAGCCGGACGAGGCGATTCGAAACAAGCACACGCAGTTGACGCGCTTCTGTCGGAAGTGCGCGAGGTGCAACAGTAGCGGTAAGAATTATTACTTGAGGAGTGACTCGGGAGACATGGCGGAGTGGGCGCTTGTGTGGACCCAGAAAGTGAAGACGGAAGAGGGAGAGGGTGACTGTCACCAAGGTAGTTTTAAGCAGGTGGACGCGCTGAAGCTGCTGTCGAGCGAGGTGAGGGAGGACATAGGTAAGAGGGAGAGACGACAGCCGAATAAAGCAAGGATGGAAAGGGAGATGCGGACTTTAATGCTGTATACACACCAGGGCCGAGTCAGTAAGAGCAGAGACGAACAAACAGACGGTCAGAAGAAGAGCCAGAATTTAGTGAGGAAGAAGGTAAGGTTTGTGATCCCCAAAGCGGTAAGCTCGAAGGAAAAGACAGCGAGATTGGCGAAACACGCACTCCGTAGCAACTAGCCGCACGATCTCTGATTGGTGGTCATCAGTGAAGCAGCTAAACGGAAACAGTGTCGAAGAAGTGTTTGTTGTTAGCAAGCTGTGATATTACATTAGACATTCGCCGGCATGACGAGAGAAATGGTAAAGAGTGAGTGCCGTGTTGGACTTTTTGCGTTGTATTTGAGTGAGTCTATGGACTTTGGAGGAACCTAACGTGTTCCCCAAGATGTGAGGCAAGAAGATGTATCGCTTGAGGGGTATCAAGGCCGCGCACAATCAGCGATAAATAAAAAATCCGAGAGACCAAACAATCACAACTGAAAATGAACAGCAGGGGTATCAATAAGCCATGAATTACGAAATTGCGTCAGTGCCGCAAACTTTCTTCACCTTCCAAACCGTCAATCCTCTACGCCCAACCACTCTCTGCAATGTAGGCCAAAAGCCGTCGTCGCCAAAGTCGAGGTCATCTAAGTTGATGTGATTCTTGTAAGTCCGAAGCTCCTCCAGTCGAAGCTTCTCACCCGAATCGAGGCCTTTGAACCGATCGAGGAACGTTGCCGACCTCGGAGCAACCAGGTAAACAGTTCCATTATCGGACCTGACCTTTGTGCTGTCACATGGTGCGACTTGCATCAACTGCTCCACCATATTCTCTTTTGGTATGCCCATCAGATCTGTAGTGACCATCCTGTCATTCTTTCCGTCGAGCAGCCAGATGGGTGGACTGTATGTCTTCCACCAAAATGCGTGTGCTCCATGCTCTTGCTTTCCCAGGAAGATCTGCGTCGGCACAACGCCACCTTGATGGTATACGCCCATCAGGATCCCAAGTGATATATTGAAGGCGATCCAGGTCGCAATCCAGGCGCGGCTGAACCGCTTCGGTAATCGGAGAGACGAGAGGAGAAGTGGGACAGCGGGCAACAAGAAACGTGCTTCTTGATGCGGAAAAACTGATAGTAATACAATCCCGGTAAGAGCCGAAGCAAGACGCAGGGTCTTACGAAACGAAAAGATGAGAAGCGGGAGAGCAGGCCCGAGAAGTTGAGGCAAGTTCGCGACGAGGTGCTGATAGTATGGATGCACTCCGTGTTGGGCAAGATTAACCACTGAAGAATTGTACTTGAGGTTGTTCCATGGCGTAATCGTAGGTCGATTCCGAAGGTCGGAGAATGCAAATGGCTCTGAGGAGTAGAACGCTGTGTCCACAGCGATGGCCAGAAAAAGCGTAAAGGCAGCAGCCAGAGAAAAAGAGAGTAAAGAAGACGGCCTGAATAGTTCTGTCAGTTGCTTGCTGGACACGGTCGCTAGATCTTCTTACCTGCGCCAGAAATGTGGGAGCAGTTTCAGCCCTGGAATCAAAAGGAATGCTGGAAACGTAATGCGAGTAAAGGTGCCGCCTACTGATAGAAAGCCCAGGATGGCTGGAGCCCAGATCCCTGAGGCTTTCTAGATAGAAAGATTAGTCCCGCGATAAGTCAAATTGGGTGATGACCCGTACCTTGTCCGCCAGTATGCGCCCAACCAGCACCAGACTCCAAAGAACTATGAGAGTCTCGATCGAGTTGGAAAATGTGTGTGTTTGAAGGGTCCATGTTACGTAGGATGAAGCGACGAGAAGTACAGCAACATGCTGTTCGCGTGGGGAGCTCGCAAGCTCTTGGATGGCCCAGTCCTCAAGCACGAAGCTGAATATGAACATCATGCCACGCAATGTCCAGTACACGACAGCTGGAGGAACTTCACCCCATCCCGCTCCCTCCCACAGCCACCTAAGAAGGCCCATAGGGAAGCCGTAGACGATCCATAGCGGAAATGCGCTTCGTATGGGGTGATCCGATGTGAACTCCCAGGTGAGGTGTACCGGGTAGGAATATAGGCGTCCTGGTGATACGAACACGCGTCAGTATAGGCCTTCAAGAGCTTGTGCCAGCTAGAGCGCGCCATATACCTGCTATGACTTCGGGTCCTTGGAAGTTCTCATCAGGGTGCAGGTAGCTTGGCGACAGGGCGAAGTAGAGCCGCACCAGGATCAGGAAGAAATAGGCTCTCCGCCACATCTCGCCGGTAACGAAAAAGCACGAATTTTGCGTTGGCTGGAGGACGTGGACATCCTGCGTCGAGTTGTTGATGTGGTCACTACTCTAGTAGCGCGTACGCGTACGACAGATGTTGATAGTCAAATGACTTGGCACGGGAACGACTGCTGAGTTCTTCATACGACATCGCTCTAAGCAACAGCGATTTTGACATATCGATGGGATGATGGGCAATCCAAAGATGAACGGAGGCACTACAGGCATAGAGACCTCTAACGTCATGTATCGCATCCGCGTTATTCAAGCGTTGCCCCCTTAGCACTTTGATCACGTGTCTCAACACCACCCTCCCTTCATGACATTTGAGACATTCGCAAGTGTCTTAGAATCGCATCGTGTGACTCTACCTTGTTCTACCCTACAAGTCTGACGACTCCATACCTCGCCTGGGTATCTATAGAACTCGCAGGCTGGAAGTGAGCGGTCCAATGCATCACTGATATACGCCTGATGTAATGGAATATCTGGGTGAACACAGCACGTTTGTTATATCAACAACGATACAATCGCGAGACGTTTGCAAGCGCACGAGGGTACAATCTTCGAATCGTGCCTTGTCTTAACTCTACCACAGGCAAGGAAGTCCTGTCTGCCCTGGCGTCGAGCTCGTATGGGTTGTGGGTGAAGGCGCACGAGTTGAATTGGTAACGGTGAAGCCACTCTAAAAGAGCACTGCCTTCACGGCTTACCACTCGGAACTTGAGTGCGGAGAAGCTGTCCTGCGCGGGTTTGCTCTCCCAAGGAAGCAAGTGAAGTGAGGTTTGTCCTCAGCACTGCACCGCGCTTGCCCGCATCCGGCGTAGCCTCAGGCCCAAACGTACATGTGTCTGAGCGAGCTTATTGTACTTCTGCCTTCCAAGGTTGCAACAGAACAAACTTCACCTTCACCACGGTTCACTTCCAGCAGCCGCCTACAAAAGCCTTGTCGCCCGACCGCCCTTCCTCCTGCCAACAACTCCCGCACACACACCTTCCACAAAACCAGCCAGCCTGAATACTATCACCCGCTCTCAGACAACCTCACCCAACTACTCTACCACTTCAACATCCCCAGAACTACAATGGCTGCCTCTACTCCTGCGACGCAGATGATTACCCTTACAACCAACGACGGCGTCGACATGACGATCGAGCGCCAGGTCGCCGAGCGCTCCATCTTGATCAAGAACCTGCTCGAGGACGTCGGCGAAACGGGCGAGGCTATCCCCATCCCCAACGTCAGTGAGCCCGTCATGCGAAAAGTCATCGAGTGGTGCGAGCAGCACAAGAAGGATCCGCCGGCCTCAAACGACGATGACTCCGACTCGCGCAAGAAGTCCACCGACATTGATGAGTGGGATCAGAAGTTCATGCAGGTGGATCAGGAGATGCTCTTCGAGATCATTCTGGTACGTCTCCTCGCCCCCGCTGCCATCTGGCGCCTCTAACAGACTTCCCAGGCCGCCAACTATCTCGACATCAAGGCCCTTCTCGACGTCGGCTGCAAGACCGTCGCAAACATGATCAAGGGCAAGTCACCAGAAGAGATCCGAAAGACGTTCAACATTCAGAACGACTTCACGCCTGAGGAGGAGGACCAGATCCGCCGCGAGAACGAGTGGGCAGAGGAGTGAGTCGAAACATCGCCCACACTCATGGGTTGTCGCTAACTTGCATTTAGCCGCTAAATCGCCTTCGTCACCGTTTCCCTTCCTCGGCTAGCATCTGGCACAGGGCGACAAAATCGGGCTCTCATGTGCATACGGTGGAACGATTCTCTTCTGGCGTTCATGGGCGACTGGCTGGGTGTGAGAAGCGAGACTACATTTACCGAGTTCATTCTCTCTGCGGTATCTAGTATACGGACTTGATTCCCGTTCACGGTAGCGCATCAGCATGGGGTTTTGAGTGGTTTGCTTCTAAGACCTCAGCGTAGTGGTGTGACTTTCCGCCTTAGCATGAATTATTGAAACCAACCGCTCCCGAAGATCTTCAATGACAGTGACATTGGTGCGAGTTAGCATGGCCGCGGCATTATGGCGAATGCTCTGGATGGGGCTTATGCTCGCGGCGCCATCGACGGCTTTTCGCATGGTGGCTGAAAGTGCTCTCATTGTCCATGCCAGAGAGCATCCGACGTCACGTGATTTTAAGTGCACGTTGCTCACCATGGAAGCTGAGTTGTCGCAGCGGACCTCACCTGCATCTACCAAGTAGCGCTCCTCGCCGCGGGGCTTGATCAAAGTCCAGCGGTCAGAGCGCAAAATTATTCGCCAGCTGCTTGAACACAGGGTGTCATTACCATGATCTACGTATAAAATCAGCACGCATCTCTGGGTGGGATGCTCTGAACTTCTTCGACCAAAATGCAGCGCAAACTGCGAACAACTCTGCCTAGGTGAGCTATTTCAACGTCGACAAGAGGGCGGTCTTCCTAGCTATTCCCTGAGGGAACTGGCAAGCCTTGGCCACGATTACCCTCTTCTGTTACGGCTCTTTTGAAAATGATCAGGTCACATGCCACATTTTCCTGAGTTCGTTCAGCTTTCAAAGTCTTATCTTTTTCGCCATGAAATCTTCTATATCACGCTGTTCTACGGACGGTTTAGGTCGCATTCAGCGCTCCGGCTTTTAGAAGCAATTCGACCGCAACATCGAGCTCTGAAAAAAATAAAGCAGGTCCCGTGACTGCCGTAGACATTGCGGCGACGAGGTTCATTCGCAAAAGCGTCACACCGTCTCCTCTAATGATCACAAGACGCGTTGTCATCAAAGTGGGGATGACTCGTTCTTACGTACTCGATTTCCTGATCAGAGTTATCGATGGAGGGTGAGGCCGGAATTGCTCCTATCTGTGGCCGGAATGAATCCGGCCAAGACGTATATATGCACGAGGATTCCACTCTCAGCACAGCGGTTCCCAAGCCGACCGCCAAGCAATATATCATACTTCTATACTATTCATTGTTGGTTGTTCTCTATCACGGTCAACACTATGTCCACTCCCAGCCCACTCCAGTTCAATGTCCTTACCGGCTCTCTACCGGTTGATCCAACCCTACCAGCCTTCATGGTATCCACCACTCGGGGCTTCCTGCCTCGTCAAGACCCCATTGTGAAGCTCCCCGCCGACTTCGACGCCCTCGAGTCCATCCTTTCTCGCATGCCCATCAAGACCGCCACCGGAGCCCCAGGCCTCCTAGCCAGCTTCACGCTCGGTCCCACCGTCTACAAAGAGCTTCCCGACCTGACATCCGCCATCGACAAGTACCGCGATGACCTCCCCTTGATGAACGCCTTGTATAGGGACTACGCCTTCCTCGCGTCAGCCTACCTGCTTGAACCCTGCCACGAGCGGTTCATGAGGGGCGAGAACTATGGGTTGGGCCGGCAGAGCTTGCCGAGCAACATCGCTTTGCCTATTGTCAAGGTCGCTGAGATGTACGTTATCCCCATCATTCCTCCACGTCCTTCCCGAGTTGTCTTCTTCCAATCATCTGACAAGGGGTAGTGCCGGCTTCAAGCCCTTCATGGAGTACGCCGGCTCTTACGCCCTCTTCAACTACCGCTTGGTTGAACCGGCTCTGGGGCTCGAGTACTCGAACCTCCACCTCATCCGCGCTTTCGAGCACGGTCTCGACCCGGAGTCCTCGGAGGCGGGCTTCGTGCTCGTACACGTCGCTATGGTGCGGCACTCCGGCGCGCTTGTCTCCGGCGCCGTTGCCGCGCTGGACGGCTGCGTGTCTCGAGATCGTGAGGCGTTCAATGCTGGGTTGGTGCAGGTGATTGAAGCCCTGGTGGAGGTCAACAAGGTTATGAACAGTACGTTAGTGATCTAAAATCTCTGATACATCGGGCTGACGGAATCCAAGCAATGTGGAGACACAGCAAACCGGCCCAGTACACCAGCTTCCGCACCTTCATCTTCGGCATCACGAAACAGACCATGTTCCCCAACGGCGTCGTCTACGAGGGCGTCAGCGAGGAGCCCATGTCCTTCCGCGGCGAATCCGGCGCGAATGACAGCATGGTGCGTTTTTTCCTCCCCCACTCGGGACTCGACCAGCCTGGCGCAGCCAACACCGTACTGACGCTCGCCACAGATTCCCCTCTGCGACAACCTCCTCCAAATCACCATGCCATCCACCCCTCTTACCGAGATCCTTAACGACTTCCGGTCCTACCGGCCCGGCAACCACCGGGAGTTTCTCGAAGCCGTCAAAGACTGCGCCGAAGGCAACGGCCTCAGGAGCTATGCCCTTGAAGACGCGGGGTCCGCGGCACTTTACCTTCGTGCGCTGAACCAGGTGCGCGACTTCCGCTGGCGCCATTGGTGCTTCACGCGCGAGTATGTGCTCAAGCAGACTGCGTATCCCGTCGCTACGGGGGGCAGTCCGATCGTCACTGTGAGTGTGATCCTGCATTCCATCTGGCTGCGAGTTTGAGAGCTTGATGGAAAACGGTGCTGATGAGATACAGTGGTTGCCGAACCAACTGCAAGCGGTGCTGGCGCAGATGGTTGCGGTGGGTCCGCACTGTGGCAGTGCTAGGGGGACAGCGGACATCATGGACGTCGTGCACGCGCAGCAGGAGACGTTGAGGAAGGAGGTGGAGAAGTACTGTATGGAGAGGAGCGTTGTCGCGTGATGTTCGGGCTGTTCTGCAGACTTAGGTGGTGGTTGGATATTAGCAATGAATAAATATCCATACGAACCCGGCATCTTGAGCATTGTAACACCGGTCAATCAACTGTGCCGGCGTTGGCCAATAATGTTGCTCGACGGATGTGATGAACTAGGAACGGCGGCCATGGTAATGGGAGGAAGCTTGAGGGGAGGGCTGGAGGCAGAGATTTTCTGAAGGGCACAAATATGCCCTCATTTCAAATCGAACGGAACATGACATAAAATAGAGTCTCAAGATCCTTTCCTAAGCTAGAAGCGTTGTAGGGGCTCTGCTAGCACGCATGTGGTCAATTCAGACATTTGATAATGGGGAACAACAGGACCATCCAGCGGATGGAGGCTGGATGCAAGAGCGCGCAAGGATAAGACGTTGAGAGAGAAGAAGAAATGCAGACATCATCACATTACTATCTTCCTCAATAGTACACTACAAACAACATGCTTCCGCAGCGAGGAAGCCACGGACCTCCTATATGGAAGGTATGCAGCAATACAGGGTTCGATACGCCGACGCCAGGCCCGTCTAAAGTGGTCTTGAAGCTCCAAAAATGGAATAATATGCATAGCAAATACATGAAGAGAAAGAAGCTTCCAGCGCCGAATGTAAGAAGCTCCGTGCTTGAGAAGGTCCCACAAGACTCGGAGGAAAGCCCATACTCTAGTGGGTCGGAATTTGAAACAGACGTCTGTCAGCCGCGCTCACGCCTTGAACCCATCCTTCATACTCTGACTACTCGCACTCATTGTTGGCGCCGTCGTCGGCAGCGTATCCTTCTTCTCCTTGTTCTGCTTGATCTTCGCAAGCGCATACACGATCCCGCTCACAAAGCCAACGAAGATGGCCGACACCGACCCAAAGGTGCGCGGCGCATCGAAGAACACCAGCCCGCTGAGCGCAATGGGGAGTTTGTTCAGCGCGCCAACCATCGAGTATGTCGTCGAGGAGGTGACGCGGACACACCAGGCGGAGGTGTAGGAGATGAAGACGGAGGAGAGGCCGGAGAAGACCATGGCGGTTATGATGGAGTTCCGCTCGACGGGAGGGAAGTTGAGGGAGATGTTCTTCGAGGACCAGTCTTCGAGGAAGAGGGAGCAGACGAGGAGGATGGGGATCGAGAGGAGGTTGTTGTAGTACATTGCTGGAAAGAGATTGTCAGCGTCGCCGCAGGATAAACGGTGGGAAGGGACTCACTGTCGAAGTCCTTGAAGTTGGTCAACTTGATCCGCTTCCTCATGCCTAGAACGTAGGCGGCGCTGCAGAAGCAGTTCAACATCATCCATATATAACCAGAGTTGAGGGTCGAGATCTTGTCAGACGCTTCATTACTGGCAGATCCACCGTAATTGGCCAACGCATGCTGAATGTCCGCCCACGCAGCGATGAGAGAGCTAAACACCATGAGACCGAAGGAGAAAAGGGCCATGCCGGTGACGGTTCCGCCGAACCATAGTACCTCGCCGTATGCGATGATGATGATGGTCAAGTTCTTGAAGATTGTGTAGACGGGGATTGAGAGGAAGCGCAGGGCTTTTGTGCTTGTGTAGATCATGCCGATGAGGAGGAGGGAGACGGGGAACCCTGTTAAAAGCAGTCAGCGTCTACGCACCCTAGATACAGCGAGATGTCTACCCACACTTCCTAGCCTCTTCGGTGTTGAAGTCGCGATATGTGATTACTCCAGCCGTTTTGCAGGTCTGAATCGCAGCAACGCAGACCACAGACTGTGTCTCTGTCAGCGCCCCGGTCTTTACCTCTTCTGGTCTCGGTTTCGTACCTGGACGCATAGCAAGAAGAAGTTGAGGTTGAAGTCACGCCCAGACAAGACGTATTTGTTCGTCACGGTCATCAGGATCGACGAGCCGCAGTATGCAAGGACGGGTACTATTGGATTGTTCGAGACGGAGATGTGCGCTGGCGCAGACGGCATCCTGGGCGGCTGTGGGCGCTCGAAGCTGCCCTCCTTCCGGTCGCCGAGTTCGATGGCGTAGTCTTCTCTTTTCTTCTCGTCGGCCATGGCGGCGGTTGATATGCAGGTACTGACGTGAGGAATGCGCGCGTTGCCTGTAAGGGGGTTCCGGTGGACTGGGCGGAGGTTTGAGGAAGGCCAATCGTACGACCGTTGACTGAGAACGACAGACGATGTGAGCTAACAAGGACGGATCGCGAAGGCGAAGATTATCTAGCAGAAAGTGGTGTATGCGAAAAAGCCGGTGGTGTTGGGGGCGTCGACGTCTCCTTTGGGGCTCATCGGGCTAGTTAGGTAAGTTTGCGAACGGCGAAAGTCCCTGGAAAAGATCCCTGCAAGCGTCAAGCCTCATATTTCTGTAGGGCTGAAACCACCGCCGCGGACCAATTCAACATGATACAGTACTGGAAAACATTGCAGTAGTCAATTGCCGTAAGGTCTATGGAAGGCTTGGATGCAATACGAGGTATTACCATCGCCTCGATTTTGCCGGTTTACAACATCTACCCTGCGCCTTACGCACTCTGAAACTTGTGATCGTTGCCTCGCCTCTACCTTAGCGTCCGTAACATCCTCAGGCAACAACAGACTATCGAGCTTTCACAATGCAGTTTGTCAATTGCTTCCGAGGTTCACTAATATCGACAGACCTACACCTTCCTACCACAACCTGAGCAAGCCACCACAAAAGCCCGCACTTCCGCACCAGAACCCTGTCCTCCAACCAAACCCCCCCCCCACACCGCCCACAATGCCGCTCGACGCCAAAGTAGCCTCCGTGCTCGACAAACACCGCCCGTCCACCACCGACTCCGACGATGAAGACGCCCTAATCTCCGCCCTCGAAGACGAAAATGATTCCTCCCTCTCCGCCTTCCGCGAGCAACGCCTCCAACAATTGCACGCCGAGGTCGCCCGCGCAAAGGAGATGCGCAACGTGGGCCACGGCAGCTACACCGAAGTCATGGACGAGAAGGCGCTGATGGAGATGACGACGGCCAAGGAGAACAGGTTGTGTGTGGTGCACTTCTTCCATCGGGATTTCGGGAGGTGTGGGGTTATGGATGGGCATTTGGAGGTATGAGGTCCCACAGTCCACAGAAGCCCATACACGGAAGCGAGAGATGTTTTGGAGATTCACTGGGGAATTGAGTTGGATGCTGATGCTGATGCGGTGATACGATCCAGACCCTCGCCCCCACACACCTCGACACCCGTTTCCTGCGCATCAACGTCGAAGCCGCGCCCTTCCTCGTCACGAAACTGAACATCAAGGTCCTGCCCTGCGTTCTAGCCTTCGTGGACGGCATCAGTGTGGACCGGATCGTCGGCTTCGAGGGACTGGGCCGCACGCCCGATACTTTCACCACGCGCGATCTCGAGGCCAGGCTGCTGCGGGCGGGCGTGTTGGTCAGGGCGAAGATCACCGGTGAGGGCGCGGGTGGCCGTACGGGAACGATAGGGAAGGGGCGGAGTAAGAAAGCGGAGAGCGATGAAGACGAGGGTGACGACTGGGATTGAAGACGGGGAGGGGGACGGGTACGTACCTAGCAGATGCTCTGGAACCGGGCTGGAGCGGCTCCTCATGACTTGCATGCGCGGCCGTCCGGGGAACCGCACGGTATGCCGGAGGATCGCGGTTGTTGGGTGCTCGCTTGCACGCAGAGGACGCTGTCTGGATCCTTCGACTCAATTGTGCTGAGTGGCCGCAGGATCGCCACGACTGTATTCTGCGGCAGAACGTCAGAGGAAGTTTCCGCCAGAACATGGGAGATGGCGATCACCATGTGAAACCTTACGATGCTGAGAAATAATGGCCGCTAGGTAGGACCAGGCTACTACCAATGTTGTGCACGAACAATACCGAACATAGAGGGAGATACAAGTAAAGAGGAAGACCTAGTCCATGAAGCCTTCCATGCGCCATCGGTGCTCGCTCTACATATGGGCTAAACGCTAAGAAGCATGCTCAAACGTAAAAATGCCCATCGTGTGTTACCATCAATGATGAACCGGACCTGAAGTACAGAAAACGACCCCGAAATCGACGCCGAAGGAAGTAGAGTCATCCCGAACCCCAACCCCTCACGCGACCAATATATAACTCACTCCCTCTCAAGGTCCTCCAGGGAACCCCAGCGCGACCACGCCCTCGACCACTTGCGCCGCAGAGCATCAAACGCGCCATACGGCAGCGGTTCACTGCTATACGCCGACCCGTCCTTGAAACTCTGCTCCGAAGAGCGAGAACACAGCCGCGCGTTCCCAACAAAGTTCCCAGCGCCCCCAATCCCAAACCGCACGTTCCTGCCCCGTTTCCGCTGCACGACTCGGCCCCGTGCAAGCTCCTCGTCGAAGCTGAGGAGAGCGCGCTCAGACGCGTGGTGGATGTTGCCGAAGCCGCCGATGCCGCTGGTGAAGGAGCCGGAGTGCCGTTTGTAGGGCGCGGGGGGTCCGGTTGGTGGGAACTCGGAGGCTCGGTGGAAGTTGCCGGCGCCGCCGATGCCGTGTTTGATATAGGCGCTACTTCTGCTGCTGCTGCTGGAGAGGGAGAGCAGGGAGGAGGTGCTGATTGAGGTGTCGTGGGAGAAGCGCATATTGGGAGAGCGCTGGAGATGCGGATTGGTGTGTAACCAAGAGATGTTTCCGGGGAGCAGTGCTTTGAAGATGATTCCGTCGAGATGCAATGGTGATGAAATCGATATACAGCTGTTAATGTGATCTACAGAGATGAAGTGTTTGAATTTGGAAGGGAAAGGAAAGTGCATCTGAATATCAGCGGGTCCAGATCATATATACACAGCATAACACATTCTCGATCAACAGCATCAAGGGAGAGCGGTATGTGCGACCAATGGTCAAACGTTGCACGAGAACGGCTGTAGGGAGCGGACGCCTGCATGGCAGGAGTCACAGACCGCGGTTCGTCGATCCATCTTACCTGCGTTCTGATGAGAAAAGGTAGTTGTTCTCCGTTTAGCCCCGGTAGCGGTCAACATAGGTAGTCGAGGTCCCATCAGCTGATGTGGTAAATTTAGCTGAGCGGACAATCCGACGTTCCCAGGTGGGGGCTGAGAGCTTCTGCCTATCAGGCGACCGCCTTGCATCGACCGCCTGGGCGCCAGGATGGATATTCCCCTGTTCGTCAGATCTCCGTCTCAGGAAATCTGTAAATCGTACATCAGAGCTTCCGGATGTTCACCTCTGTGCCGAAGCGGCTAGTGCAGGCGCTGTTGGCTGTGCAACGTCTGCGGCGGCTTACTGCGCATCATTCAAACGGGCGAGGTCCCAGCGATTCCCAGAACCTAAATCAGTACCGAAGCAATTGCGCTCAGAAGGCGTTTGGGATCAGTATCTTGTGGCACATTGAAGCTGCGAATCCTCCTGACTTGGGATGGCGAGTCCACTAGAGCAGCCGCGTCTCGCTTGGGGCCAGCTACTCCTGAGATGTGGTGAGACCCGCGCTCTGCCACAGCATCAGGGTATGCTGTGAGCAGCGAGCCGTTCCTGCGACAAGCCAGCCGATGGTCCACGGCGTCGACGGGATATCGCGTTGACGCCGATGATGCTCTCGGATGGTCGCAGGCAAACGTTGGACGATACCCGTTGACGCGGCCTGTGATCGACCGGACTCATGAGCTACTTTAGCTAACCAGGCAGGAAACAACACAGCTCATGCGCATTTTGACGAGAGATGGCAGGTGGAAAAGCCAAGGACAGCATCTCGTACCGTATCATATTCGTCAAGGAGTGCAGTACAAGCGCCGGTGACAAGGGCAGATTCTCCGATACGTACAGCAGGACGAACCGCCCTATTTGATCGCAAATTCGTGTAGCTCATCTCCGTTCCTCCGCTGCTCCAGTATGATCTCACCGTCCATGATCCCGTGCACGTAGCTACAAGCGTCAGCACAAGTTCAAGCAACAGTTGATTATCTCGGCTCCTTACCTTTCACCAACCACCGTATAGTATGTCGGTTGTGAGTCATTCAGAGGCCGCAATACGAAAGGCACCCTTCCGCCTAGCAAGACCGCTATCACGTCTCCCTTGCAAGTTGACGTTGGACAAAGTCCCACATAGCCTTTCTGTGACAGGAAGAATCGCTTGTCAAGAGCGCCATATCCTTGCTGCATATGACGATGTCGAGAAACGTTGACTGGCCGTTCTAGCTTCGAGAAGAGTTCTTCCTCGTCTTCCGCAGTCTGAGGCGGAAATGGAGACCCTAGAAATTCAGTGCTTATACGAGTTAAGCTAAGGTTATCGTGTTCTTCATCGTAATCTGCAAAGATCGTTCTCCAAAACACTTCTCTCCTGGGTTGAGCTGAGTAAGAGTAACTAGTGGTGCAGTCAACATCAAACATTGTTCTCCAGTCTCTTAGTATCTTTATGTCGGAAGCAAGATCCATCTTGTTCCTTTTCCACCTATCTCCGTAGTATGGTTGTCGAGGTGGCGCCGGGCGTCCTAGTTGGAGCACGCTATCCACCACAACGCCACGAACACGCAGAATCCGGGAATCGGTGGAAAAGTTGAAGGGGATAGGTGATATGGGGTCAAGCGACGCGCGATACATTATTGTCTCACCAAGCAACTCAACTCTGGCGTAGCTGATACGGAGGGGTGAGGTCTTTACTGCGGAAAAGCTGCGGCTCCTGATGACTTTACCAAAACGGGGCACCCAAGAGGGTAGCGGAGGTGCTCTAAGACTGTCATCGACCAGGATATCACGGTCCTGAAGACATGCCAAAACATCCAATTTCCTACTCAATTCGAGCAAATGCCGGGTAACGCTGATTTGGAGGTGAGACAGGTCCATAGAGTAATCCGGAACAATAAGTCTCTTTTCGTCGCTACCTTCCGGCAGTAGGCTGAGTAGGGCGAAGATCTTGTCCCGAGGATCAGTGGCCTTATAGTCCGCGGTCCCTTCAAGTAAGTCAAGAAGATTCTGGGAGCCTTTCCGGGTTCCGCAGATGGAATGAATTGGGAGGAAGTTCACAAAGATAGAGTGAACACGTTGGTCAGGAACCAATACCAGGGAGTTGTTGCTCAACATACTAAACTCCGGCAATATCGAAATGCCTCGACAGAGGATGGCCCAGTCTATCGATCGATATCCACAAAGAACCTCCACCTTTGAAGCATGCGCAACTTCCTGGATGACCCATATCCGTTGCCACCAAGGCCTTTGGAAGAGCTTACATAGTGGTTCTATCGGTAGTCCACGTTGAACACGATCCCATTGACTCCTCGATAGGCATTTAGTCAGGGAGTTCTCAGCTGGGCTTGCCAAACCAGATTCGGACGGTTTTTCCGCTGTGTCCACAGCCTGATCCTGTTGCTTTGAAGACGATATCGAATAGCTTTGACGAAAGGCGCCCCGGTTGGCCAACCAGTCGAAGGCTTCAGAGCTGGTATTGGTTTCAGGACCCAACCAAACAACGACCTTCGCAGCGTTCTTGTAGATAGCACCCATCTGGCGCACCTGTTGATTCCGTTCTGGGATGTCCGCTTGATTTATGCATAATGCATCGATCCAGATGACCCGCCTCCGCTTGTCCCGATACCGCAAGTGTCTGAGGGCAGATTCCAAGTTCTCTGTTACGCCAAACAACCTCCCGTTGACCTCTATAGGGCGCTTTGTTGTCTGATCACCCCATACATATGACAGCGCATCATAGGCTGGACGTTGCTGCAATGAGGCGCAGCAAAGCGTGCATTTGATTAAGCTGTGTTTCACCGTAGACGGGTGAAGTACGAGCAATCTAACAGCTTGCGGAACGCTGGGTAGTGGTGGGTATTGAAAGGTATTGACAGCAAAACCAGAACTGCATACATGGGTTGCGTCGAGGTGCGGTTGGGTGGCAAGAAGCTCCGTCGCGATAAGAGCACGCAGAGCGCGAGGGAACCGCCTCAGTCGCTCATCTACTGACAGTTTCCCTAGAATAGGAGCCGGCGAATGATGCCAGGGCTTTGAATGACTGATATGGATCTCGGATACGGCTCGCGCAAAGATTGTTACTTCATAAGTAGTTTCCTCCCTCGGATTTTGGGATGTTTCGAGGGGCTCGACTCGAAGGCGGCTACCAGACTCGTCGTAAAAGACGCCGTTGGCGTCGGGGACGGCCCGCCAACGCTTCTCAAATCCTTCTAGTCGTATCAACGGTAGTCTGCTTCGTCTCCAAACGTCATTGATAGCTTCGTCGTCTTCAGGATCGATAGCTTCGACTATCTTCGCTACGGCAAGGGTAAGTAAATCGAACTTGCTGTCGCAACCAATAGCAAGAGAGCCTGAGTGGCTGAGTCCAACAACGTTGCGGTCCATTCCTTGGAGAGGCCTGGAACAGTAAGGTAACAATGGATAGGATAGACTCTCAGTGGGCTTTAGCAGGAATGTGAGATAAGGACTGGAAGCCGCACATATGAAGGCGTAGAAATGAGCGTCGCTTACTGAACGAATGCCGCATCGAAACTGCCTCAGAGACTTTGTACCGCGAGGCTTACTTCCGCCGGTCAAACAGAGACCCCGCCTTGCGACTGATTGAAGTGGTATTGGAAACCACCAGTCATATCTTCGCAACACATCATGCGTTAACTCGTGAAATGTCAGCCAACAAAACGCTTATCACAACGGCGTGGTGCATACATCATCCTCCCACGTCCGATGGGCAGTCCGTATTAGCGCCTGAGCCCTTTCCTTGAAGGTCTTATTGGCTCCAGCTTCGAAAGCCACGTCCTTCGGACCAATCATATGCCGGCCCAATAGCTGAAGCCCCCTGCAGAAGGCGTTGATTCCCATCGGACGTGTCCAAGCGCTGTACGCGCATGAGAAGGCAAGATGGGCAACCGACTGGGGGCCTAACAGCTTCACCGGTGAACCTCGCACCTGGTGGCGAATAATCTAATTGCGTATTAGATTGCGCCATCATACGTGTACCGGCAGGATTATAGCAAGGCTGAAGTTCGACGCGGCTGACATGAACGGATATAACTACGGGAGCTCAGCAGTAGACCAGGCTGTGATATTGTCTAAACCCAGAAGACCGATCTAGAAACCGGCCGAGGAACAGCGGAACAGCATCATGGAGCCGCATGCTGGACACAACGAGTATAATGAAGCACAACACGTCGATGTGTTGCATGAGGATACGTTAGCGTGCGCTTCCGCTTCCGATCCCAAGTCCGCCTTGTCGACTCCAACCGAGAATGATGAGTCCTCCCCTGTCCAACAGCTGCCTTGGCTGGAAGCCGCACTTTCACGCGAAGACTCTGGACCTCAAGACACGGACGAAAACAACTCGGCTTCTACTTCAAAAGGCTCTATCTGTGCTGCCAAGGACCTCTATGAGGGACCAGCGAAATGTAGATGCTGTATCAATTGGGTAGAGCAATACCCGGACGACCTGAGAGAGTCGGTCGAAGAACAACCAGAAACCAATAAATACGCTCTCCTTGTACGTCATGCAAAATGTCACGATGGGCCAAGACCGATGAAGCTGGACTCGATTGTCATCCAGAGCCCTCAGCTAAGACCAGTCCTGGAGGCTATCTTTGAGGGTTACGGCGGGGTGACGGCAAATCTGAAGTATCTGAAGTTTTACTCGCCGTTCAAAGAATTTTTCTATCGATGGGAACAGCTTGAGAGGGCCGCCGATGGCAATAACGACGCGGTAACATCATCCCACATACAGCTTCTCCGAATGGTTCTCAAAGCAGAGCTCGACCAGACCATTACCGCCTGGCAAGACTTGTCAAGGAACAAAGTTGTTACTTTTGACTATCTATGGACACTTTTCGTTCCAGGGGGTATGATCTACGCGCCTCGTGATGGCCATGACTGTTTAATGGAAGTTGAGCGTTCAAACGTCGTTGAAGACATTTTCAGCAGGAGAGGATATGAGGTGTGTTGCAAATACGTCGAGTGGGATGGTGTCCGATTCGGGTGGAAGGTTTATAAAATAAGATTCGACACCTTTGAAGGGACTCGACCGATTACTGGCTTGAAGGCTTTCCCGGCTACATACCATCCATCGCTTGCTTCGCTGCAGAGTAACCTACGCCGCCGGGGAGAAAAATTTCAATCCCTTAGTGGATGGCATCACAAATCGTATCAAGGTTTGGCTCACATATGGGAAGCATCAGATTCCCCAAGCGGCTTTACGCGTAAGATAAAGATGGTAAGCCGAATTAGAAATTTCCGGACCCCTCGTAATCAATTCCCAACCAGCGGGAATCATGTCCTCGTCCACGATTCTGACACTTCATAGGTTGCTAGTCGAATTATCATTGACGCGAAGGCTGGTTTCGAGATGAAGCCGGACTTGGAAGTGGATCTCGAGCCCCTGGAAGGTTCTGATGATTGCAGGTCTGAACAAAATAGCGACGACCATTACCCATGTTCGAACAGTGATACGACGCAGAGTAACAAAAGTATATCCCCTCCAGGGTGGGTGCAACGCTAATCGGATTCTAGATGCCGAGAACTCTTTGACTGAAGAGCAGCTCATGATGTGTAGCCATCTCGTCTACGGTTACTGTTTGAAAACCAAACATTGGGGTAAGTCGCTCGCCATGCGAAGCGTGGCGTATTCTGATGAACCACACAGCGGCCTTCTTTGTCGACAATGTACACGAGATCTCCTGGAATGACAAAGCCTTCGAGAGTCTCATTCTGGTTCATGATTACAAAGAGCTGATCCGTGCCCTTGTCGACAACCAACTCAATCAACATGCAAGGATTGACGATGTTATCGAAGGGAAAGGTATGCAACTAGATTCGGCAATCACTCCAGCATACATATTCTGCTCAGATAAGGCGTAGCACTCACCGCGGTTAATTTTTCGGAAATCGTATCCGATCCTCTATGCACCACAGTCAGAATCAATTGACGTTTCTTTGAAACCTTGAGTATAGAAGCTTATACAAGATAGGAAGAGGTATCATCATGCTCCTCGAGGGACCCCCTGGTGTCGGCAAAACCCTCACTGCGGAATCTGGTAAGCCTGGCTTTCTCCCAGGGGTGACACGGCTCTTACTTTGTTTTCGTCTAGTTGCGGAACATATGAAGGCACCTCTTTATTCCATCAACGCGGGACAGATCAGTGACGACATGACTGGCATGGAGGAGAGGCTCCACGAAATATTCCAGATCGCGAAAAGATGGCGTGCGGTCTTGCTTCTCGATGAAAGTGACGTGTTCCTTCAGGAGCGGACGAACAATAACATAGAAGGGAACCGAGTCGTTTCAGGTAGGGGACCGCCAAGATGACCCAGAGTGGACGTTGAAGAATTACTTATCGATTACAGTCTTCCTGCGATTGCTCGAATACTACGAAGGCGTTCTCTTTCTGACCACGAATCGAGTTACCAGCATGGATGCTGCATTCCTATCTCGTATTCACCTCACGCTACACTTCCCGGACCTTGATGTTCCGTCACGCAAACACGTTTGGAGCAACTTCCTCCACCTCGTGCCTCACGGTCACGGACTGAGCGAGCGTGATGTTTCACGTCTGGCCGAGATTAATATAAACGGGCGGGAAATCAAGAATCTGATCAAGACAGCCGAATTGCTTGCGCTTAGTCACAACAAGAAGCTGACGCTCGAGCACGTTCAAACAGTCTTGCGGGTAACCCACCGCACTGTGTCTTTTACTCCGAAGCGGGGGCTGTCACATTTTGTTACGGAACTCTTGCGAAGCTTTGGATGAACATTTGGCGATTTATTCGTGGTCAATGATCTGGTACACGACCCCGGGATGGATCAGAACCGTTAGAGATTCGGCTTGATAAGGTAGCATTCCTTTCGGCGTCTTTTCAAGGTCCGATGGGATGGAAAGGAGCCACGACCTTGCAACTGTCGGAGTTCTTTAATGAAAATGTCAACATGAGGCCTCACAGAGCGTAATGCAGTGGCGGAAATCTACTCTCGAATAGGCTAGCGTAAGATCTCGTCAGGGTCCAGATTCTGTGGGGTAAAACCCGCGGCTGACAGCCCGCCAAAATCCTGGATGGCATCATCGCCAGAAAATGTTTCGGCCAGCAGCTGCGCGCCATCTTCGACCATTTATCTCTCCAAGCCATAGCATACTCCGGCCTCATACTCGCACGTTTACGCAATCAGCCTCTGCTAGAATGAGGGCCTACTGGTACGACAACCAGCCGGTAGGCACCGCCGCCCACCCCTCCACGCCCAACAGACCCTGTCACTGACAGCCGCTCCACAGGGCGACCAGCGCGCGCCCCACGACTCCGGCCGCGAAGTCACCCCAGACCAGCTACCCAAGCTCGGCATCCTGCACTACAACTACCCCGACGTGTCCGCCGTGAACGCGCTGGCCTCAGAGCGGGGCTACAAGAACAGAGATGAGATCACGATTTCGCCTGCGACGATGGGCGACGTCTACGAGGAGAAGGTGAAGAGCTTCTTCCACGAGCATCTGCACGAGGACGAGGAGATACGGTATATACTGGATGGGGGCGGGTTTTTTGATGTTAGGGGCAAGGAGGACGATTGGGTTAGGATTCAGCTCGAGAAGCATGATTTGATGATTATGCCGGCGGGGATATATCATCGGTTTACGACGGATGAGAAGAATGTAAGTGGATAACTAGGGTTGTTGTTGGGTCAGGCTAACACAAGGCTGTAGTACACAAAGGCCATGCGCTTATTCAAGGACGAGCCGAAATGGACGCCGCTTAATCGTGGCGAGGAGACGGATGAGAATCGCTATCGGAGGGAATATTTGCAGACTAGAGATAGCAGTGGCGTAGAGGCTCACTAGAGGAACGCTTAATGAACAATTGGAAGACCACTACGACCTCGCTCAGTCCTCCGCTCCTCCTTGATCAAACCTGTTTCCCCCTCGTCCACAGTGCGACCTGAAGCGCATCGACTGTTTGCCTCATTTGCTCGGCGAAGAGATCGAATTCAACGAGAAGTCCACTGGAGATCACAAGCCGGTTCTGGCAAGGAGCTGTGCTAGTCTAGCTCTGTGGGGCCATAATATTTTGCCTCACGGTCATGTTGAAGAGGCACGGAGGAGAGAAAGTGATAAGATTGAGTACGGCTCTATGCCGCCGTAACGTCCGCTTCGCACTCGGCCCCTACGAGTCCAACCAAGCACATCGGGCGAAGCAGAGTAGAAAACCCCCACCCAGAGACAACGCCTCGCAATGCCAAACCCCATGCTGCAGACATTGAAAGGACAATGACGAAAAGAAATGACATCCGCAATACTGAAGAGAGAGAGATCCCGCATCCCAAATACCATGCCCAACTTCAAAACAGGCGACGAGCTGACTAGCCCATCCTCCTAGGCCTCTTGCTATCACCACCCGGCCCCTCTGGGCCCTCCTCTCCCAGCCGTCCCCTCTTCCTCGCATCCCTGCCCTCCCTCCTCTCGCGCTCATCCCTTCTTTCTCCACCAGGGCCCCTTGGCCTCCCGTCCCCGTTCCTTCCCTCAAGTTGGGGAGGCGGATATCCCTCCCCAGGGCCAGGGCCGCCACCATACTCTCCCGGCAGTGGTCCCCTTCTCACCCCACCATCATCCATGTTCCTGTCCCTCCGCTCCCTGTGCCCTGGCTCCCTCGGCCCCGACTCCCTTGGTCCTCCCCGCTCACGCAACTCATCCCGTCCACGCCTGCTGCCCTCTCTATTCCCCTCCCTATTCCCCTCTCTATTGCCGTCTCCGCGCTTCTCCCTCTCATGCTCCCTCGGCTCCCTCGGCTCCCGCATCGCACGCTCCTGCTCGCGGCGCGGGCTCCGGCTCCGACTCCTATGCCGCCGCGACCCGCGCTCGCCTTCTCGCGACGACCGCTCTCCGCGCCGCGACCCAGCCCGGCTGCTCGAGCGCTCGTCCTGCGAGGACGGGGCGTCTAGCCCGGCGGGGCCGCTAGCTCCACCTTGGCTGCGAGCCATCAGGTCCGGCCTGGGCAGCTCAAGATGCTGTTGTGGCTGCTGGTGCGGCATCCCACCGCCTCCGTTGCCGTTGCCACCGCCTTCTTGCCGCATTGCGCTGGGCATCGGTGGCTGTGGCGGAAGACCAGGTGTCGAGGTTTCCGGTAGCGTGTTCGTAGCCGGGCCCCTCCCAGCCCTTCCGCGGATCGAAGCGCCCCTGTCCCCGCCCGTCGGCCCGCCCTGCAGCATATTGTGCAGTCCCGCAAACCTCTTATCTTCCCTCCCCGGTCCCGCTGATGCCGGGCCCGTGGGCGGACCGCGCGTTATAGGCGAGACGCCGGGGGTGTTTGGGTTCATGTTTGTGTTGGGCTGCTGTTGGCGGGAGTTGCGGGGGCCGGAGGGCGGGAAGGACGACGTCGCGCCCGATGGAGCAGACGCTGCTGCAGGGGGCGGATTGTTTGTTGGCATGTCGGTCTGGATGGGTGGTGGTGGCTGGATCTGCTGCAAACGGCTGGGGTGGATGCCTGAGAGGTCGGAGGGGGCGTTTTCTGTTGCGGGTGTCTGTGGCGCGGAGGTCGAGATTTGGTCGGACGGACGGCGTGGGCCGTGATCGGGTGCCGGTCCGGCTGGTGGTTGGCGGTCTGAGGGCGACTGTGGCACGCTCGTCGGTGCCATTGGCTCGGATTGGCGTGGACCGCTTGGGGTGTTGAAATGGCGGCCTCCGCGAGCGGCGGAACCGCGTCCTCGTGGTCCGGAGGGGACGTCTGGCCCAGCGTTGAGGCGACCGAATCGAGATTCTTGCGATGCGTGCGGAGGCGGACCGAAGTCTTGGTTCAAGCGGCCGTGGTTGAGATCTGGTGGCGGCCTCGGCGGGGCTGACGGTTGGAAAAGTTCGCGGCCAGGACCAGGAGGTCCGCTCTCTGGATGTGCGTTTCTGCCAGGCCTGTCTCCGCGTGGTCCCGTTGGAGGGATGTTAGGCTCGTCATACCGTTCACGCTCTGGCGGCCCGTTTATGGGTGGCCGACCCAGCATAGACGGTCGGTCGTCTCGGCGATAATCTCGAGGATCATCATGGTGCGGTGATGCTCCAGGCGGGAGACGCTCATCAGCCCTTCTCGGTGAATGCGGTCTCGAACCACGACCCCTTCTGTCATCTCTGTCCGCCCTCGGACCATCATTACGTCGCTCGAAGTCCCCAGATAGCTGTGCAACCCGCTCCGGATTCATGCCTGGCCGATCGAAATCCGGCTTGGCACGATTCAAGTGCGGCGGACGATCCTGCGGGTGCTGGGGCATGTTCATCGGCGGTCGTTCGTCGTGGTGCTGCAAGAGTCTGGCGCGCTCAGGGTTGATCAATGGCCCGCGGTCTGGATGAATCGGTGGAGCTGCTGCCGGAGGTGCCATTGCAGGACTTCCGTGCATACGACTCCGCTCATCTATCCGAGGCAGCAATTGTGGCGAGTCCGGCGCTGACCGGTTCTGTAGACTCGGGCCGTAGCCTAGGTCTCTACCACCAGGTCGAGCATCGCGTGGAGGAGGCCTCATAGGGCGGTCATCCAGGTACTCGCGCACATCTCTACCACCGCCGTACGCCGGATCTCGTCGATCTCGATCTGGCGGTGGTCCACGTTCAGGAGTCCTCCCTCGAACCGGGCGACCAGGACCCGGAGATCGCTCCCGGCGGTCGTTGTGAGTCAAGCTATCTCGGGGCATATCTTCCGGCCTGTCAAGCCTGCCGTACTGCATGTCTGGAGGTCCTCGACCTGCGTCCCTTCTGTCGCGGTGCTCTGGTCCTCGTTCTGCCGGCCGCGGTGGAGGTAGGAGTCGTCCCCGGAGCTGTTGCGACTCTGGCCGATTTGGCAGAGCGTGCGGCGCTCGGGGCGCTCCGAATTGGCCAGACGGCGTCCGACTGATATCTGGTCTCTGAGATACACCATGATTGAACGAGGCTGGAATAGCTGCTGGAGTTGCTGATTCGGTATTCGCGTTCTCATGAGCTGGCGGCGGTGCATCAGTCTTCTCGCCAGGCGTGGGAGCCGTCACAGACGCAGCAGGTTTCGGCTCTAAAGTCGCCACGTCTCTAGCTTCCCCATTGACTGCTGGAGTCTGTTGAGGCTGAGTCTTGCTCTCGGTAGTTGATGCAGCGGCTGAGAGAGACGCTTTCCGTTCGCCGTCCTCGATCTCACCATCCTCCGCATCTGGCCTCCCAGAACTCGTAGATTTTGAGATGCCGTTGCTACATGTCGTCAGTGTTACCGTTGTTCGAGCGGGCGCTGATATTCTTACATGGACGTAGGCTTGGGCTGGAACTCAGCGGCGGTCGCATTGAGTGATCTCGGGGTAGTTCCCTTCGGCTGAGGGGTATCTGGTCTAGCGGAGCCGCTCCGACTAGCAGCCTTGGGTGCGTTGTGCCCGAAGTCGCCCTTCATCACGTCAGCTCCCATCGCTTGATTAGAAGGAGGCGCGTTGTTGCTTACAAGCCGAAATTCCTGAGGCGTCAGCCAGCCTATCCTCTTCTCTTTAGGTCTCGGTTGCTTCCCCGGCTCAGGAGGCCTGTTCTCTATCGCGATCGCAGCTTCTTGCCTCTTCAGATCGGCAACAAGAGACAGGGCAGACAGCTTGAGATCTTCCCTGGTCTCCTTCTGGGAAAGTTCGGTTAGATAGCTTATCTGGGCCGTACCCATGAACGTGACTGCAGGGAACACCGGATGTAGCGACTTGAGGATGGTGATGGCGTTGCGGATGTGCATATACTCTCCTCCCATAAGACAGGCCTTCAACGCACTATTGAGTCTCAGATGGCATGTGTACAGGAAGCGCCGGAAGTTTTCGTAGTCGAGCAGTTCCGCCGGCGTCTTGTCAGGATTGAGCTTGATGGCGAACCCAGGGAGGTTCTTCTTCGGACCATATGCATTGGTCTCGTAGACATCTTTCGAGAGGTGCCACGGCTTCAGCATTGCCAGAACTTCGTGTAAGAATTGACCAAAGTTTTCCGCCTCCCGAGCGGTGCATTGGAAGATCATTGCTGTGAGCTGCTTCTCCTTGAAGATGGCATCAAGCAGGTGCAGTGTCCTGAAACCTGGAGTCCCCGAAGAATGCAGGAATGTCATCATCAAGAAGGTGTACTTGGAGTCCAGAGGCGAAAGAAGCATACGAGGGAAGAAGCACTCCTGCAGAATCGCTGCGTGTATCTGTTGCGACTGGCCGGCAGTGGTAGGGAAACCAGCGAACCACTGCGACTTCTCCTTCGCGAGGCGGCGTCGGAGTCGTTGATGATGCTTCGCGTGGACTCCGGCCTCTTCTACCAGCCGGTTGTAGAGGTCGGTGAGCTCCTTCCTTTGTTGCTCCTTCTTCTTCATTCCAGACACTGAGATGTCTTTCCGATCTGACATGATCGCCTCGATCTTCTGCTTCGTCTTCTCCTGCTCGACTTTGTAGGTTTGAATCGGAGGGCTGATGTCGTACAGAGACAGTCTCCAGAAGGTAGCGTAGAAGGAGATGCTGAGCGTCTCCTCAAAGCTTTGGGGGAGCACCGATCTGAGTTGGTCCTCCAGTCGCCTCAATGCACGATTCTCCGAACTAGCATCGGCGCCTTTATCGGGCTCAGGACTAGTGACAGGGACCGTCGATGTTGAAGTGTCGCCTGACGATGGCACATTCTCCGTCTTCGTGTTCTCGGCGTTCTGTTCCGCGTCTACGACCATTTTGTCTCCAGAAGTGTCGGCGGCTGCTTCTATTGCCATCTCCTCGTCGGTAGTGCGAGTAACGTCGTCCTTGCTTACGCCATTTGTCTCAGCAACCCCGTTAAGCGGCTCTTCCTCTGATATACTGCTGCTCCTACGCTTAGTCAATCTCAGCGACGCATCAGCCTCAGCTATAGCATGCGTGATACTTGGCCTAGCGATCATGAACGCCGTAGCGGGATCAATGCCGTGGCTAATGATGAGGTCAACAAGATCCGGGCCGTGCGCATCAAACTCCTTGGTGGAGAGACTGCTCCGTAAGAGGTCGAGGTACTGCATGAAGACCTGGTGGATTGTATCGAGGTTGCTGCCGAGAACCTTCAACGGCCTGCCCTCAGCCTCCGGGCTGAAGATGTACGAGACCCGCTTCCGTGCGATAGCAGTGAGAAGCGGGCCCGCAAGACCAGGATCCACCAATGACTTGATGAGGCGCTTGGAGGAATGCTTCATCTCGTGGCGTTTGTCGAGCAGCGACTCCAGAGTCAGTGCTTGCAGCGCCTCTCCGCCTGCCATACCTTGGAGAGCTTCGTTGTTGTAGACCAGGTCTGATCTTATACCAGCCATGGACGTGATGATCTGCTCCAAGACCTCGAGATCGGTGGAGCTACCCTGCTCGAGCTGGTACGCGACGTACTGCAATATTGGCGACGGATTGATTACAGAGTACCGCTTGAAGACCCGACCGGCAAACGTCGACAAGGCCTTCAGCCAAGGACTGGTGAGCATGCCGTCCGCTTGTTGGCGCTCCTTGCCTCGGCCGCCCAAGAATGTCATGAGCGACCATGTAAGAACGTCGTATCCGTAGTAAGTGAAGTACCTCGCGCACTCGACGAAGACTTCAATCAGGTTGTTGTATACTTCAATCTGTGTCAAGGCCACCTCAAAGACAACGCCAGGAGATGCGTACGCAACCTTGGCCAGCGCTCTAGCCATAGGCTTCGTGTTCGTTTTGCTGATGCGCTTGAGCACGTCCCTAGTCTCCGCTCGTGTTCTGTTGAAGGCCGCCCTTACGTCTTCCAGTCGAGAGATTGAACCTGTGTAGACTTCCGCATAGATGGCGTATCTGGTCCGTGTCGAGAAGAGCTTAAGAAGGTCGAAAATCTCGTTTACGACATTGGGGTTGGACTTTGTCAGACTCAGCGCCGGGACGAGCAGCTTCTTGGAGAGCTCGATCCAGCGTTCTTGGTTGGCGGTCGATGAATCATCGCTCAAGCTCTTCAACCCAATTCTTGCCAGCTTGATCAGTAAGGTAGGATCCTGGCCGATCTTGACTCCGGAGAGGTTCAGTAGTGTGTCGCAAAGGAGGAACACATCATCCACATTCTGACAGACAGGGACGTTGTCTGCCCAATCGTCCCAGTAGAACCGATAGTCAACCCCATCTCCAGAGTCATTCTTATCCAGCTTCGCCCACCGAAGGGACTTTCGAGGCGGGGCTTGAACGTACTTGACCTGGCCCTTAGGCTGGCCCGCCTGGTCTCCAAGCTGCGGCTTGGCAGCTGTAAGGTTCTCATCCTCGGGTGTCGATCTACTCGCTTCGTAAACTTTCGCAAGACAGTGGTGCAGAATACGATGAATGTACTCTGGTAGGTCCGGCAAGGCCTCGAGCAGCCACGGAAACCGACCCAGTATGAAGAGGGCTTCTGGTATTGCCCCGATGAGGAGCAAGCTCCGAAGAAGAGCGATCTTCTGGTCGGCTGGTTCAGGTAACTCTCCTGCGGCGACCTCCGGTTCTGGTGTGTCCTCGCGCATCCGTGGTGCTGCTCCAAACGGATCACCTTCTTTCTCCGGGAGGGCGCCCGTCATTGCTAGCAGATTCACGCCAGCGCCCGGAGGGTTCTTCCTTTCCTTTCGCACCTTCTCTTTCGCGAGCTTCTCTTTGACTTCTGCCATCTTCTCGTCCGGAGGGTATAGGTGGGGATAGAGATCGCGCAGCGAGATGAAGCCGATCTTGATGAGGAGTGCCGCAAGATAGATCAGGTTATCCGGTAGGGTGTCGCTCGGATCCCGAGCGTTCGACGCGTAAAAGCGAAGCTTAAAGCCAAGCAGTTGAGCGGCTGTGCGGTTACCCGGAGGCGGTAGGGTCTGGGTCGTTCTCATCCATTCGTGGTCAGCATCCAGGTCTGCTACGTCTTGCTCGCCGTTGATCATTCCAGTGTCTGCAATATTTCCAACGATCTGCCGGCCGCCGAGCTCGAAAAAAGCGTCCATCTGCTCCCTCTTTCCCTGCTTGGTCTTCACGCGGTCCCAGAAAGCCCTGTCTCGCTCTTGTCGTACTACTGCCAGGCGCGCTTGCTCCTCGTCGCTAGTCGTCCAGCTTGCTGATTCGGGAAGAGCCCAACTGGGCAGTGAGCTGAGGTCTTGCTCTTGTGCAGCGTTTTCTCCGTAGCTTTTCGCCTCAGGCCACCATGAGCTTGCGCGAAGGAGCTTGATGAAGAACCTGTACTGCTTCACGAGAAGGTTGGCAAAGACGTCCAGCGTGACGTCCAGCACCCGTCCGACGTCCAAGTCAAAGGCTCCGATGAGCGCCTTTACCTTCTGGAAGGTCTCAGCCGCAAGCTCGCCGGTTGGTGGACCGCTGTTGCTTGTCGTGAAGTATTCAGTCATCAACTTGGAGTAGCCTTCCGTTTCTTCTCGAAGCAAGTTGTAGTTGGACTGTCGATATAACAGATTCGTGGCTTTTCGCGCTGCCATGCGAGCGAATGTGCTCCGTACGAGGCTGAGCGCGACCAAGAGAGGCGTGTCCAGTTCCTCTCGCATCTGCGCGGCGGAGATGCCGGTGGATAGGACGATGCTCCGCAGCGCATAATTCGACGCGTCCGCTTCTGTCAGGATAGATAGACAATCCAGAAACAGCGAAGCCAAGTCTTGACGGTCATCCGGTGGACAGTGGTCCAATATCTCTTTCACGACGGTCCCCGCATCCGTGGCTTCGACCCTGCCATCCAGGCCAGCCCTGATGAGTTCTTGAAAGACGATGCTCAGACCCAGTGTGTCGCCCTGGCCTTGCAGCTCTTTCGCAGCCTCTACCACTGATTGTCTACCCGATGCTCGCCATGCTTCTACCTTCTCGTCTGTAAGATACTGATAGTCGTACGTCGTGGGCTTAGGTTTTGATGGCGGGGCAGGCTGCACGGCTTGTCGCTCTGCGGGCGCAGCTTGGTTCGGCGGTGGGTTCATTGACGTCGAGGGTGCAGCAGCTGGCTGGTGAGGTGTCGACGGCATCGCTGATGCGGATGTTGGTGACTCTCTCGCTGGCGGGCGCTGCGCATTGGGACCCATTCCCCCCCTCGCATCTCCATTCCCACCTCTGTTGTAGCCACGGCTAGGTCTGCGCTGACCTTGTCCCCTCCCATTGTGCTGCTGGTTCTGCTGGTTCTGCCTCGGAGTGTGCTGGTCTTGTGGCTTGTACGGTGATGGCCGCCTTGTGTCCTCTTCCTGCCCATACCTCTTCCGCTTCCCACCTCCACCAGGCGCCATCGCAGCCGGTTGCTGGATCTTCGACCCTGCGAGGGCACTTCTCTTCTCCCCTTGAGCTGCGCATGCACGGCTCTGTGATGGTACTTCTTTGACGGCTGTCGCCTGCTTCGACAAGTGGTGGTATTGAGTGAGTCGGGCGGATGCTACTTGCGATAAGCGCCAGTAAGAAAATCCAGGTTAGGTTTGACGATTGGAGTGTCAAAGGAGTGTAAGAAGGAAAAGGCTGACGAGGGTTGCTGAAGCTGTGTGCTGGAACCTTTCGCAGTGAATGCAAAGCTCACGCCCCCACGGACAATGCTGCGCGAGGTTGCGGACCCCGGTTCTTGGCACGCCGTGTCACGCTTTTTGAGCAACAATGGCTTACTCACACGCCATGCGGCTACAATACAATTCACTTGTAGACTACCCTTTAAAGTGAAGCGTACAAGGCTCTCGGAGGCAACGGCTTCAGGCTGAATAATCTGGCGTTTTGGTGATCAAGACATGTAGCACGCTTCCAGGATATCGAAAGGAGTTGAGCAGCGCCATGCTCTAGGCAGTACCGCTGTAAAGGAATGTGTTTTCCATTATCCAGAAATCTCTCGTAGCTATCATCATATCTCAAACGAGACTTGGATTTCCCAAGCGTGTGGACACTCAGGCCGCAGCCGCAACAGCGCTCGCGACCTCCTTCCTCTCATTCTCCAGCACCGCCTCCAGCACCCCAACAGCCCCCTGCCCCGCCTTCATCTCCTGCCTGACCTCGTTCAGCCCTAGCTGCTCATCCGTCCAAAGCGGCGCCGCCTCCTCCTTGCCCGCGACTCCCACCCCAATAAACCCGCCCTCAGCAGCCCACTCGCTCGTACGCTTGATGCCCAGCTGAGTCCAGACACCGTCAAGCGCCGTGACCAGATGATCGCGGTACTCACGGATATGGCCCGGCGTCGGCGTGATGCGTAGGCGCTCCTGTCCTACCGGCACGGTCGGGTAGTTGATGGCCTGGACGTAGATGTCCCAGTCCTCGAGCAGCATGTCGCTTGCCTTCTTCGCTGTCTCGGCGTTGCCGACTAGGACAGGAATGATGTGGCTAGGGTTTGGGATGACGGGGATGTCCTTGGCATTGAGAGCGTCCTTGACTGCACGGGTGTGCAGCTGCTGGAGGCGGCGATCGCCTTGGTAGGCCATCTGGTACTCGATGGCTGTCTTTGCGCCTGCCATCGTCGCGGGTGGGAGGGATGTCGTGAAGATGAAGCCTGGGGCAAGCGAGCGGATGGTGTCGACCATCTTGGCTGAGCCGGCGATGTAGCCGCCCACACAGCCGTAAGCTTTTCCAAGGGTACCAGTGATAATGTCAATTCGATCCATGACGGTGCCTTTCGGCCTGCCGGCGACATGTGCTTCGTAGTCTAGGTGCTCGGCAACGCCTGCACCGTGTGGTCCGTACATGCCTACTGCATGGACTTCATCCAAAAAGGTGATGGCGCCGTACCTCTCAGCAAGATCGCAGATCTCCTCGATTGGGCCGATGGAGCCGCACATGCTGTACACGCTCTCGAAAGCGATGATCTTTGGCACCTCTGGCGGCAGCGAGGCCAGCTTGGCTTCCAGATCAGCGACATCGTTGTGCTTGAACACCAGTTTCTTAGCGCCAGAGTGTCGAATGCCCTGAATCATGGAAGCATGATTCATGCTGTCCGAGAGGATAACGCAGTTCGGCAACTTGCTCCCGAGTGTGGCTAGTGTAGCATCATTGGCAACGTAGCACGACGAGAAAACCAAGGCAGCCTCTTTCGCATGAAGCTTCGCAACTGTCGCCTCAAGCCCAACTGCATGCTGGTTGTGACCTGAGATGTTTCGTGTGCCTCCGGCGCCAGCACCATACATGTCGAGTGTCTCGTGCATTGACTTCAGAACTTGGGGGTTGCGACCCATTCCAAGGTAGTCATTGGAGCACCACACCGTGACCTTCTCTTCTTTGTTTGCCATGTGAGCGCGTGGGAACTCCTGGGCGAGGCGATTGATGTTGTTGAAGTAACGGTAGGACTTGTCTTTGTGCTTCTTGTCGAGCTCGGCTTGGTAGAAGCCATCGTAATTGAACTGGACGGGCTGTGGCTTCGGTGGAGGTCCGACAAGATGCTCCTCACGAGCGGGAATGGCAGTTTTGGGGACTTGAATGTAAGGAGCTATGGCAGGAGGTGTTAGCTTGAAACCTACGACACTGTATACAGCACGCAACGCATGGCGTTAACACGGGGAGACAAGTGACATACCGGCCTGGTGGCGCGCGGTCCCTACATCGACAGCTTGAGCCTCTTTCGGTGCTGTAGTATGGAGGTTGGCCCGGGGGACCTTGCTGTGGTACGCCCGAGCGCCTCCATATGCACCAGCAAGGGCGGCGTTTCCGGTACGGGCGCTCTGCACAGCCAAGGCTTTGCCCATGATCGGGCAGCGACGAGCCAAAACCTGGAGGTTCGACATGCTACCGCCCCCGGGAGAGGCATTGTGGGCGCTCGTTGTGGAGAGCGAGCGGAGAGTGGCAGGCGACGTCTTCTTCAAGAACGGGCACATGGATCGGGACTGGCGTAGAAGGGCCTCCATGGCGATGGATGTGGCAATTGAACAGGCTCGGTTGAAGCTCAGCCGGATTGAACTTGAGAATGAATGCTGCGGATATCGATAACTAACTTCTGCTGGTGCGGACTGTCACGAAGGGAGATGGGACAAGAGCGGCGAGGGTGGGATCCGGTATCAATATGTAAGTCGGCGAAGTCCCCTCGGAAGGTTGAAGAAAGTGTGGGGATTTGTTACGGCCGTGTTGTGATTGGTCGGACTCCTGGCTGACGGCATCCGCGGGCTGATCTGGCCGGCACACCGCATAGATTCCGTCTCACTCATCGCCCCATTCAGCAAGTCCGTCTGGACGGCGCGGACGACGGACTTGACGCGCTGACGTGATGCATGTCCGCGCCTTGTTGCCTTTCTTGGTGGTCTTGGTGGAGTCGGATCGGGGCAGATGTCAACCAGAAAAACACGAGAGGTGCGGCCGCAGCATGCCTCCGCGACTCCTCAGCTAGAAGATCGGATAAGTGCATTCAGGGCATCTTCTCAGATTCTGAGTTATTGAACGATGATAAAACAGACGTCAGGTCCAGTCGATCCTTCAATGGTCGATGCACGTAGCCGTCCAGCGTTCGGATACTCGTGGCTTGGAAGGATGACGAAGGGAGAGTAGTTCGCGATCTAGACATACTGGTAGATTACTTAGTTTGATCAGTTGCCTCTTGGTGGCTCCTTCCACATGAGCTTGCTACAAGTGAACGTGTGATAAGAGAAGGGCAATAATGAGAGCAACCACAGCTGAGAGAATGTAATGCTCATCCACCACGTCTAACACACGCCCATCAGTCGCCGAACCGGAACAGGTGCGTTTAGGCCTTGGGCAAATCGCTGTGTGACCCTGAGCTCACAGAAGACTCTCGTGGATTTCCTCGAGAAGCTGGGCGACGACTTGGTGAGAACGTGGGGCAACTTTGAGCCTGTATCACTGTTGCATCATATCAAGCGCGGGTGGGGCCATCTCTCCGAAGCCGCCAATATTTGTCATTCTTGAGAAAACTATTGACTGCCAGTGCCTTACCATGCGTAAGCTCGTCGCGACTGAGGTGTAAGGTGAACTGTATCAACTGAATAAAACCAGATGCAAAGCCGCATCCACCATCGCCCGTGCAAAGAAGGGGTATCTTACAAGCAAACCGCTAAGGCAAACCCCCATATGCATAGCCGCCGAAGCAAGCTCAAAAAGCAATAAACAAGAACGGAATCGCAAACGCCAGTTGCCGAAATCCCCCATAGCCATTGCCGCTGAAGCAGCGCAGAGAAGGAGTAAACATAAAGCGGACCGAAAATGCAAGGTGCTGTCCTATCGAGCTGCGTCCCGAGAAAGAGCCGCCTCGTTTTCGTGTGTAGCGCCATGGTCGCCGCAAGCCATCTTGATAGAGAGGTCTTGTCTTCTGGAAACATACTCCCAGTTCATCCCGAAGTACTGGGTCGTTCTTGCAAAGTTGAAGCCCCCAGATGATACCTCGCCGACATGTCTTGTGCTGTAGTCGAGAAGGAGAGCTCGGTAGCCGCCTCGACTCGGGCGTATAGGGAGTCCTCTACATATGCCGATCAGCGGCGCGGGATCCTGAAGACTGCTTCGGTGAACCGGCTGAATACTGAAGGTGATCTTCCCGACGTGTCTGCGGGAGCCTGAGTCGACCCGGTATCTGCCGTAGCAGGCGGCGTGATTGCATCTGGCTCAACGAGTGGTCCCAATACCGAGTCAGGCGAATCGCGTGGGGAAGTCATGGCTGACGAGCTTGAAGGTAGTGTTGCCGCTTGCTCAACCCGAGGTGGAGACTGAGTAGCAGGTGCATCGCCTTCCTCAACGCTGTCAATGGCAACTGTGGTGGCCTTTGGCGGAATGTGTATCGTTGGCGCTGAGGGAGTGTGTGGTAGACTGGCCGGGTTAAAAGTTTTATCTGTCACGTTGGGCGGCGTTGTAGAGGAATCGTGCCGTTGAGTCACGTTTGCAGGTGCAAAATTTGCGGTGAGAGGGTACGGCCCTGAATTTGCCGACATTTGGCTTGCCGACAAATCTGTCATATGCCCAGCAAGGCCTGGCTGATTTCCAGTGGCCACAAGTGCTGCGAATTGGCGTTGCCACGACTCATCTCGAGCGGCTTGTGCGGCTTGTGCGGCTTGTGCAGCCTGGGCTTGTCTGGATCTCCATAGTGCTGGATTCTCCTTCTTGAGCTTCTCCTCCGCAATCATCTGCTCTACCTCGTCCTTTTCTTCGGCCGTGAGGTCGTCGCCTGCCTCTTTTTGCAACGTCTCCGTTGTAGAAATGGCACGGATTATATCGCTGCTTTCAAGAATATAGTCGAGGACGTCGGGGTCCTTCCCTTTGTATTCGGAGAGGTCCATCTGCGGTAGGGATTTCGGCTCGAAGAGCATATCTCGTGACCTTGCGGCATATCTCATGGGATTCTTCCGGTCCACTACTCGAGAGGCTAACTGCGTCTTGAAGACCGCTGTGTCCCAGATCTTTGTTTCAAAAGTTCCTCCAGCCATGAGTCGGTATACGAAGACCGGCTTGTCTTGGCCGATGCGGTAGGAGCGGCCAATAGCCTGTTCCTCCCAGGTCGGATTGAAGCTGAAATCGAAGATGACTACGCGGTTGGCCCCTGGCAAATTGAAGCCCAATCCGCCAGCGCGAGTTGAGACAAGAAAGACATCGTAGTCATCACTGTCGTTGAAATCTTTCGACAACTTCTGCCGGCGAGACATCCCGGTTTTCCCGTCCAATCGAGCGAATCGCTTCTTCAACTTTGTCAACAAATCGGCAAGATAGTCCAAGGTCGGGATGCTGTGTGAGAAGACGAGGACTCGATCACCTGCATCCCTGGCGAGGCTTAGGATCTTCACAAACATCTCTACCTTGTGTGAATGTTTTGTCGAGCGTATAGGACGGTCGATGGCGGCAAACAGGTGCTCCAGCTGTTGCATCAGCGACGTAGAGAGCTTCAGCTCTGATACGTCGACATCCGATGGTATAACATCCGAGTTATCGGCAGCATCGACTGCTTCATCTTCAGGCTTATCGGCGACTTTCAGTTGCATCGCACTCCGCTTGTCACGCTTTTTGACGTCTTTCTGCGTGATCTTATCAATAAAAGTCTTCGGATGGTTGCACAGGAGGTTCAAAATTGCGAGCCAGCTCCAAAGGCGCGTGTTGGCAACATCGTCGCTTAGACCACTGAGTAAAGACCGTACAAAAATCTCGTACGCTTCCTTTTGGAGAGGTGTGAGTGGAACGGTGACAACGAACTCAATCTTTGGTTTTAGATTGTCCTTTAAAACTGTGATGTCAGCGCGGTTGACCTTCGGATCAATGTCGTTCTTCAGGACAGCAAGCTTCTTAAGAGCCCGACGATGTTCGTATGGGGTGCTCTCCGCGTAGAGTCCTTCTTCAATGGGTTCTTTGTAGTTAGACCTGAATTCTGGCAGGTCACCGAGGTAGCCTGGGGAGATCCAGTTGATCATTGACCAGTATTCCTCGAGATTGTTGGCAAGCGGAGATCCAGTAAGAGCTACACGACTTCGGGACTTGAACCTTGCGGCAACTTTTGATACACCGGTCGTCGACCTCTTCAGTTTGTGGGCCTCGTCCGCCACAATGATGTTTGGACCGTTGAGCAACTGTTTGGTGGTGATGTCATGTTGCTGCGGATCGAGAGATCCCTGGCCGCCTTTGCTTTTGTTTTCCACAAGCATCCGAAGCATCTTTGTAACAGTTAGCCGGGGCATAGTATCAGAACTTGACCTCGCCCTAAACATACCTCGTAGCCCATAATGAGCACACCACCGTCATAGTACCAATCATTGATTACTTCAAGTCGATCGGGTAGCTTGATCTCTGAGGTGATATAGTGAATCTTTCCAATGTTCTTTGCTCTTGGATCAGGCGCCCATCTGAGCAGTTCGTCCTGCCAATTGAGAATCAAAGATGGTGGGCAGAGTATCATGCTTCGTGACTTGCGTAGATTCTCAGGTATCTGCTCAGACACAGCAGGGTCATCAGATGTCGCAGCTTCTGCGATTGTCACCAGTAAAGTAATCCTGGTACCAATGTCAATACAGGCTACAAACATACTTGAGCGAGAAACTTACGCTTGCATGGTTTTCCCCAAGCCCATAGTGTGAGCAAGCAGGCAACCCGACGTTTCCGAATCCCCGGCAGAGACAATCTCCCTCCACATGAATTGAACTCCCTCAATCTGGTGCTTCTTAATGTCTGCTCCAATGTGTGGATTGATGTAGATGAAGGCCTCGTCATCGGACTTGCCCGTGTTGACAATTATTCTGTTGTCGTCGAAGCTGAAGTTGCTACCATATTGCTCCCGGAGCTCCTTTTCGCGTTCCGCTTGAGCACGTTGACGCTCCGCCGCGCTTTGCTGGGCCGCAAGGGCTGAGCTGCTTTTTTGGAGGTTGCGTTTGCGTTTTCGGTGAGGCGTGGATGCCGCTCCTACTTGGTTGAAAAATTCCAATTCGGGTGAGCGACACAACGGCGGTGAGATCTGCAGCTGAGGTTAGCAACTTAAGAAGGATAGAAGGGGGCTCAATTGCTAGTGTCCACCGAACGTGCTTCCCGGTGAATATTTGGAGTATGTTTCACTCACCTCTTCGCTAAGTTCTCGTTGCTCTTGACTCGACCTGTGAGTAATCTTCAGACGTGGCAGGGGTTGTACAGCAGCCGTTGGCTGCTCTGAAGTGGTTTCGGCGGGTCCCTCGGTATGCAATAAAACGATGCGCAGGAACTGGTAGAACGGCTCAAAATCCTTATCAAACGTCTCGACTTGGCATGCCCTAATCTTCTCCGAAGCTATATCTCCTGACCAGAACCGGTGCGAGCACAAGTGCCAGCACATGTAAAGACGGGAAAAGCGGGTGATAGCCTTCGACTCTGAAGATTTGCCCTCGGCGGAATCCGATGGGCCCTTTTCCATATCATTCAACGTGTTCTCCACTTTTGTCGTAAACTCAGATTCCGTCTTAGCTTTGAGATATGTTCTCATAGACTGATAGTCCGCTGGCTGCGTCATTGTTCGAAGTAACTTGATGATAAGGCGCTTGCGATCATTGCGTTCTTCGAGCATGCTCCAAGGCCATGCGCGAACATCCTCAACACTTGCATGTTCCGGTGAACCTGTAAGAGACTTAGACCGCTGGGAAACTGACTTGCGAAGGCTTTCGTTGTCAGTCGGTGGCTCACTGGAAGCTTTCGACGGGCTTGAACTGATTGTGAGGTCGATGATTTCGGTTGACCGGATGGGATTCAACACCCGCGGCTCAGATTTAGCCTTTAACAGTGGTGCTGGACTACTGTGTGTAGATGGAATGTATTCGGAAGCTGTGTCGGCAGCTTCTGTTGGCATTAGCAGGGCGTCCAGATCGGCGTCCATCTTCTCGTCCATCTCGTCATCCATCTCGTCGTCAACGTTCGCCTCAGGCAAGCTCTCTTCATTATCATGCTCGTCAGGTGACGAAAGCTTAGGATCTGCCATGGTCTGTTGAAGGGACTCTGATGAAGCCTCAGCTGATCCAAGTGCAGGAATTACAGGGCCATCTGCGTCTGTTACGGCTGGTTCCTCAATAAAACCGTCAACTTCGGAAGCGGCATCTGATTCACTGCCAATGGATTCGCCGCCATCACTGTCGTGGACCCGCGCGATCCTCTTCTTGCTTCGAACGGTGCCGGTAAGCCGAGGAGGAGGATGCTGCCTTCGCCAGACGCTGATCTTGAACAACTCCTCTTCACGATCGAACACAGTCTGCTCAAAAATCCGGCATTGCTGCCGGAGCTCCGATGCCTTATCCCAAATCTGCTGGGAAATATCGACCTTGTATTTCTGTAGACGCGTACTGAACATCTCGATGCGTTGCTCCGCTTTCGTGATAACAATGGTGCGTTGTTTCAGCGTCTTTGCACTCGACCATACGTTCCAGGCCCTGGCCTCACGTAACGGAAGTTTTCTGGCTCTCCAGCTCTCCGCCAGACTGCTGATCTCTTCGTCCATGACGGTGAACTTTTCCTCCAGGGTCAACGGGCCGCGTTTGCTGTTCGCGCTTTCCTCGACGTCCCTACGCTCAGCCTCGAGCTCAGCAATGAACGTTGAGCTGTACACGCTGTCGTCATCGGATTCACCGAGCGGCGGCAGTACTTCGTCATCTCCCTTGTCTTTGCTCCAGTGCATCAAGAAGTCCCAGTCGTGATTCTCATTCGTATCTAGAGGGAGATCGCTGTCTTGCAAGGAGGCGCCCTGCTTGGTAGCGCTGACACGCTCTCCATTCCGTTCGAATAGAATAGCATACCTGGGTTGGTCGACACGCAGGGAGTCGCGATACGGACGGACGACTGTTGCTGGTTGACCGCTTCTTGTGATTTCGTCCCGTTCAGGGTCGAGCATGAAATGTCGCATCTGCTTTTGAACATAGTGCTGAACGCCTTCGACTTCGGCAGAGTTGACGAAGGCAAACTCGAAGCCTGTTGCAGCTTTAAGGCCCTCTTCCGTGCTGAGCATGTCTGTGTCTGTGGGAAGCTCCTGTCCTATCTCAGTTTCATCAAAGAATACCCTGTCCACTGGAAGCTTTTGTCTTCCGAGAAAGCCTCGAATACTGCTGCGAGCATGCTGATACTTAGATGGTCGTTGCATGTCACGTGATTCTTTCCTGTTCGTGGCAATCTGAAAAGATCCCAGCCCTGGTCGGCCACCATGCGGCCCTATATCTGGAATTGTCTCATCTCTCACATCCACCGACATGGGTTCTGGCCGTGCTTCGTCGGTTTGGGGCAATGGCGCTGACAAATTGAGCTTGCGCCTCTTCCGGCCATGTTCGTCTTCTACAAGTATTTCTCCCGGCCGAACATGCACACTCAAGTCTATGCCTAGCGCAGCTGAAGGTGCTGGTTGTCGTACAGGGCTGTGCGGAGTCCTTTCAGGGCTTGGCAAAGGGAAAGAGGGAATCGGTGGCAGGCCGCGGTAAGTGGGGACATAAGGCGAGGATATCGGCACTGGTGAAGTGAGGTAGGCGAAGGGCTGACTTGGCGTGAAGGGCTGGCTCAGAGGGTAGACCTGGCTCGGAGAGAAGGGTCCCCCGCCGAAGGAACTCTGGCTTGTAGAAGGGAGTCCGATATGAGTTTCGTACGATTGAGATTGGGGGCGAAGGCGATTGATCGCTAGGACTATGGCGTTCCGTTGACCGAGTGGCTTGATGCCGAACTCTTCCTTGAGAACAACATGATCGATGGCGGTCAAGAGGGTGGAGCCGTTCACCTCTTGTTCGCGAAGCTTGGTTTCGAAGATCTGTGGATCGGGCAATTGCGTTCTGGGAGCTATCGATGTCGATCCGCAAAAAGCCTCCACAACATCGTCCACAGACCAGTCCCATGGATCAGTCGAAGCCATGGTGTATCGTGAGACGCTCCAGATGATCACGTAACATTGACGATAAACGATCTTCGAAGAGTAAGGCAATATTTGGAAGGAAGAGGATTGAGGAAGCTGAAAGAGTGCGTAGGTGACCGAAGAATAGCGGAGGCTGAGGTGAAGTATAAACAAGGACTGATGTCCGTCTTTGCGAGTTGGTGCTGGCAAAGAGTGTGACACCTAAAGCTGCTTCCAGGTCCTGATCGAATAGCGTAAATGTGACGAAGGACGATAGGAGGCTTCCTCTGTCCCGTCAGTAACTGATGTAAATAATAAGAGCACCACGACTGCAGCTTTTCTGATTAGTTGCCAGACAAGATTGGGATGCGAGTTCGGTGCTAGCGCTGATGTGAAAGAGGATAGCTGCGCTGCGGCGTGAAAGAAGGCCCTAAGCGTTAACTGCATGTAATGCTCCAATGCTAGGTACCTAGGTAAACAAGACGGAAATGACAGAAGCTGGGCGTCCCGGAGATATTAACTTACGAATGAGGCTTCTTAAAGTAGGCCTGGAGCTTGAGAAACGTTTCGGATGACCGCAACTTTCGCCGACGTAGGTAATGCTGGTGCCAATTAGCAAGTCATTGCACATGTTCCGGGTTTAGATGGGCCTTCCTTCAACATTGTTGCAGAAGGCATCAAAGCCCCCGCAAACGCTTTAGATGCGTTCAATTAGGACGCGATGAGAGATGAACGTTGATAGGGCTTATCGATGGGAGCCTTCTTGGCGCCAAGATCAAGAAATCCGGCAAGCACGACATCAACCGGCACCAGGCCGTTGCTGAGTAATAATTGTTGCGATTTCTATATGAAACGAGCGAGGTTGATTCTCTATGATGTGTGGTGAATAGAAGGCGCTGAGAAGACCCAGATGGCTCCCTCAATTTACCCTGACTATCCACCTGATCTCTCCGAGGAGCAGAGGCAATTTCTGGTAACCTCAGTCAACGATTGGTCAATTGCACATGGGCTTGCTGTGCGGCCGGCTCCATCTTTCTTGAATCAGAATCTAGGTATCTCGGGGCATGATGTAACGGAAAATGTGAGTGGCTTTCCACTTATTCATATCACTTCGTCCAACGTGGAGCATTTGGTTATATCTAAGGTCTTCTGTAAAGGGAGAATATGGTCAGATATGCGGCAATTGAGCTTTCTGTCACTGTACTATACACGCAGAAGAATACCAAGCGTGCAGCTTTAAGTCTTTCCGCCAGATCTCTTGTACCCAAGACGAGCAGATACGGGTACTTCTCGGTATACCGCCGCATAGCTACTCTCAAACAGCGAAAAGCTATGTAGCAAGGACTTGACTTTGCACACAAATAACACAATAGCGAGACTGACTCTATGAATAGGCATCACAAGTTCTCGCAATCGCTGCACCACTCACCATCTTCCCAAGCCTCTTTCCCCGGGCATGCTTCGAGGAAGCTCTTGCCATTCAGAAAGCTTACAATGAGCTGTACGCAGCCATTGCCCAGGATGAAGAATGGCTGGAAGGGATCGTCGAGGAGCTTATTGGCATCGATGACTTTGTAGGGAAGCTCTGGGAGACCCATCTTGCCGTCAAGAAAGAGGGTTATGTACAGGAGCACTCCCTTGGATTGTTTCGCTCAGATTATATGGTACACGTGGACCCCCAAGAGTCAGGCGCGAAGCCGGAGATTAAGCAAGTCGAGTTCAACACGATTGCGTCGTCCTTCGGAGGCCTATCGTCCCAAGTCTCATCATTGCACAGCTACCTTGCCTCGGTGGACGCTTACCCCTCCGCGGCAGCATCACTGCAGCCTGAGTCCAATAAAGATGGTAAGTGCTATAGTAGTTTCCCAGTCGGCCCCTCTTACTGCCGGAGTTGAGCGGTTGCGTTATTCTTCTAGTGCGTGCAAATGATAACGGCAACGTACGGGCATCTTCGTGTTGTAGAGATCTTGATCTCCCCTAGGAATGCACCAGTACTAACCTTCTCGTCAGGAATCGTTACACAGTCTCCTTTGCCGGCAAGTAAGTCGGTACCTTCCCTGAGTTCTGGGCTGGCTGCCGCACATCAAGCGTACGGACCATCAAAAAGCTTGCGGCCAACCTGCATTCTCTTCGTTGTGCAAGATCCGGAACGGAACGTCTTTGATCAGAGACATCTAGAATACTCCTTGATTCAGAAGACCGGCATCAGATCCTTCCGCTTGCCCTTCCAGCGTATCCTTACGGACACCAAGTTGGATTCTGACCGCAATCTTCTCTACCATCCACCCCATTCGCCCTCCAAATCTTACGAGGTCTCCGCGATCTACTTTCGAGCCGGCTATTCACCAGATGACTATCCCAGAGCTGAAGACTGGCAAGCGAGGCTCCACCTTGAGCGGAGCAGAGCCATCAAATGCCCAAGCATTCTTACCCACCTAGCCGGCTGCAAGAAGGTACAGCAAATTCTCGCAACACCCCACTCACCTCACTTGTCGCGCTTTCTACCGGACGAAGCGATGGCTGCACGAGTACTGAAGACATTCGCGCCAATCTACCCCCTTGACCAGAGCGATGCCGGGCAGGAAGCGCGCAAGCTAGCCACGGACCCATCCACCGCCGCTAGATACGTACTAAAGCCACAGCGTGAAGGCGGCGGAAACAACGTTTACCGCAAAGCGATACCGGACTTTCTCAAGAAGCTACCGGAGTCCCATTGGCCTGCGCATATACTCATGGAGATGATTGAGCCTCCTGCCCAGAGGAACATCATCCTCAGGAATGGCGAGATTCAGAGCGGCGGCGTCATCTGCGAGCTAGGGGTCTATGGCACGTGCCTGTGGAAGAACGGTGGCGTTGCCGGGAAGGGTGAGATCCTCCACAACGAGGAGGCGGGCTATCTACTGCGGACGAAGGGTGATCAGAGTGAAGAGGGTGGTGTCGCAGCTGGGTTTGGCGCGGTGGATAGCTGCTGTCTAGTTGACGTGTGAGGTCTTTCAGCGGCGAAAGGTCGTGAGCTTAGAGGTCATAGATCTGGTAATACCAGCATCAAGCGGCGACACGCCCGGCAGGCTGCCGTGCTTGCAAGAGTTACTCTGCATCTTCTCTAATTGATCACTGAGATCAAAGCGTTTGAGGGCTTTACTGACGCCAATCCCTCGAGTGTTTCACCACTGCACTGCCTTCCCGGACGCCTGCCGCTCCCCCACAACGCCTTGCATCTTGCCACACATGTGCTTATCATGAAGACCCATGCGGGTTGTTGCATTCACTCTTTGCCACCGGTTGAGAGTCGCACACTGACAGTAGCGCTTCGCGGCGCAGATAACCGCATTCGCCTTTCGAGATCATCACTGTTCGCAACGTCCTGTCCACCTCGTGATCATTACCTAGGTAATTGCTTTAGAATTCAACCTCTGAGTAGATCCTACATCCCACGACACAGCTCTTCCACCCATCGTGATATCAAAACCGATCGACGCGAGCTTTGGTAGACTGATCACCGGCTACACATGCTCACGTTTAAAAATATCACTGGGCCTGATAGTGCGCCTCATCCTCTGACGATCAAACGCTTCCCCATGATGATTGACGGCTTGCCGATGCCATTCGCCGCTGATATCCCAAGCTGTCGCATGGTTACGGGAAAAACGGCACCCAACGCCCCGGCGGTCAATCACATCAAAGCGCCGTCCTTCAGCACGAGTGTCTCAAAACTTGATTATGCACAGAAAGATTGCACGATGAGCGGATCCGCATGGCTGAACCCGCGCTCCGCATTCGCCTGCCACACGACGGCCCTGACCCTGCAGACGCAGAATGAGCAGCCGAACCCGCCGCCTCAAGTCCAACCACAAACTGGCGTCCCGGCTGTTCCTCCGAACAGCAGAGTGCAGATTAATCTCCTGGAGCGGTTGGCGTGAAACACTTTGCCTCCGCCTTGGAGATCGTGGGCTGCAATCTCGCTTGACTGGTGCTTCGCCGTCCGGTACCAACGTCGACGCTCGAGGAACCCAGCCCACTGTTCGCCATGTGCCTGCTGCGCTGAGTGCCAGCGAGAGCAGGAGCAGCAACTCAATGCGTCATACCTCTTTCACGACACGTTCGTTACGAGCGCGTAGATTGAGCACGCCGTTGCGAGTCGGACAAGCGGACAGCATGGCAATGGAAGTTCGCGACGAGATTTGTTATTGGGTATCTTGACATCTTAGACGCACTGGCCTTTCAACTGCCTAGCCAATACTCAAGACGAGGTTCTACGAGCCTCTCAACGATGGCGCACCGTTGTGCTGTTGGCGCAATCTCCCCATCCCTCGAAGCATGTCTCCGAGTCCCTTATGAGGTAAAGTTTGTTCCTCCACAAGCCATCAATTGGCGCCTAGGAACGAATTATTCGTACCAGGCGTTGGAACTGAAGGCCTAAGCTTTGCTCATTTCATCAGCAAGCAGCTGGAATCTTGGAATACTCTCCAATGGGATCATTCCTCCCCGGCACTTTTGGCGATGCAATTCTGCTTTACCGTTGTAGCATGCATGATATACCCTGCTGGTTGGTCTCCCCATGTAGATTACCGCAGTAAGGTAAGCTTAACGTCTCGGAGACTTTGGCACCTCATGCCTTGATTCGAGACTTCTCCACACTGCTTCACACATTCTTTCTTACATTCTTATCTTTCTTTCTCTGCGCCCAGATTATCGTGCGGTGCGGCAGTGCAGTTGTTGCTTGAAAGCTTTCCACGTAGGGAGATCCTCAAAAGAGCGTGCTTCAAGTGTCGCGATAAGAGAAAGATTATGGGAGATATGCACCCCGGATTGCGCAAATGCTGAAGAGATAAAATGATATCCATCCGTTATCTTCTGGTGGCGCTCGCTGTCCTCCTACTTTGCTCGAATCCCACTACAGCATCACGATATGCTCTCGGCGCACGACAAGAGACAAGGAATGATTCACCGAGCCCCACGCCTTCCCCTACGCCCTCGAGAACTGCAGATGGCTCGACACAAACCGAGACGGCAGTCACCTCATCCGACGAGTCAACTAGAACTACCGACCCCAGCTCGACAAGCGACGGGTCCGCGGTGGAGACGACGAGGGCGAGCTCAACAAGCGTTAACCAATCTATAACCTCAATCCCTATTGCAGCGTCTGGGACCGGAGCTGATGCATCTCCCACTCTTCCAAATGGCGCACCTTTACCCACAAGTGGTGAGTTTGCACGCAGCTCATGTTAAAGACATCCTAACGGTATAGACAACTCAACCACTACCGGAAATGCTCTGCCTATTCAACCGAAGGTTACGCCATCCACTGGTATCATGGGAGTTTTCCTGTTGGCCAGTGGACTTGTGTATACCATCATTGGGATCAAGAACCGTTGGTAAGTCAGCTCCGCCACATGTACAGCGGCCATACCCTTACATAATTTGCAGGTTATACATATCAATGTCCGCGGCATATCTGACAAGCCTTGCGGTTACCGTAAGTGGACAACCGCAGCCCGACTATACTATGCTGACACCGTCTTTTAGGTTCTCATCATATACGTCATGAACCCTCCAGTATCTGACGCAGTCCAAGGCGCTTTCTTTGTCGCAGCCTGCGTTACCGGATGCATACTTGGCGCTCTCGCTCTGATATTTCAAGACGTGACAGAAGGCCTCGGGTGCCTACTAGGTGGTTTCTGTCTCAGCATGTGGTTTCTCTCCGTCAGAGAGGGCAGCTTGATTAGGTCGGGCACCGGAAGAGCAATCTTCATCGGAGTGATGAGCTGCGTTGCCTTCTCTCTATCATTCAGCCGCTACACAAGGACGTACGGCCTGATAGTGAGCATAGCATTTGCGGGTGCTACTGCCATGGTTCTGGGCATTGACTGCTTCAGTTGCGCAGGGTTGAAAGAGTTCTGGATCTACATCTGGAGTGAGTATCGTAGATCAATGTGTTTGGCGCTTGGAAATCTGGGAGGCTAACCGTCATCAGACATCAATTCGGATCTGTTTCCTCTTCACACCAACACCTACCCGATAACGCGTGGCATTCGGGTCGAGATCGCATGCACAATCGTCTTTTTCATCTTCGGCCTGATGTCACAGTTCAAGCTTTGGAAGGTCATCAAGGAGCGCCGTCAGAAGAAGGAACTCGAGCGCCGCGAACGAGACGACAGCCTGGAACGGATGGAGGAGGAAGCTGGCCGGCGAATCGAAAACGACCTCGGACGAGAACGCGCGGAGTGGGAGGCTGTTTACGGTGACAAGCGGACCAAAGTCAACGGAGCAAACTCTTCAGATGATAGCATGCATAAAGGATCACTAAGTGTAAAGGACGCCCGGCGGACCAGTTCAGACAGCATAGAAATGGATGATCTCGGAAGCATCAGGGAGGAGAGCCGGCAGGGCTTGATGGCTAGAGGGAGTAGCAAGAAGAACGGGGCAAGCAGGATCACTGTGCGAGTGGCGCAGGACGACGATATTCACCAAATCGATCCGCAGGGCAATCTTATCCAGGCACCAAACGAGGCCTCTTCGCGCAACTCGATCCGTCACGGCAGCTCATCGACGAGCCTAAGGGCTTCTACAGATCTACCGAGGCCGGATGGAGCTGTACACCGCATTTCCAGCTCACCGAGAGCATCCCATCGCAGTTCGGCTCCGCCACCGCCCCCAATCATCCCTCTCCCGTTCAGGATACCCGACAGCGGGGGCGAAGACGAGGACGACACCGCATCCGTTTCCACAATCCCGGAAACGTTGCCGGCTGAGAGACCTAAATCAAAGCGAGCGTCAGCGGCATCAGCTTTGAGGCGACTTTCAATAAACAGAGGCTCAAGAGACCTCGGAGAGTCACAGGAAGCCCTAGTTGTACCACATATAGAAGATGACGCGAGATCCTCGGTTGCAGCTACGTTTGATGAAATTGATGAAGACAGAATATCCCTGCCAGCTTTATCACCTCCTACGTCTCCGGTTGCGAACGGATTTGAAAAAGGCTTGCTCGCACCACCTTCCCCAAACAAGAGACCACGATCTTTAGTCGACACTGGAGAACCGACGTCCGAACTACCAACTCGATCGGCAATGAGCGAGGGCGGCACGCCCATCGAGCCACATGGCGCAGATATCCTGAAGCCCCACCCACCGTCTGGTGCAGATGAAGATCTAGCTGGCACAGCTGCATTGCGCAAGTCTCTGACTGCTAGCACTGACCCAAAGGCCAACGACAAACGTAAAAGACTCTCTTTAGCCAACCAGCAAGGACAATCCGTGTTATCCGGGACGAGACGCGAAGATGCGAAGAGTGTTTCACGCAAGTCTAGCCCGGCGTCAGATATCTCTGAAGACGCTGTGGTTCGGGAGCTGGTTAAGGAGAATCTGCCAGCAAATTTGTCGAAGGTCGTGCTATCTTACAGGACAAATGAGTGGGCGAAGCATCTTGAAGCGGCTGAGCGACCTCAGTTTGACGAGCTCGAACCGGCATCACCTGGTATGAGAGTTGATAGCGGATTCAGGGAAGCCGCTGCACCAGTGCCCGAAGCACTGCAACCGGCGAGCAACAACCCTTTCAGGCATTCGATGGGCCGATCTGCATCAGGCTCGCCGAATATAGGCCTCCAAGATGGCACCTTAGACACAACGACGCCTCTGCGAAACAGCTCTGCCACAAAACTGGTAACGCGCGGTCTTCGCAACTCCTCAACCCCCCTCATTAATGAAACCCTCGTCGAATCACCTATCGAAGAGCAGCACTCACCAGCCGACATGGTTGCCCCTTCTCCCCTACCTTCCGGCACGCTCCTCGGCCGCCGGGAGGGCATATTGCGCAGCAAGCCGCAATCGACTTCCTTCATGCCTTACATGACGCCCTATCCCTCCGGCTCAACTCCCAGCGTCGCCGTCATCGCGCCCAGCGACTCCGCCTCCGTGCGCGGCCTTAACCTGGACCTTGAGCCCGACAGCGACAACATCAGCCTCTCCTCGCGCAAACAGCAGCTCCTCGACGGCTCCGGCGGCGAAAACATGTCCCTCGCAGAGCGGAAAGCGCTTATCCAGCGCCAACAAGCCGCGCAGCTCCAAGCCCAAGCGCAAGCCCAAATCCTAGCCCAGCAGCGGAACCGCCAAGGCACCTGGCCGCTGCTCCCGGACGCCCAGCCCTACAGCCACCTCCCTAACAGCGGCGCCGCCCTCCGTCAGACCTTCAACTCGCACCAGCCGCGCCGCAGCTCAGCAATCGACCCCCGAAGGCAGGAGACGACGCTCGCGAACTGGCGGTCCAGCCTCGCGCTCGACAAGGTGCCCGCGGGCCCGATTGTGGTGGATGAGGGGCGTAGGGCGGCGATGCTGGCGGAGCAGCGGCAACGGCAGATTGCGGCGCTGCAGGAGCAGAGCGCGAAGGAGTATAGAGATGGCATGGTTGGGGGGTTGATGAGGAGGGGGGATATGTTGGATGCGCATCGGGAGGCCCTGAGGAGGATGCAGGCGGGGGCCAATGTGTGATGGAGGGAATGGGTGGATGTGCTGGGGATAGGCTTTGCTGAGGGAGAGTGAGAAGGCGGAGGCGGGGTCATGGCTAAGCAGGCGGGATGATCTGCTCTTACTTTTTGTTCATAGTGCTTGTTGGGGGATGTGGGACGTGCAATATACCCCGGACAATCATGGGAGGGATTGCTCCTGACGGTGTTTGGGACACACACATATGGAGGAAAAGTTACGAGCTCTATAGTAGCTACTTCAATCCTTAATCTAATGCCTTACTCTATGGAGTCACAAGCAATGCATTCCTCACCGTGACTGCATCTCAAGTTCACGCATCTCTACGAGTTTGCCCCGGGTCATCGCACCTAAACACACGCCCCTTTGTTGCACCATTGGGAATTTAGATCCAACCATGGCACCGCTCCGCCGTGGTCTTCATCTCAGAGCTGTTAGAACGAGGCTACTCTAGTCACTTCCACCAACCGAACCTGTGGCTCTCCTAGTCGCGCCAGGGCCAGGGGAAATGACGGATGCGGCGTCTTCGAGAAACATTCTGTATTTCCCATCAACCGCAGCAGCTGCATGATCTCTGTTGTGTGTCAAGCCTGGGATGGCCTTTTTTTTTGCGATTGTTGACCGTGTGTCTAGTCTCTGCGTAGTTTCTCAAAAGTGGCCAGTGCCATCGTAGATGGAAGAATGTGATAATTCGCAAGTCACCACATGTAAGCCGTGATTGGAGTCAATATCCCGAGGTCGCCAACGCCAGAGTCATGTGCTCAATAGCGGCTTGCGGATACCCGGTCCTTCGGTAGCGACGAAGGTGAGCCGTGGGAGCTCGCATTGTGATAGACACGGCAAGGCGTTGGGCATGGAGAGTGCTGTGGTCAGCCTGTGGCCGCTCTCGGCGTTCGTAGAGCGGAATGTGAAATGCGACGAACGCTGTCAAATGAGAAGACGAGTTTGTGCGGGAAAGCATTCCGGCGCTGATGCTGCCCAAGCGAATGTCAGTCGAATAAACCACCCTGCCGTCGGGTGCCGGCTTGGTCTTTGGCTCCTTGTCAGAGCTCCAGGTAGTTAATTGTCCACGTCGTCGGCCTTGGATGGTTGAGAGCATGCCAGCGCCGTCCCCGATTGATGCGAGTGTTGGAGAGTCGTCTCATCCTTCAATTGACGACCATCCAATCTACCTCCAGATGCTCCTGATGCTCCTGATGCTCCTGCTGCAGCCGTTCAATCCAACTGCAGTGCCTCCGTCAGCAACACGCTAAGCCCGGCTCCTCCCCTTTCTGGCCAACTGCAGGTGCAGCAAGTTCCTGGCACGTGATCTCCTCCAACACCCCGAAACCTATGCGCAACCGCAACAACGGCGTCGACACAAGCAGCAGATGCTTCGCCTCCTACACCCGCCCGCTGGAGCTTGACCAACCGCCTCTTCGCTCTCCCCGCCAGCGTCCGCTCCTCCGCCCCGCGCTTGCCCGCTTCTCGTCTCTGGAATCCCATCAACTCCTCTCCTCGAAACGTCCAAGTACCCTTCCCGAGCGTCTCGAACATCCCGAACGTCCCGATCGCGCATCCCGAGGTCGCCCACGACGCGCCTCCACGCTCCAAAGGTCGAGACGACTACCCTCTCCTTACGCTTCCCGAACAGCGTCGCAGTCGAGCAAGCCTCACCCATTCCTCCCTTGTCGTCGAGCCGTCTGCCGGCGGTGGGAGTGGTAGGACAAGCATAGCACTGCCGCCGGACAAGCGCAGTAGTCCGCCCTCCGCGCCGACCTCTCCGCTACATCCACCACCAACAATGTCCGGCGCATTGGCTAAGGCCGCTGGCATTGAGGATCCTCCTCCGCGACCCGAACCCTCCAGCCAGCCGCACGACCTCGAAGCCGGCCTCCCCGTCCTCAAACCCTCTACCTCGCGCGCCTCACTACCTCTGCACCGGCAGCGGACAAATTCCCAGCCCGCTTCCGTAAGCGGCATCCCGCCCACCTCCGGCGCCGGCATCGGCCCCGACCCAGGCGACGGCGACCCAGACGACGAATACACCTGGGGCCCCTCGCACCCCTGCTTCCCACACCCAAACCCCCACGTCCCGCTCTCCTCGCCGCTCGCCGAATCCACGCGCATCATCCGTGTAAAGCGCGACTGGATGGTCGCCGGCGACCTGGCCCCCGCATTCGTGAATCTTTACCCCGAGGTGCTGGACCCCGTGCTCAGCGAAGAGGCGTTCCGGGAGATAATCGCGCATGTGAACCGGGAGCTCGTGGACGCGTTCGATCCGTGGGGGTGGCGGAACTGGGTCGATGCTGTGCTGGGCGTTGCGACGTTGTGGGTGTGGGAAGATCTGGGGCTTACGGGGGTCAGGAAGAAACTCAGAGCGTTGGAGGAGTGGATTGAGCGGTGGAACAGGGAGGTAGGCGCCAAGGAGGGGGTTCGGATCATTGAGTTGAGGCGGACGGCGTATATGGATGTGAGTAGAGATACATCAAATTTGTCGGGATATAGACGGAAGGCGATTCTGACTTGGTATGCCCTACAGCTCGACATACAAATCCCGGATCCGCACATCGAAACCGATACCCGCGCTTCAAGACCTGCGACCAGCGACTCCACTCCTGCACCTGCAATAGGCCTAGTACCGCCACCGCAGGGCCATGGCGACTTCGGGCCTTATCCCGTCGGTCAAATACCCGACCCCAGCGCGTTACGGTCGATTGGGAGTCAGCATCTGCCGCCGGGCGTCGCCGTTGGCGGGCGATAGGAGTGACCAGAGAAGGAGCCTCGCAAAGGTTTTGCATTGAGCACTTGACATATATTCGCACAGCGTTTGCATCAGCATCAGCATTGGCGTTTAGCATTTGGTTTGTCTTGGCGCCTTGTGCTTGCATTCGAGCTTTTACTGGATTTGTCAAGGGATCCTTTGGCGTTTGCAAATAGACACTCTTCTTCATCGTCTGCTGATACCCCATAGTTCCGTGCGCTGTAGACTTGGCTATGTTTTTGTATTCAATATCAATATACAGTATCACGTCAGCCGCCCGCCCTTCGGGCCGTGAAGTTGGGGACTCTGTCCCTCGTCTAGCGTCTAAAGAAGTCCAGAGAATCGGGTTCAAGGGTTTTCCTGACAGCGAGAAACTCAGTTCGTCCCCCACCTCTCCCGCGCCTCCCATTTCACGCAGGCAAACTCCCCGGCATCCTCCTCCACGGCCCCCAACTACTTTCCCTGCTCCCCAGCCCGGGCCGCCGATGCAGATCCATGCCCAGCGAACCTCTCTCGCTGCCTCGCCTGCTCAGGCCCTCGCGCTCCATGAATCGTTCCGGGGCCCTGCGCGGCCGTTCGCCTGCCCGCTCCTCGGCTTCGCGCAGGAGTGCGCCATCGCGCACCAGGCGGGCTTCCAGACTGCTGGGGACATCTGAGTCGGAATCGAGCAGGTTGTCAGGGGCTAGACGCGATTTCCTGCTGGATGCTATGTGGTTGTCTGGTCTGGCGTCCTCGTCGTCATTGTTGTCCTCGCGTCGCGCTTCCCGGGTTGCCCTGGCCGCGGCTTCATCACCTGATTCTGCTTCTGCTTCTGCTCCTGCACCTAGTGCTGACGATGCCTCGGCGGCTGGAACAGCAACGTCGCTTCCGTCCTCTTCGCCCCCGCGCGTGTTCCGCTTCCGTGGCCATAGGCTCGGCAGCACGATCTGCTGGAAGCGCGGCTCGACGCAGCGCTCGTCGAACCAGGCGTGCAGGCGGGATTCAACCAGTTCTGCGATCTTGGGGATGTCTTGGAGGCGGGAGCGGGAGCCTAGCAAGGAGCGCACGCTGAGGTCGAGCCGGTAGTCGTCGAGGAAGGTGAAGGCGAGGGAGGTTGGGGGTGCCGGGTTTGCGGTGGAGGAGGAAGAGGAGGAGGGGCGCGATGGGGGGCTGGAGGGGGGTGGGGAGGGGATGAATGAGAGGGAGAGCTGGAAGGTAGTCAGCCAGTTGTTCCTCGGTTTGTCTGCAAACTAAATTAGGAGAGTTACCCACCGTCCCGCTAAACCGCACAACGCTCACCGCCAGCGCAACCGGCAGTACCGCAACAACGGGCTTCGGATAATTCAGCACCAGAGTCGTCTCGACCCCCAGCGTAATCACATCGCTCAAATCGACATCCATCCGCGCCTGCAACCTCGTTTCCCTCCCTCCGCCCCCTTCGCCCACCTCCTTATCCCCTCCCACACCCACACTCCCCAACACCCCATCCTCCACGGGAATGACTCTGCAATTACTGAAAATCGGGAACTCCTCCCCCAGCGCAATCTCCGTGACGCGTATCTCGCCAAGCCAATCCGGCCTCTTCTCACCGTTCAGAGCAGTGGTGAGGGACGTGAGTATCGCGTCGTCGGCGCTCGCGTCCTGCCGCAGCCCAGCGATCGTTTGGGCCACCAGCACGTTAAACCAGTCCAGACTCTCTGGCTGGTGTCCCGAAGTATTATAAAACGTCTTCCTCAGTATACTCGCCGTAGTGAGAGGCGGCGGGTTCCTCAGGACATGGCTCGAGGGTTTGCGCGCGAGGTTTCGGGGGAGGGCGGAGGTGGTGGTGGAGGAGGAGCGGGGCCGCTTCTGGGGGGAGCGCTGGTACTGGAGCTGTTGCTGGCGCTGCTGGGCGGCGTGGGAGAGGGTGCGTTGGCGGCGGGCGAGCGCGTAGGTTTCCGCGCGCGTGTCGGCGGAGGGGAGTTCACCGAAGATGAAGAATTTGATGAAGAAGACTATTAGGAGGGCGATGGAGAGCTGACCGAGGAGGAAGCCTTGGGTGAAGGAAAGGCTGGGGGCGGTTAGTATATCTTGAGTAGACCATGGTGGGTGTGGGGGCTTACGAGGAGGATTGCGAGGGCAGTGGGTAGTCTGGGGTAGTACGGTTAGTGGAACAGATACTGATACAGCTTCTACAGCTGTGTCTACTTACCCTGTGCCGCCGCCATATTCCTCTCTCCGAACTGGAGATTGTGCTGGGCTCGTCGGTGATGCTTCGAAAAATCCCCCACCTCCGAAACCCCCGAGCTCTCCGCAAGATGACGCTTGTCCCGCAGCTCCACCACCGAGGCCACCAAGCTCCGCAACAATGGAGGCTGCCTCCAGTCCAGGCCTCTCGCCAACGGCTACATCAACTCATTCGAAGCTGCGTCTACCAGCAACATGTGAGCCGCCCGGCGAGCAGAACCCGCCTAAACAGGCAGTGTGGGTAGTACGCGCTCCCCGCTCTCCCCGGTGTGCATGCTTCAATCCCACGGCTACCGTATATACACTGCTATACAGGAAGAGAAACAAAACTAATTCGGCGGGATACCAGATCTTCGGTGCAACAGGCCACATAGGCCGCTCCCTCGTTCGCGCAGCCCTCTCCCACAACGACAAGGTAGTCGCCGTAGGCTGGACCGCCGAAAACACGCTGCCCAACTCCTCCTCCTCCTCCAGCAACCCGCACTCCCCGCACCTCCTCAACCTCCTCTGCGACGTCCGCCTCCCCGCCACCATCTCCGCCGTCTACCAACGCACCCTCTCCACCTTCGGCCGCATCGACATCATCGCAAACTGCGCCGGCTACGGCATCATCAGCGCGATTGAAGACCAGACGGAGGCGGATATCCGCAACCAGTTCGAGACGAACTTCTGGGGCACCTTCCACATCACCTCGTTATCGTTGCCGATCTTCCGCGCACAGGAGGCGGGGGGCAGGTATCTGATCTTCAGCTCTACGGCTGGCGCGCTGGGCGTGCCGGGACTGGGGCCGTACTGCGCGACCAAATACGCTGTGGAAGGCCTGATTGAGAGTCTGCTGTACGAGGTCGACTGCTACAACATCAAAGCGACGCTCGTGGAGCCCGGACACGTGCGTCTTGACGAGCCCGATGACACCAGCAGCGCGGGCGGCGGCGCGGGGTTTGGCGGCGAGGTGCGGCCGAAGCGGTATGGGCACTTCTTCGTGAAGCCTGCGAGCAAGATCTACGCTGGTGAGACGGCGCCGGCGGGACACGCGCGGCGGCTGGTGCGGTGGCTGAATGACCGGCAGCCGACGAGCGCAGTCAAGAGCGCGGAACTGGTGTGGCAGCTGGGGCATTGCTCGTTTCCACCGCTGAGGCTGCTGCTGGGAAGTTATGCGGTTGAGAGTATCAGGGATCGGCTGAGAAGTATTATTGAGGAGGTGAGGAGATTTTGGTCTGAGGGGCAGGCTGCTGCAGGAGTGGATCGCTGACGAGGAGACAGATCGAGGATTGGAAGCATCTCAGCTTTCCGATTGCTGATGAGGAGGATGTGCCGGATGTGCTAGAACCGCTGGGCCTGATGAGAGATGAAGCTGATGAGGCTCCAGGAACCTGAATGGTTGAGCGGGCTGCTGAGGGCCTGAGATGAAACGCCCCTATTAGGATGGCCGCTATACAGTGGACCAGCTACCGCACCACATCCGGCCGAGCCACCGTCAAATGATTGAGCAGCGGTTCATACGGCAATACCACGTGTTCCTGTTGCCAATCGTTCACCTCCGGCCTACCTTGGAACCGAGTCTCTCATTGACTGCGCACGTCGGCACATCGTCTCAGATCAGCATTAATAACTGACGAGACACCTTCTTACCTTTGTGTGCTCGTCGCGTCTACAACCTGTATGGGAGAGTAGACCAAAGACCCGGGAGGCAGATGACAAACGGAAAGACAAAGCAGTACGCAAGATCTACAATGTATAGATCACGAGCGCGGCAAAAGCCATACAGCCCGACGCAAGAATTAAATATCGGTAAATCCAATGAAGACGATGTGCACCAACTCAGCAAAATATGGAGGTTCGCGGACGGCCACAAGATGGTTGGCGGTCACGAAGTAGTACTTAAAGTCAAATACGGCCTTACCTGTTCTCAGACAGTCTGTATACGCCAGCTGTTGCGACATTCTGAACGTAGAAGCAGATCGACCACTCGGGATGGGGCTGTTTCTCTTTGACTTTTGCGCATGCACCATGTCCAACCATCATTATGGGTGCTTGGTCAGAGACACAAACTTTACGACAAATCATGGCTCAGCTTCAAATTGAGGATTGGTCCCATACCAAGAGTGTTATTATCTTCAACGGATCTCTCATCCACCACTATATCATGTCGAAAATGGTGATCATGTATACGACCCGATCAATATCGCTTTTCATCTCTACTCTGTTACTGCTCACGCCCGAGCTTCGAAGCACCGTTCATAGTTGCATGTTCTCCACGGTTTGTGAATAGTCGGATGAAGATGTACTGATGTTCGGTTCCTTGTGAATACTACCCGTTCACTGCTAGTCGAAAGGCCGGTAATGCCGACTCCCATCATTCCATGTTTCACTCGTTGCTTTTCACGGCGCAGTAGCGTTACCGTGTTGTTAATTAACTCCGCTTCTCTCGAGTATAAACATCCTACCACAACTCCGTCTCATCTTTCCACCTTTCTTACCAGCAGTTTGTCATCATCTCAACCTGCTTTACCGTAGTCGACAACAACCTGGCAGTCTTTGAATCATACACACCTCAGTACCATATCAAGACAATCTCCGTCCATCGTGCTCAACATTGGAGGTTGTCCACTGGCCACTTGCTACTCAACACCGACTCGTCTAAGAATCTACGACGCGATTTCTTCCGTCAAATTATGCCGCATCATCGCTCGTGCCGCGTGTCACACCGGCACTCGCGGCCCGACAGTGACTTTTCGGCTGCGTTCCATTTGGAACCACATAGCTATCGGTCGAATGACGGCGGCAATATAACCAGAATGCAACAGGCTGACGACAGAAACGCCTTGCGAGACAAGACGACCTGGGTAGTCTGCGACCGTATACCAGCCGGTCGAATTACAGACGACAACCACCCGACGCCAAATACCTTTCTGACCGATAGCGTCTTGAAAGCTGTCGTCGAGTCTAGTATCAGTCCCTACCACAGGTCCACCTGGTGGAGCGACGACTTCGACTCCACAGGCAAAGTTCGAGTTTCGCGACAATGTCGTGGGGATCCAGTTTATGATCCTTACACAGGCGAAGTGGTGGTCCTCAGAGGAAGTGCTGTTCACCACAAGTATCGGCTCAGCGGGAATCCTCAATGGCACAACATGCACTTATCAAGAGCTCCCGCAGCTCGTGAACCTGGGTTACGTGGTGACGCTACCCCGATATCACGTAAGCTGTTTTATCTGACGATCGCGTCTTGAAGAGCCACAGCTAACGATTTCCACAGCCAAACCCCAGCTGTACCAACATTCAGCCTCGTCTGTACAGCCACAACAGATGCCGGCCCCGTTCAATGCCCAGCCCGATCAAGAGTCCTATCCCCTGAACATCAAATCCGATGATTCGGACGTTGCAAGACACGCCGGCCCGGATCTTATCGCTCAAATCACCGAGGACGTGCGGAAGAAAGTCATAGAGAGCCTCCACACATCAGGCAGCCTACGACCAGAGACTGCGGCGCCAAAGCATGATTCCGAGCGTGGCAAATCCACCAGCGGCGCCGGCGTAGCTGAAATCCGGGAGTCAGATGCTGACCTGCGCGACCTCTGGGCCTCGCGGCGGGTTCAGCGGCTGGAGGCTGAGCTAGAGCAAGCCAAGCAAGAGAGTGCGGCTGAGAAAGAAGCTAGGTTGGACCTTGAGGTCAAACACAGCGGTGTGATGGAGGAGAAGGCCCGGCTGGTGGAAGCGATAGCATCATTCGTCCACGGCTTCCACAGCGTCATCGACAGCACAAACGCAGCGCATCGTGTCCTCGCAAACGCCTATTCCATGCTCAGCGCCGACTCTGTCGAGGCAATCACCTCTCGCATGGACGAGATCACAGCCGCAAACGGAGCAGCTGGCAAGTGTCTCAAAGACACTGAGGTATGACATATGACAGGCTTACTGGACATCACTTGAACGTCGCTAACGTCGATTCGCAGGCACTTGAAGAGGGCAGCTCTGGCTCTAGTACTGCAGTAGAAGATCGCAACAGTACAGCGGGATCAATCAGCAGCAGCCTTCGAGCAACAACCGAGGGCGTTCCTGCTATCATTCCTCCGTCCCTCACTTCTCAGCGGAAGCACCAAACACTGTCTGGCAATGCCGGTACGTGCACTGTGAGTTAGACAACGCATTAATGTATGCGAATTCGTTGAGGAGAAACCGCAAAGGGGGGGATGTTACTGTTCACCGTCGACAATTCAGTGCTCAACTTGGAGGCTGGCTTGCGGAGAACCGAGTGCATGGAGATCATCCTGCGCCAAAGCGACAAATTAAACTCCAAAGTTTCAAACTCTTCTGCAAAGTCAACAGGATTTTCGGGTATCTTAGGAAGCAGATGATGCGCGACAGCAGGGTTAAGGGTCGGTTGCTTGGGCAAACAGCTATTAATCACTGTGCACATGCATCATGATGACGGATTTGCGCTCGTGGTTCTGGAAATATTTCTTCGCTTCGCTCGGAGGACTGTTATGGAACAGTTTCAAAGAATACATTTGACTTGGAGTTTGCAACGGGGCGGGGTCACGCAAATATGCTTTCCGGTCACTCTGCCACGTCGGGCAGGAAAAAGCCTCACCGCGAAACTAGAAATCTAGGGCTGCATCAACATTAAAGGTCCCTTTACGATCATGACGATGCTCTATAAAACAGTCTGAATAGCTGACTCAAGGTTTGACGTGCTATCGCTCACTCTTAGACACTTTGACCGGCGGCTGGACGTAAATCCCTTTGTGAAGTTGACGGCGAACGAGCGCTGGGCCGCTGTCGTGGTGAGGCCTTTTTCCCGCTCGACGTGTCTGCCAATACGGAGGATCGGAGTGCTTCAAGACCTTTCGGAAGCTTGATCACCTCGCGAAGGGGGCACATGCCATTACACCCGAGATACTTATACTGATCGTACGTCCATGTTCGTAGACTCAGAAGCACGGTCTTCACCTTGCTCTGTTTTGCGGAGGTGGTGTAAGTTCCGAGCCAAGACGAGAAGATTTGCTCGGCGAGTAAGATCTTGAGCCTCCATTGGAGGACAGATCCGGGAGACCCGTCAATCAGTGGTATTTGGAGAAGTTCGACGAACGTGAGGGCTCGGGCTACCTCGTCATCTATGAGAGTATAGACGAATTTGGGAGTTCTATGTACTACTTCAGTAAACTACTGCATATAGATGGTCCTTGTGCTCACGTGTTCTGCTTCGCTGCCCTTTCCCGGTCACTCTGCCTATAGGCGGCACTGGAGTGCTGGTCCGTTTTCAACTTAATCCCCCTCTCGTCAACTGCCGTTCCAGACCCTGTGTACATCCAGTCGTGATGGCCCTTCTCCAACGTCTTCAGAACCCCTAAGTATAACCTCCAGTACCTCTGGGATATCTGGAGACATTCGGCAACTGCAGCACCTGTTCTACCGTCGGGGGCTCATCTGCGCCAAGAAGGACCTTGACTTCCTGACAAGTCGTGTTGGAGATATCGTGTGCCCACTCGCCGCCGCTACGCTTCTTCGAGTACATCTTCCAGCCGACTCCGAACTCGGTTGCAGGTAGTGTCATAACTTCCGGACGTATTCCTTGGGCCGGAGCTCGAACGCATTGACTGCGCACTGGTTTTATCAATTTCGGCGACTTTGACTCCGACAAGAACGACTTTGGCCGCGCTGCTGTCGACGGTCAAGACTGTAAAACTATACAAGATGGCCTCCTGTACTAAATGTTAGCTAACTCCTTAAACATCCTCCGTAGTTTTCTATTCACTATCTAAGCAGAGAATACCTAAGGTATATACATAGTATACCGTAGGGTTATTGAGAGGAAGTCTCTGTTATTGTTTTATTCAATGTTCTTGCGAACTTCCTAGGCTCTGGCTGCTGTGAATAGCGGCGGAAGCTGCAGGCATTTTTCGTCCTTGTATTCGTGTTATCCTGGATACTGAGTCGTCCAGTGCTGTCATTCGGTTTTCCCTGAATCAATTCCTTAGACGCTTGCTCAAGGCAGCTTCTGTCAGGTGTGCGGTCGTCTCCCACTTCGCCTGCGTGGTTACGACGTGGCTTTTGAGGACGTTCTACTGCCGGGGCAGGGGGCAGATGAACGCTCGATCGTCCTTGCTGGGCGATTTGCGGAAGGTATCGCTCTTGTCATGTAAGTCTCGGGTTTCGAGCTCATCTATCAGTCAACCCTCGAGACTTCCTAAGCGACAGCGGTACGTTGATCAGGCACCGTCCAGAACCGCTTCCGTCAGATCGTTAATAGTTGTGATGAAGACGGCTGGACTCCTATCCCAACTGGCATCGTCGGACGAATGGCGTATTTGGCAAGGCACCTTCACCCATGTACCCTGGCGATGGCGAGGAGTGTTCTCAGCATGGCGCTGGCCCATAATGCGGCCCTCTTCCACGAAATCTCTCAATGCACTCCTGTAAATGATATCTATGCTTGCGAGACTTGTCCAATCTCCGTCTCTGACAAGCTCTTCCTCTTGACATGTGTACTTGCCACTTCTATGCTTTAGCCAAGCGGTGGAGGCGAGTTGCTGCTCGTCCGCGTCGGGTGTCGATCCGGGCAGCTTCTCCAGGTCGGTAGCTTTCATAACAGGCATCGGATCGCCCTTAACGTGGTACACGAAGCCTCCGATTCCGTACTCCTTCAAGGCGTTGCAGTTCATGTAGAGTGTGCGCTTCGGGTCTTGATGGACTAGGAAGGTTGGTTACGGAAGTGGTCCTGGATCGCCTTAAAGGTCTCGAGATGTCTTTCCGAGGGCACGAGCTTGGTTCGAGATGCGTACGCCTTTCTCTGCCCGCCCTTCGACTTGGTAGCCGTGAGTAGGAGTTCGGTTTTGAGCTCCTGAAGCGGTTGCGTGAGCTGCGCGTAATCACATATCCAACACAGTGAATGTTCATTATTTCAGGACATCAATGGCTTTTGTCAAGGTTCATTAGGACGGCGTCGAAAGTGATGCATACTGGACCAACTTATGATAAAGATGGGATGTCGCGAGCCCCTCGATACGGGGTTCCCTCCGTTTCCGGAAAGCCGCTATGTCGCACATGGATGTTGCGCGCTTGTCGATGCTCATTGCTCAATTAACTCTTCAGCATCCCAAGAAGGTACACAAACCATCTAGGCTTTCTGGCGGTGTGATGTCTCGAACGGTGTCTTCGGATGCTTCTTGCCGTCCTTGTTCGCCTCATCACCGCCCTTTCTTCCTTTGGACATTGCAACCGCGGCGAGCTTTGCTGGCTCTTCAACTCCCTTGAGCTTCTCGTATTCGTTTTCTGGAAGTGTGTCCTGGGTTGCTTCGTTCGAGCGAGCGGCATCCACAATCCCGGATCTCCGAGTCTCCGGATCCATACTTAACTTGAGATATGGATACCAGGTCCACTCGGCAATGGCCTTATCACCACGGTCCTGGGTCAGACGGTACAATCCGCCGTTGAGAATCCAAGGCTGCTTCTCGGAGTACTCCTCCCTGCTGATCTTGTACTTCTGCATGTACAGCTCTCTTCCCTCGTCACCCCAAAGGATGTAGGACTGCCTCCATGCATAGGGACGGAGCTAATAGTAGACTGGCGTAAGGCGTGCGTGAACGCGTTAAAGGGTATATATATTAATAGCAATTGTTGAGTCTCAGGCAAGGGATAGTTGGTTGCTAATGTTGGAGAGCTGAAGAGGAGGTGCAGATGTGCGGGGTGGAGGAGAGCAGAGGGGGAAGGCTTACTTATGGGTCCAAACATGTTAGCTGCTGATTGTGAGGAAAGTACTTTGTTCGAGGAAGGTACTCTTGCCGCCGAAAAGTCTTCGGTCTTGGCACCGCATCACCAAGGTCGGCTGCGTTGTAATGATCGCCCGACGCTCGAAGGAGCGCGTACGTGATTAGGATTTTGGCTGTTGATTCGTGCGGTTGTAGCCAATCTGCTAGGGTCGCCGACATGAAGTGTGTTGAAGGTTGGCCAGGTCCAAGTGTCGTCGTCATGGTCTAGGTCGTCTAGCTGTTGCGCCACAAGGGGCGTATCGCTGCTCTTCTTTTTATCAAGGTTTATGACCTCGATTTCCCACTGGGCCTTCAGCGTGCCGTCCTTTTTGTACATCCATACTTTGACGCCTTTAGGCAAGGTCAAGCCGTACCAGCTGTTGATTGACGCAAGGGATGGTAGCTTCCACGGCCCATGTGCTTTCGCATCGTATGGGACTGAGATCCTGAAGCCCTCCTTGCCAACCTTGATCTTGTTGGGCTTTGCTGGCTGGAAGGGGTACTTTGTCTTGGGCTCCTTGGTTTTCCTCGAGGATTCTTTGATTCTGGGCCGGCGAAGCCGGTTCAGAGACTGGAAAGATCCGGTCGGCACTCTGATCCAGGCTCATCGTCGCGCTATCTTCTGGGCTGAGGGTCTCCGAAGCTCGCTGACATCGGTGCGCCTTTGGTCGCTCAATATCGCGTTCGCCGTCCGCCACGTCGAACTGCGTGTAGTCGGTTAGCTCTTCCATCCTGTCGGAATCTTATCTCGGCTTCGCGTGTGCGCGGCCTCCAACCCCGCAACGCCGCAGTCAGTCCTGATCCTCGTGAGACGGGACGAAGACTTCTGTCATCGTGTATGCGGCGACATGAAGGTCGACCAGCCTGAGCATCTCATCTCCACCGTAGTCCACGAACTTCTGGAGGCTCTTCTCCACTCGCTGCCCCGCCTTCAAGAGTTGCAGTTTTGTCTGCTTCTGCTTGAGCAACTCTTCATATCGACTGCAAAGTCTTCTTTGCCGAAAACTTGCCTTATGGTCAGCGCACTGCTTTCCTTCGTCCGTTCGCCGCTTTCGGGTGCTCATGTACCCTCTTCCCCGACCGGCCACAGAAGAGAATGTGTTCGCAGTCGTCAGGATTGACCAGCAGCACTTCCTTATAGCGGCTGAGGGCCTGGATCTTGACCTCAAAGATGGGCAAGATCGACAGCAGCTGGAACTTAATTGTGGCCAGAACGTGTGCGTTGCGCCTGTAAATCTTGCTTGGTTGGAGCCGCGTATGAAGGCGACGTCTGTCAAGATGACCCGTATCGGACAGCAGCCGTTCAGGAACCTTACATCTAACCGCACCACGCCGCTGCCATCTCCGCCTGGCCACCAGAAGAGCACGTGCTCACAGTCGTCGGGATCGACTAGTAGTGCTTCTTCGTAACGGCTGCGGTCTTGCACCTTGATCCTGAATATCGGCAGGATCGACTGTAGCTGGAAGTCGATGGTGATTGGGAGGTGTGTGGTCTGGCTGTTCTTTCCTCGCTTCGCGTTTAAGTCGCCGATGGTGGACTGGTCCTCCTGCCTGCCGTTGGGAAGCCCTCGTATACTTGTGACCGTCCCGATCAACAGTCGGTTGTGGCTCTTGACGGTCTGCTCAATCTCCAGCCTCGGCTTGGCGTAGCGCTCCGGGGAATGGGAAGTGCGTAGGTAACCATCCTGCTCTGCGTACAGCTCGCTGGGAGTGGAAATACTGGGTTCATGAACCGTCAGCGTTCGTTAGCTGGTGCCTCTCGACAAAGCGGTGCATGAAACGGCGTGCCAGCAGAAAGCTTGGAGAAGGCGAGAGCGCGCAGGACGTACTTGAGGGATAGCGTTCTTTCGACAAAATGGCATTGGTAAATCTTCTTCCTGTGATTTGTACCATACTAATACAGGTCAGCTTACGTTCTATACTAACGGCACAAGACCGTGTCTACGGTTAAGAATTGTCAGCCTGTATCTGGACTGCTTCTCACTTGATTTTTCAATATCTGATCGTCGTCTTCTGCACCTTGATCAGCGCTCTCCAAAGATTTGTCGACGGTGTGACCGAAGCGTTGGGATCTGGGTTGACGACGAAGCTCTACGTGTCCAGTACGTATCAACGACACGGCCGAGAAGGCAAGCCTCACTATCCGACAACTGAGCATCGTTCGGCGGGCATTGTTGAGACAGAGACGACTAGGTAAGACAAGTAGCCGTTCGGTGGTAATGTTACTGCAAGAGTACGGAACCAAGCTCGATTCTCGTGGGTTAATGTGTGCTGGTGAACCAGGAATGTCTAGTGGGACCAGAGAGTGTTCAGCGAAGACCCATCCTACTGCGTACGCATCTTTTGGGTAAGGGGAATCGGATGTAACGGAGGTTTTGAAGAATAGAGAACACCTTGGCTTCCACGCTGTCTTCAGGGGGCGCAGTCAGCTGTATAACCAGCTCAACCATTCTGACGAATTTCGGTGGTGTTACAACACGGACATCCTGTTCGGGATGGTGAAGGGTAGCTGTAACTAGGAGCAGTGACCCGGTCGTACTGTGACGCATCTGTGTGCTATGTTGTCGTGGTATTGTTAGCAGTTCGGCGCTTTGAGACGGAGCTGTTACTGTGTAAGTATGTTACACTTTGCATGTGGTGAGTTATCATATTTGACAAATTTGGTGCTGTTAGTCTGAGCATGGTTGAGCGGAGCTGTTAGTTTGTGTGTGGTGTTGCCAGAACTCAGAGAAAGGAAAGGCAGAGGACCAGCATGGTCAAGTATTGGTCTCACCGCCAGATAAGAGCTTGCATTGGTCGGTCGGTACTGCTATAAGCTTGTTTTTGTCCAGCCAAGGCAACGTGACTACGGTAAGCTTGCCACTGACAGCCGAACGCTGATGACATCACTCAGCCCGTCGCAGAGCTGGTGACTTTGACAGACGAGCAGAGTTCGTTGACCGAAGGCAGTGAAGCAACCAGGCCTGAGAAATATACAGACCTTCCATCATAGCAGCCTCACAACGCATTTCAATCCTCAAAAGTCTCCAGCACCTCCACATCCTCTTCGCGGCCAGGAGCCGCCGCCTTCATCTTATCCGCCTTCTTCTTTCCCTTACCCTTCGGCCTGTCCCCCTCCTCCTCACCTCCGCCCGCCTCAAAAGCCTTGCGGTTCTTCGCTTGCTCCGCCAGCTCCATCCTCTGCCGCTGGAACTCCTCCTCGTCCTGTTTGTCCATCTCCTCAAGCTCAGCTTTTAGCTCCTTCGGATCGACCCATTTCTCAGGCCGCTGATCCTCACGGTAGTTCGCTACAAAGTAATCGAAGTCTATCGGAACCCTCTCACCCACCAGTGCCGCGTTGACGCGAGCTGGGTCGGCTCGCTCCTCGCGCACGAACTTGAGCTTGATGTGTCGCCTTGTCTTGCCTGGAAACAGCTTCGAGATGACGAAGAAGTCTATGCCGAACATCTTGAGCGCGTCGTAGAACGCCTCCGTCTCCGCCTCGCTCCAGTTCTTATTCTTTCGATTCACCATCCTCCGCTCCGCCGGGTCCTTGCGGCCTTCACCAAGATACGTCGCCGTCGTCATGCGCACAGTGAGGTCGTCCTCCTCGACTTCCACCAGATCCTCGTCTTCCTCCATCGCTTCCGCCCGCCGATCAATGTGCGTAGAGCTGTTATCGACAACCATCCTCCCATTCACGAGCTTCATCTTGATGCCTCCGCTCTGCGCCTTTCGGACTTCTTGCGCGCGCTCCGCTTCTTTGAGGGCATTTTCTACATCGGCCTGATTGGAACGCCGGGCGTCGTCGCGGTCCATCTCCTCTTGTCGCTTGCGCTTGACTTCGTCCCAGTTGATTTCGCGCATAGCTTTCTCGCGCTGGGAGAGCTGGCCTTGGCGGCGCTCTGTGCCTATGTCGAACATGGTGGTTTGCGTCGGGTCAATGGTTGTTTCTTCAGCATCTTCGGGAGTTTCTGCGCGCTTGCGACCTCCGCGCTTTTTGGGAGGGGCTGATTGTTCGTCTCTGTTCGCTCCTGCGGATGTCTGACCAGCTTCTCCGTCTACTGCAGTTTCGGCATTCGGTTCTGTGGTCGCTCTCATCCTTTTCCTCGGGTTCTTCGGTTTTGGTTTTGATTTTGGTTTTGACTTAGGCTTGCGCGTCGGTGCAGTATCCTGGTCCCCAGCTTGCTCGACATGGTCGGTGGTTGTGGTCGGCCCAGGCGTCTCCTCACTTGCATTCGCAGCTGTAGGCTTCTTTCTCGGTTTCTTAGACGTCTTTATACGAGCAGTCGCACCATCTCGAACTTCCGCACCACCTTCAGTTTGGGCTTCGCCTTCCGCTGGCTGAGCCTCATTATTAGCAGTCGCAGCTCCTCTTTTCCTAGGAATTCCTCTGTCTTTTCTCGGCTTGCGTACTTTTTTCGCGGCTGCGGATTGAGCTCCGGCTTCAGCGTCGCCTCTTGTACCAGTTTCTTCTGTAGTCGTGGTGGGCGCTTCGTCAGACGGATTCGAAGCTTCCCCTGTATTATCTTGAGAGTCGCCACTGGCGCCCGATTGTTGCGTCGGAGCCGTCTTCCCCTTTGCGGTCGCTCTCTTGGTGCCTCCCGGCGCACGTGACTTGCTCGTTGGTTTCGCTGCGGCAGTCCCAACCTCCGTTTGTGATGGTTCGTTTTGCTCGTCTTCCTGTGGCACAGTCACCGAACTCTCTCCAAACTGCGCCGTGGAAGCTGCTGCCGCGGCTTGGCGAGTTGATCCTCTAATACTCTTTACTGTCCTGGTCAGTGTAACCTTCTTCTTGCCCGCCAACGCAGCCAATGCTTTAGTCTTTTTCTGAATGTTGCTGCCATCCGTTGTTTCCTCTGTTGATGGCGGTGTTCCTTCCGTTCGTGGCGCTGGTGTAGTCTGCTCAGTCCCAGTGGAGGGCTCTTCAGTCGCAGTAGCGGAGACTGCAGGTTGCTCCGAACTCGGAGGTGAAGTTTGTTGTGACTGGCTCGCCGGCTCGATACGTCGCCGTTTGGGCGACCTTTCGGCTATCTGGTCCTCGTTCTCGTCTCTAGCGTGCGTTGTAGGCTTGGTGATGGACGGTGAGCTCCTTGATGGGACATCCTGTTGTCTTCCAGAACCGCCTTGCCCGGTCGTGTCACCTCGACTGGCATGCCTGACATCCAGTCCAGCCGTAGCTTGTTCAGGCTCATGTGATATTGACGTCTCCTCTCGCGTGTTTGAAGCGGGCACGTTTGGTGGCTCGGATAAACCCTCCACACTGTCACCAGCATGGCTTTCCCCGGCTGCCGGGGATTTTCCAGTTGATGACCAAGGTCCAGGTATTCCGGAAGCTACACCGCTTGTCGTCCTTACGGATGACTGATCGGCATTTGTTGGTTTAGTGACTTTAACTGCTGGCAACGGTCCACTTTGGCTTGGCTTTGCAGCGAGTACTTCATCACTTACTGATGCTGCTTGGTCGGGTGCATTACCAGTGGCAGCCTTCGGTGCTACCGCAGCGGCAGGAGCGGGGTTTTCCGGAGGTGGAGCTGAAGCCTGAGAGAAATTCTGCGGCACATCTAGGCTAACCACCTGCGTTGAGGGCGCAGTAGCGGTAGTAACCTCTGCACGTGGCGGCGCCTGATCTTCAGTCGTGGATGTTGCAGCGGCGGGGGACGCTGCCTGTGATGCGGTCTGAGATGCAGTTTGGGATGCAGTCCCTGCACCAGGACGTCGTCGTTGTGGGGCCTTCGGCGCAAGCTTCTTGCCCGATTTATCTGGAAATGGAAGGATCAGGTCCCGACCACGCACAGTCGTTTTAACGCTGCGACGATTTGGTATTTGTATCTTGACAAAAGGGGAGTGACGCTATGGAAGTATCGATAAAACGCAAGAGTGGTTGTTTCGACAGCTTCATGAAGACCTTGAAGGCAGAAACGAGAGAAGCGCAACTCAGAAAGAAAATTTATGGGAAACACGAGACCTACTGATGACAGAACTGCCAAAGGCCGACATTATTGCTAGCTTGGATTAGTCCGCCCTTGCAAGCAGTTTTCGCAGTATGATTCTCCAGCGAGGTCCATAAGAGGAGGCAGGTACGAGGACTCGCGGTGTTTGACAGATGGTCGTGTCAGATGCTGGGCTGAAACGCCGAAACGCCGAAACGCCAAGGCGCTGATTAAAACGCAGCCGAGCCTTGCCCGAAGTGGCTTAGCGAACGCGAAGGCGCAAAGGCTCACAGAACTCGCTCCCACTTCGACCTCACCTCATCTCAACCCTGAACCTGAAGGCACATGCGATCACAAATCAACAACATCGCCACTGTCGCCCAACATCTCCATCATTCAATGTGCATACACGGCCGCTTTGACATCTGCATCTCGTTTCTGGCAGCGCCGCGCTTCGTTCCACTCAGCCTCTCCCTTCAGCCCACATGAAACTCGACACCCGCACAGTCGCTGCAGTCCCCTCACTTGGCCTCGTCAAGATGGAGGACCGCAAACGGCCGGTCATGGCTGACAGTGAGGATGCTGCTCCTCCGGCCAAGAGGCAAGCTACCGTGAACGGCGCCAAGCCTGTGTCCGATGATGCTGACAGTCACCTTAAAGAGCTCGAGGTTCGTTGTCTGCAGCCCCGCACCATCCCGTCACCTCACGCATTCAGGTCGGTCTCCGCTGACACGTACGTCCTACTAGTTGTATCAGAAGGATGCGATCCTGCGGCAGATGAAGGAGTACAAGCGGGAGAAGGCGGTGCTGGAGGCACAGGTCGTAGAGATGGAGAAGAAGACGGCATACCATGATGACCATCTACACGTTATCGATTCGTGGTTCGCCCAGGTTCGTGTGCAGTAATACTCCGCTGAGCGCAGGGGCTGACTAAAACCTCTGCGTAGCTTATTGACGAAGTTCGAGTCATCGTCAACGACACGCTTGCTTCCCTAGGGCAACAACAGCATAATGGTATGCTTGTGGGCTTACCGGCTACTAACAGCATGGACTCACGGCTGACATGGATTGCAGATGCCGAGCGCTTCCCTACCTGGTTATTCTTTGCAGACATCGAGAAATTCCAGCAGCATCTGTCGTCGAGATCTGACACGATCAAGGGACTTTTGAACGACCTTTTCAGCAGGATACCCAGCTCTTCAACGGACGTTCGTCAACTCCAGGAGCGAATAACAAAACTGTTGGCCTTCGAAAAGAGCCATATTGCAGAACTGCGCAAGGTCACAGCGGAAAAAGAACAACTATCGGAGCGTCTTGAAAATGCATCTTACCGGTACATGGTTGCTGAGAAGAAACTGGATCGAGCAAAGAGTGCCACCGTCGCAAAGCTGGAGCGACAAGCTACGCAAAGCTCCCGCCCTGAACCAGCAGAAGTGAAGGGAGAGGATCCAGCAGAGGCTAACGGCGTGGAGGAATCTGGTAATCATGCCGAAGCAGAAGCGGCTCGGAGATCTGCCGTTGCCGTAGCCGCGAAGCGCAAAGAACAACTGGAGGAGCTCGAAGCCGCGAACAAGAAGTTGACCGAAGAGGTGACCGCTTTGACAGTCAAGTTTGCTGGATTGTCTGATGACGATTACGCAAAGACCAATCTGTTCAAGGCGCTGAAATCCCAGCATGAAGATGTAATCAAACGTATCAACCATTTGGAAGCAACCAATGTCCAGCTGCGGGAGGAGGCGCAGAAGTTGCAGGCCGAGAGGACCGCTTACCGGATGCAGATGGACGAAGAAACACGCAATGCCATCAGTGAGGTGGACAGTCAATTGTCTCAGGCAGAGATGAACCTAACCAGGATTCGAAATTCCCGAGATGAACTGATAGTCGAAGCCGCTATGAAGAAAGCAGCACTGGATGAGCAGCATATGTCGTCGGATCAGATCAAAGAGCTAGCGGGTGCGCGCGAAAGCCGGATAGCCGCATTGGAGATCGAAGTAGAACGGCTACGTACACAATGCGGCGAGACACAGCCGTTGTCCGCTGATCCGGGAGCTTTGGCAGCTCTGAGCGTCGAAGAGTTGCGGACCAAAGTCGCGACTCTGGAAAAGTCCTATGAGCTACTCAATAACGAGCTCCCCTCGATGCAAGCTGCTTGGCAAAAGGCCCATCAACTGGCGAACAAGAAGATTGCGGAAATCGTGTCCTGGGAAGAACAAGTACAGCGACTCACAGCGGAGAAGGCCAAGGCGGACCAGAAGTACTTCGGCGCCATGAAGGCGAAGGAGGCAAGAGAGATCGAAAATCGTACCATGCGAGCGCAGAACGTCAGGAGTTCAGAAATCATAACTCAGCTCAAGGAAGCCGACAGCAGCAGTCAAAATCTTGTCTCTAGCCTCGAGAAGCAGCTCGCTGAGGCCAAAGAGCAGCTAAACATCCTGTCGCAGCAGCACCGGATGCTGCAACAAAAGCTGACGGACGCCACTATCTGCGCGGAAGGCCTCCACTCACAGATTGTGGAGCTCAAGAAGGTTCTACTGGCTAAAGACTCCGCGTCACTAGCAGCTTCGATCGCACAGAGGGAGGCCGAAGTTAAGGTGGAGGAGCTGAATGTCAAGCTGGCAGAGATGAGCAAAAGCTTCGAGAAGCTGAAGAAGAGCGGCAAGGAGTCCGGAGGCAAGAATGCGAAGCAGGAGATGCTCATTGTAAGTATTCGCACCGACCCATCTAGTACGCGGCTGCTGACTGAGCCTAGGACATGATCTACTGTTCAGTGTGCAAATCCGAGAAGAAGAACACTGCGCTCACGACTTGCGGCCACATGTTTTGCCGAGCATGCGTCAACAAGCAAATCTCTTTGCGATCGCGGAAATGTCCGGCATGCCTCAAAGCCTTCGGCGCGAATGACCATATGCCGGTTTACTTCAACCAGTACGATAACTAACTTCAAATTCCTTCATGTAGCATACTCTCTTACGGGCCGACTCGACAGCGGTTTGCTTCCTTAATGTTGCGGCTGATTTGGACAGTTAATTCTCACGCTAAGAAGAGGCGTTTTTGGCGTTGCAGGATCATGCACGGCGAGGTATTCTGCAGACCACTGCACCATTCCCCTCTGAGTCTTTGCTTTTAGATCTTCATCTCCGGTCTCGCAGCTTTTCTATGTCGTCTGCATGGGCTTGGATAATTGGCTCCTGCGCTGAGGTCACTTATTGAGGCGGGCGTGGGATAGCGATTGGCTTGGTTGCAATGGGTGTTTGAGGGTTTTCGGTCGTAGCGTAGCAGAGCGACAAATGCCATGTACAAAATGGATAGTTCGAGAATTCTGAAACCTGAGGCTTGTGTATCGTGTCGTTATCCTCCGATGTTGTCGGTGCACATAATCCCGCCATTTACGTCACATGCTCGCGTTCACCAACTCCGACGCAATCCCGCTCGCCCAAGAAGCTTAATTTGAGCCGCACCTTATTTTCCCCACACCTGCATTCCGCGCCTTCCCATCCACCAACGCGGCAATGGGCAAACGCAAGCTCAAAAACACCAAGTACCGGAAGCACCATGACTCCACCCACGCCAAACACGCGCCCAAGAAGCCCTTTTCCGCAAAACATCCCCAGCCACCGCCCAAAGCCGCACCAAAACCGGAGAAGAGCGCCAAACAGCAGGCCCCCACCAAATCTCCTCAGCACTCGCGTCCCGAGATCCCCTTCGACCCACACGACCGTATCCTGCTAGTCGGCGAAGGCGACTTCTCGTTCTCGCTCTCTCTCCTCACGCACCACGGCTGCGCAGACCTCACCGCAACATGCCTCGACTCCGCCGAGGAGCTACTTCGAAAATACACCCAGGCGGCGGGGCATATTGAGGAGCTGGAGGCCGAGGGCATGAGTGTGCTTTATGGGGTTGATGCTACGAAGTTGGGAAAACGGAGGGAGCTCAGGGGGAAGGAGTGGGATAGGGTTGTTTTTAATTTCCCGCATGTGGGCGGGAAGAGCAGGGATGTGAATCGGCAGGTTAGGTATAACCAGGGTAGGTTTGTTCTCGGCCGCTGTTCGTTTGGTGTTGCTTGCGTAGGCATGTGTGGGAGGTGTTGCTAATACTGACCCCACGCGTTTAGAACTCCTCGTCGCCTTCTTTCGCGCTGCGCTCCCCCTCCTTGCTCCGGATGGCACTATCATCGTCACCCTCTTCGAAGGCGAACCCTATACGCTGTGGAACATCCGGGATCTGGCGCGACACGTTGGGTTGAAAGTTGGCAGGAGCTTCAAGTTCAGCGCAGAGGCGTATCCGGGATACAGGCACGCTCGGACGCTGGGAAATATCGAGGGAGATGGTGGATGGAAGGGGGAGGACAGGCCAGCGAGAACCTACGTGTTCGAGAAGGCTGAGGAGGGCGAGCGGGCGAAGGAGCCGAAATCGAAGAGGAGGAGAGATGAGGAGACCGACGAGGACAGTGAGGATGGTTGAGTGATTGCCGCTAAGAGCTTACCACTATGGAAACCCCCAAAACACCCCAGCACAAGACGCCATCGCTATGAAACAAAAGCTATAGACAAGGCCAACCCCCAGATCAAACCGACCAGCACGAATCACGAGATATACACCTTCTTGACCTGGCTCTCATCATACGCCGTCCCCATCGGATCCCTCGGATCCTTGATCTTCCCCGGCGCCGTCCCAACCATCTCGTTGAACTGCCGCAGCCGCTCGCTCCCATATATCCGCCCGTTAGGCAACACCACCGGATCGTTCTCGACGTGGCTTTTCGTGTGGTGGGCGTACGGCACGTTGCGCGCCAGCGTGTTCAGCTCGGTGGAGCAGATGGGACAGACGGATGTGGTTGATGACAGGGCGTTCTCGGAGCAGGATGCGGTTTGGGAGTGGCAGAAGGGTGTCTTGAGCGCGGAGAGGCCGGCGGAGAGTGCGATGTGGAGGAGTGGTCGGGGCGGGAGGGAGAAGAGGGAGTGGTGGGTTTGGACGAAGAGGGTTGCCAGGTGCTCCCAGCGGGCGGAAGAGTAGAGGGTCTTGAGTATGTATTAGCGCTAGGACCTGAGAAGGAATTTAAGAGTAGCAGGATAGTCGTTGTACCTTGTACGGCTCCGCTGGCGTATCTGGCGGAAATGCCAATAGACCTGCTGCTCTGATGGCAAAGTTCGTGTCCTGATGCGGTGCCAGGAACTTCCTTGCGTACATCGTGGCCTCCATGAGCTTCTGCGTGTCGCCAGTCCGTATCATCTCAATATATTGCTGCAACCGTAGCTCGAACTCAAGATTGCTCTGCGCCATCACCCGTCAGCACTTTGCTCCTACCATTCTGAAGCTCCCAAAGTCCACTCACATTAATCTTCTTGAGCGCCTGTTTATTGTCCGCACACCACAGCAAAGCCGCCTTCGGCTGCCCCTTCCTAAGACTCTCCTCAATACGGAAACATTCCACAAACGCCTCCACATCCACCAACTCCTCGATCCCCTTCTCCTGCGCCAGCTGCCTCGCGCTCTCCCCATACCCACTCCTCAGCAAATAGTCTACCAGCAGCCTATCCAGCCTCACCCGGCTCCACTCATCATACTTCACATCCGCCAGGCTCGGGATCTGGTAGAGCTCGTTCAGGTGCGCGATGCGGGCTTTGGATTGGCGCTGTATATTTTCTTCCGTCTGCTGCAGGTCCGAGAGCTTGCGCTTGAGCGTCTGGAGTCGTGATATCATGGCGTCGAGGTCTGAGAGGGCTTTCGGGGCGTCGGGGGCGCTGAGCGCGGCGTTGGCGCTGTTTTTGAGGTCTTTGAGCGTTGCGTCGCGGTGTTGTTCGAATATGCGGCTGGCGGCTTTGTAGTTCTTGCGGGAGAGCTCGTAGGGCATGCGGAGGAGGGGTTGGTCCTGGGGTGGGTTAGCAGGCGTGTGGTGAACTGCGGGCTTGGTGGGAGGTGAAGTGGGGGGCTCGTACGAGGAGGAGGTGGGTTTCGGGGTTGAGTTTTGTGGTCGTGGGTTCAGCCATGCTTGGTGAAGTCGCGGCTCCTTTGAAGCGGGGTGTATTATGTTAATATGTTGGCGTGTTGTTGGAGGTTTGAGGCCGGTGCGCCTGACCGATGTCTTCGTGGTGGGGGTTTGGTCGTCTCAAAAGTCAGGCACCCAGGTCACAAAACGATCAAATAGGTACGCATAGCAGAACATATATGCAATATCTGCTCCCGTAGCATGATTCCGCGTTCTCCTCTAATGTAGATATCCGGACTGTAATGTCTGTAAAACTTATATTTGTCTCAAGCCACTGAGATTCTAGCAGAGTCCGTTAAACATTAGAGCATCGTAGCTCCCACTGGATTACAGACGGCTTTGAAAATGATGCTTCAACAGATATCACCATACACCAGATCACTTTCGCTAAATCTCCGTTTAAGTGAGGAAAGATATTACAACAGGGTATCATTCCATGCCGTGTTCGATCCTCAACTTGGGCCTACCCTAAACTCCTGTACTAGCCAAAACAGCCAACCCCACAACCACCATCCCCATCCAGCCCACACTGCTCCTCCCCGCCTGTCCCGTCGCGGTCGCATTCCCACACCCATACCCTGGAATTACCCCTGGAAAGTCCGGCAGCGTGCTCTCGATGCAGTTGCCCCAAGCGCGCACATCTCTGTTCGTTTGGCAAAAGTGGGTGCAATTATTCCAGACATGCACCTCGTTCTCGTCGCAGCATCTGCTGAGGTTTCTAAGGTAGTACGGAAAGTTGAATTGGCAATAACCGGTTCCTGCGGTGTAGTTGAGCACTTTGCGCGGGATGCTGGGCCCTTCTCCGAGGGCACATCTGTCAGTTGGTAGGCCAGGAGAAGAGGTGGTCGCGGAGTTCGGGACGATGGTAGTGTTGGAAGACATGGTGAATGTTGAACTGGGACCTCAGCGTGGTTTGCGAGGAACAAAGGGAGCAGAATCGGCTTCCTCTGTTGCGCCGAACCTTGAGTGTCGGGTTGATAGAGTAGTATGGCTGCAAAGACTTGAGGATTGGAGTGCGCTGAAGCAGAATAGACAGATGCAATGTCTGTTATTTTATAATCTCCTCAAATCCTGACATCTCCGACGTACACCGTCATTCTCAAGACCAGTGATCGACTGTGCCTTGGGGGCCAAGGGGGCCTTGAGCAGATTCCTTGCCCGGTCTTGGGCAGGGCTGTGGTTGCAGCCAGGCACTAGTCCGAAGGAGCTCGTTCTGTTCAACCGTGCGCCGTGTCGTCTTCCTTCGGGTATATCGCGCGCGCTCTAGTGTTCGATAGAGAGCGTACAGTTCACCTGGACCAAGCTAAAAGCTCGGCCGATCAACCCGCTAATGCAAGAATCCTAGTGGTTAGTCGTCTTGGCATATTTATAAAGCCGGGCTAGTCGCTCGAGTTATTAGATAGTTAGCTTATCTTATATTACTCCTACAATACCTTACTAAACTAAGACTAAGATATCGCTATAGGTAAGTGTATTATAGTATATTTAGAACATTTTCTAAATAAATTAGTATATTAAACTAACTAGTAGGTAGCTAAAGAAGATTCTGTTTTAATATATATCTCTAGTAACAAAGAGAAAGACACTAAAAGTAAGCTTAAAACTAACTTTTAAAAATATTATTCTAAATCTTAAGAATAGTATATATTAATAGAACTAAGCGTTTAGAGAATAGGTAGAAGTAAGCCTTTATACTAAGTTTTAACTATATTCTAAATGTATTTCTAATAAGCTTTAAGCCTATATTATCTATACTAACCTAGCTTATAATTATAACTTCTAGTTTACTTTAGGCTCTATATATAGAGTACTATACTACCCTTTCTAACTACTTAAAGATAGATAGAATAGGCTATATCTACTATATTAGCTTAACTAGAATAATAGATAACCCTAAGAATCTTATAAAAAAATATAAAAGCTTAGAAGCAAGCTTTAAATATATTTATAATAATTTTAAATCTAATACTTAAGTAGATAGGTCTATAAGCTAAAGCCTACCTAGTTATACTTCTTAGAGAACATAACTAGTAAAAAGAATAAGAAGGTATATACTAGTATAAAAATTTATAATATCTTTATAATAGCTTATAGCTAGTACAATATACTAGTATAAATAAAGACCTTAAGAACTAAATCTAGTGGCTATAATTATATCTTAACCCTAGTAAGCTAGATCTATATAAATAAGCTTTAAATAGATTTACTATAAGCTTTAAAAATACTTTATCTTAATAACTTACTTTCTATATAGTTTCTATATTACTATAAGAAGCCGCTTTAGAGCGCGAACTACTTATTAAGAACTAGATAATAAACATAGATTAGCTATTAAGTATACCTCTAACCTAGTTTATTAAACTAAGAATATACTTCTAATATATTACTAACTATTAAATAGATAGTATCTAGCGTTTATTAGACTTACTTTACTTACTTAAATACTATGGCTTAGAACTTGTATAAATATTTTTTAAGCTTAATTTAAGCTAAAAGCTAATATAATCTTAATTATCTTACGATACTAGTAAATAACCTATAGTTATAGTAGCCTAGTAATAAGTATAAGGTGATTAAATATTAACTTATCTAGAGAAAAGACTATAGTAAGTATTTATAACTTACTATAAATATATTACTAATAGCCTTTTAGGTGTTAACTACTCTTAAGAACCTAGTTACTTCTAGATTATACCTTATAATGTTATATTCTATTTCTTTATACTAGATAATCTAAGTAGAATCTCCTCTGTTCTATTTACCTTATAAAAAGTCTAACAATACCTACTACCACCACTAAACTAGGCATTAAGACATATAGTAGCTAAGATTATAGAGGTAATTTAGTGAATATAAGATCCTAAGATTATATTAGGTAAGTAAGCTTCTAAAATACTTCTAGTAGGTTAAATAATATATTTTTAGCTAATTTCCTTAAGAGTCCTAAACTCTAAGACTTCTATAAGAACTATAATGAGAAGTTACTTACTAAGATCTATAATAGCTTAGCGAGTATAAATAGATTCTTACTTCTTATTAAAAAGTAAAGAATACTTAATTAGTATACTCTTAGCCTATTTGAATTAAATATAGAAGAGGTTATATTTAAGAAAAGAATAATATATAAACCTAGAGGAGGTAAGTATACTTAAATCACTTTTATAGCTTGTTCTAAATATTTTCTTATTTTTCTAGTTCTATATCTAAGAGGTCTTTCTCTAAACCTTATACAACACCTATAGAATAATAATCTTCTATATTAGTAAGTACTAAGCTAAGATTCTACTAAAATAAAAGATATTTAAGGTAGATATATCTTTTAAAAGAATCTAAATATATAAGATTAATAAGATTCTTATTATTAGGTAGCTAAAAGACTATAGAAAGAGTTTATAACACCCTATAAATCTATTTCAAACTATATTTAATATAAAATAGTCTTTATCTTTACACGAATCTATATAGATAATAAAGAGATAGCTATCTATAAGTTTATCTTCTAGAGATTATTCTAAATTATCCCGAAACTAACTAGTTAATGTATATACTAGGTTTATATTAATTAGAAAAAGTATAAGTTCTAAGCTATTTATATTAATATAGATTTAAAGCGATTTATAGGTAAGTATTATAATATAAGCTTTTTAAATATCCTTTTAACCTATTATAAAGATTTTAGAAAGTATCTCTTATCTATTAATCTAATTAAATAGGATTAGCGCATCTATATTAAGCTTACTACTCTCTTCTACTATATTCACTTCTAAAGAAGTATTAATATAGTAGCTAGTAGGGACTAGTTTATCTATACTATTTATAACTAGATATAGGTGCTACTAATCTACTAAAGTGCTAAAGAGTATTAGTAATTATACTATAAGCTAATTTATAGATTATTCTAAGTATATTTATTATAATTCGGCTAGGGGAGAGCCTTAGTATAGTATTAAGCTATACTAGCCTAGCTTAATATTAAGCTAGATATTATAACTCTACCTTCTTAGTATTCTCTCTATATCTATAGATACCTACTATTTAATAGATAGTAGGCTTTAGTCTTTATATATAATACTAGATGTTATTTCTTAATAACTATAGAATATATCTTACTACTAGTAATCATCTAGCTTGATACTATTAAGCTACTAGCTACTTACGTGAATATATTAACCTACTAGCCTATAGATTCCATTAAGGGAATTTAGGTTACTAACATCTAGGCTAAAAGAGGGATAGTATTATATAATAAGAACTAGTAGTCTAGTTAGATGCTAGCGGGTATAGGCTAATATATAATACGCTCTATAGATTTTAGCGCGCTCTATCTAATCTATAGTAAAGCACACTAAGAAAGATAGAGTAGATAAAGTAAATAAAGTAGAGTTATAAAAATATCTACTCTAGCCTATAATATATAAGCGCACGATTTTATACTATAGGGTAGTTTAGAATTATACTTAACTTAAAATAAGAGTCTTATATTCTTATAATAGATTAGATTATATCTTATAATATTAATTTATTATTATCTCTTATACTATCCTCTATTCTTTAATTAGATTATATTATACTATAGTACTAGGCTATTATTATCTAGAGATAGTAGTTCTATTATAGTATCTGTAAAGATAAGATATTAAGATAGAACTATTAAGGTAGTAATAGAACTATAGTAATAGATTATATAAGACTATAAGGTATATAGAACAAGTATATAACAGCTTAATACTATAATATAACTAGTAGTTAACTATCTAATTTAATACTAAAGAACCTTAAGACTTATTGCGCTTAATCTATACTAATTCTTATATAATAAACCTTCTATACTACTATAATAGTAGGTTATTCTAAGTTTATTTAGACTATATTTCTAAACTTCTTATAATAATAAAATTCTTAATTCTTATAACTTTAATTAATAGTATTTATAAAATCGCTTTAGATCATTCTATTCTTATTAGAGTAGTTTAATAAGTGTATAATACTTGAATTATATATATACTAAGAGTAAGGCTTTATAAGTTTCTTTTAAGTTTCTTTTTAACTATTTTAGAATATAGGTAAGATAAAAACTAGGTAAAGTAAGCTACTCTAGTAGATCTTAGCAACCTTAAAGATCCTAATAATATACTTAATTTTACTTTATTCTTAAGTATTATAAGAAGCTATTTAACCTCTTTAAAATATGTTTTAAGGTTACTATTAGTAGTAGAAAGCTCTACAGCTATATTAAAACTACTATTAATAGCTAGAGACTAGATACTATTAAGTCTAATACTAATAGCTTCTATATATATCTTTCTAGGATATTTAAAGTATATTTTAAATAGCTTATAAGCTTTAGGCCTAATACTTAGAATAGTATCTATTAGTAGGCGTTATAAAATAACTAGAATTATAGTAAGAAATAAGAATCGCTTAAACTCTAAAGGGAAAGGGTAAAGATAAAACACTAAGAGTTAATAGTTTGGAAGTTATAAATAGAGGTAAAGGTAGAGAAATAAGTAAAAGTATAATAAGTAAAAGATATTTAGAATATACTTATAGTATATTTATAGCTACTTAATTATAGATACTAAAGCTATCTAGCCTTTTAATTACCCTTTCTCTAGGTATTATTAAGCTTAGAAAGAGCTTAAAATAAGCTTAAAGGTAGTTCTAGAAAAGTAAAAAAAGATCTAGGCGCTTTTATCTTTAAATAAGATTAGAATAAGTTCTAATTACTCTTTCTTACTTTCTTTCTTAGTACTAGACTCCTTATTTATATTACTAAAAGAATATAAGATAATATCGCTTTCGTTAATACTCTACACCTTAGCTATAGTCTTATAATACTTAAAATAAAACTTACGTCTATTATAATCTTTTTAAGTCTTACT